TGAGAAAATAAATGTCTTTAAACCTAAAAAACATGAAACTGGCTTTAAATACCTGCCAACTAAAAAGGACTAATAATGCGTGGACTAAAAAACTACTGAATCGTTTTTAATAAAAGTAAAAGTAGAAAGTAAAAAATCATTTAATCATATAGGTAAAAAAAGGAATGTACATATATGAAATGCTTCTAACTTTACATTTAGTGCCAGTTCTCAAATGATGAAATGGGCCTTGGGCTGTAATAAGTTGGAATATTTAAATAGAAAGATCATATATTTACTTTTACTTTCCGAGAAATTTGTGAACATACACTCAAAATAAGCACCTGCTTTGAAAGCATATCATTATAATCAGTAGATACATACAGATCAAATAGACTCCTTTTTAAACCGGTTAAAAATACATGTTAATTGTTCATTTTGTCAAACAAGTGAGCGTAAAATAAGAATTATCACGCCTATTAATTAATTCTTTACACGACAAATCAATTACCTATACTAGCTGATCCAGCAACGGTTTGCCATATAAAGACGTGTTAGACAATGCTTCAGCGTGCTGTGCAGGAATTCCTTAATTACGTTTTTTGTTAAGTATTCCTGAATAATTGCACCATCGAATATTTAGTAATCTAACACCTAACATACATATTATAAAATACATCACTTAGACAATATTAATAAAAAAAAATAGTGACGCTACAACCTCTTTAGGTCTGGGCTTCAGATTTCTAAATCTGTTTCATGATCGATCGATGAGGCAAGTAGGTGATCAGCCTACACACGTCGTCGACTTTTTCGTTTTCGTCGTCGTATATATAAAAAATTTAAAATCTTTCCTCCAACTTTTGTCCCCTTTGGAAATGAAACTCTTTATAGATTTTTCCGGGCGCTAAAGAAAGACAATGATGCACAGGTACTTTCTAAAATTCTAACCATTATTCGCAAATAATGGTATTAATGTAGTAATGGTATACTCGAAATCGCATAATAAATATGTAAAGGGACTAACAGAATTAAAATACATAAAGTCAAAGTAGACAATCTATTTTAAAATTGAAAACAGTCCGAAGGCAGACAGGAAGTAAAGAGAAGTGGGAATATCCGTTTCCGAAGAACGGGAGATTGACTTACATATATATTTAGCGAGAGCGGGCCGGATTTAGAGGTCTGGAAGTCTCGGGGCAATAAAGGAGTGGAGGCCCCTTCAAATGATTTTCCAAATACAATGAACAATTTTTTTTCAGTCGAGTTTTTCAATCAATTTATTACGAAACCAATATTATAATATATCCCTCTTTTGTGGAGGCCCGGGGCTGTTTTATATTTTAAAATATTGGTTGAAACTCTACAATAATTGTTTTGTTTACATTTATTAGCTTAAGTTTTAGTTATGTTATATGTTTAAAACATAAAGGTTAGGTTTGTTAGGGTTCCAGTATTTGTATTTGCATGGTCCCTTGTAGGGTAAAAGCCTCCATATCAATGTTGCAATGTTTCGTAATGATACAATTACAGGTCTTAAATCAAATAACATCAGACAAGATTGAAAACCAACTCTTTTTAAAATATTTTTGTCTTAACATCACCTTGATGGCTGGAAGTCTTCCACAGTCCGTTTCACAAGGCACTTTCTTTAGCGAACTAGCGAACTGCGAACTGTAATCGACTCCCGGTGAGGGTCTAAAATAAAAAAAAATATGTTTATTATGGAACATAAGATACATGTATCACTTATTCCACGTCATTAAATTTGAAGGCATCCCTACTCATCGGCAAAGAAGACAGAGGGTGTAGGCCGAGAGAAAAAGCCGGCGTAAAAAACTCTCGGTACTCTTTTAAAACAGCAAATCATCAAACAACACTTATTTAAAACAAATATCGCAAATTAATGAGAAGTAGCCTGTCTAGCACTAGTCCCAGGCCCTTTTATCAACTAGATAATCGTTGACTTTATAGTAAGCCTTTTTACACAGCTTTTCTTTAATACATTTCTTAAATTTATTGAAAGGCAGAGATAAAAGAGCCTCTGGGATTTTATTAAAGAAGAGTATCCCTTTCCCCAAAAAAAGAATTACTAACTTTAGATAGTCTAGTACGGGGAAATTGCAGCCTGCGTTTGTTCGGTGTATTAACATTGTGCGTATGTTCTATTCTAGTAAACTTATCACTATTTTTGTATACATACATATTATTTTCATAAATATATTGCGAGGGAAAGGTAAGTATATTAATTTCCTTGAATTTATCTCTAAGAGATTCCCTACATTTTAAATTATAGATTGCACGAATAGCCCTCTTCTGCAGGATGAAAATAGTTTCGACATCAGCAGCATGACCCCATAATAATAAGCCATAAGTCATTAAGCTATGAAAGTAACTAAAATAAACAAGTCTAGCTGTATCGACATCAGTTAGTGAGCGAATTTTTTTAACCGCGTAGGCTGCAGAACTAAGTCTGAGAGACACAACCTCAAACTATTCAAAGCCGACAACGCACCCACTGAAAATGGGTGTCTATGGGCTGCGATGACTGCCCTTTTTGAGAGTCCTGTAGGCTCGCTGGCCCTCCTTTTATAAAAATGTTTTTAGTAAAGAGGTACAATTACACCATCCACGTGGCATATTGAATCATATAATCATAATTTAGAAATATACGAGTATGTTATTGCTTAGTATCAGTTTTTTTCCATTGAACATACATAGGCTAATAACTGAGGATGCAATTTTGGTCTACTTAATTTTCGCATATTGTATTTTTCCAATAACATGAATTCTTCTTGCTAAAAAGCACAACGTGCTTAGATCCCCGAGCGTTGAGAGGGTCGCGTAGTGCAATGACTCGTTATAAGATTAGGTCCTTACACCCTCACTTTATAGTGTTGCCAGCTTTATTTAATTCCCGAAAAAGTTCAAAATTCTGATAAGCTTATTAATGCGGTTTTTTAATTGTCGACTAAAAACTTGCCTAATATATTTTTAATTGGCAAATTAGGTTAACACTAGGCCAACAGTGCTCTCCAGCTCCACCTATCTGAGCTAGATATTATAAATTCATAATCATTTATTAAATTAGGTAACAATGTACACTTATGAACGTCAATAAAGAAATACATATTAAATGCTATGCTTCTAACTTTACATTTACTGACAGTTCCCAAGAACGAAGAACGGATGAGAAGAACTGGCGATAAACTCTCCGCCACTCTTTTTTTTGATAAGCTTTCTTGATCGAACCTCTTACAACTTACAGCTGGCCAGTGAAGCGGAGATGAATATGTTTTTGATATTTAGTAATTAATTTACTTTAGTCTCTGTATAATTTAAGTCTAATATCATCTCATTTAACAAAAGTTTATTTTGGATTAGTTGGCAGATGGCAACACTACCTCCCCTTGTATTTTTGTGCAACTTAATGGCTCTGTGGTTTCTCCCTTTGTCACAATGCAGTGTTTTTAATAGGTATTGCAGACAGATTGCAAAGGGTTGCTATTTTAGAGTAAAAGTTTTCTTTTTCAGATTTCTTCGCCTTTTTGACGTATACAACCTTATATAATGGTTATACAGAGTAGGTTATTAAATCTTAAGTAAATTCTATATAATCGAAACCTAAAACAGGTCCTTCCCTATGGATTCTGAGATAGAAACGAACGCCAAATTCGAATCCAGATGTTTTTCCATTTTAGCGGGCTCTTTCGAAGTCGACAAAAGTTCAATACATTTCTCTTAGCCATTCTGAGGTGGTTTCTCATGTTTTTTATTCTTGATCCCACAATGAAACTACCTTGCCATTGTGACCAGGGACTTTTTCCATCTCTTACATTTTTTCTAAAAAGATACATAAATTAAAATCATACTCATTCGTGTTACGCCTCTCGCGAGATAGGTACGCCGCAGCTACGTCGGTACAATATTCATGCATAATAACTATTACGTACACGTTCAGACTTTAACACTATGACTAAGCATGAAACAATATATTAGGTCCTTACATACATGGGCGGATCGCGAACTTGTGGGGCTCTGGACTATTACGGGGAAGAACTCCGTAAAAAAAAATACACCGACCGTAAATAAGCGACGGGGAACTCCCGGTTCCGTTCGATAACGCGTATCGCACATAGGTTGATGGATCTCAGGGATGCCAACATTATCATTGGATATTTTTTTAATTTAAAATATCGCCTATTGTTTTTAGTGGGGACTGCAGGCCCTTTGTATTCCCCGAAGCCCTAGGCTGCAGCCCTAAAAAGCCCTTAGCCCTTATATAGATCCGCCCCGGCTTACATATGAATTTGACGTTTTGTATGGGAGGAACAAAAAATTGATTTAAAAAAATAATAATATAGTTAATTAATCAAAGTACCATTGCTACCTATGCCCTTTTGACATCTTATGGGTAGATCATTGATCCGTTTACTTAAAAAAACCATTCGGTATCAATAAAATCTTTGAAGGCTGTTTCGACTGCCCCATCAGGGTTGAATTTCCATGCGGTGGATCTCTTAGACATTCCAATTGAAGCTCCTCTAATATGGTAGCAGTCTGTTGTGCAGTGTCTGGTCTAGCGTTGTCGTGAAGCAGCAATAGCCTAGAGCGATTGACCAGTCTTGGTTGTTTAGCAGCTAGCTTTTCCAGCATGGTTTGCAGTTGCTGACACATGCTGTAATCGTCTGGCCAGATTTAAGAAAGCTATAGTGAACGACCACGACACTAGTTCACCAAACACTCTATTTTACGAACCAATATTTTTGCTCCCAATCATTGCAAAATATGTACGAAAAAACAATTGATAATTAATAACGGCTCAAATATAAGAGTTTTTCCTCCAACTTCGATTTTGTTCCCTTTGGAGTAGAGATTCTTGAGCCGTAGGGTTCAAGTATTGATAAGTTATTTTGAATAGAAATGAAAAGAGCTTATAAATTTAATTTTGAAATAATAATATTCTTTGTAATAATTAAATAAATTGTTTCAGGTATTCTTCGTAATGCGGTTGACGTGAGATGGACGGTATTCAAATGGAGCCAATTGGAAAATATAAGTCTGATAGAAACGGCTCAGCAAAAGGTAAGATTGTGATGATTTATTAAACAAGGCAGGACAGGCAAGGAGGCTCATCTGATGTTAAGTGATACCGCCGCCCATTGACACTCACACTGTCAGAAGGCTCGCAAGCGCGCTGCCATACCGGTCTTTTAAGATTGGTACGCTCTTTTCTCGAAGGACCCTATGTCGAATTAGTTGTGAAATACTTCAGTGGGCAGCTGGTTCCACATAGTGGTGTCTATTTTACATTTTCTCCCAGTTCCCGTTCCAACTCAGGTTGGAAACTTAGGTTTATAAAATTCAGGGAAACTGCCCTGGCGTGACAAATACGGCTTACCTAATCATATGTTAGTACAAATATCGACCTCGAGTTCCCAGCGCCTTGTCGCTCCCCAGTTCGAGCAGAGGCCGGGTAACAACAAGGGTGCGACAACTAATCCCTTGGCGACGATAAACTGCTGTAAACCTTCCACACGTGGCTACATATCAGGATAATGTCAACACATGAGAGAGCAACATTAAGTGGGACATGCTAGGTCTGTGCAAGGTAAGACAAGAAGGGAAACACACTGTACCATCGAGAAGAAAGAATGGCTGGCATGTGTGGATTAGGTTACCCAATAAAGAAAAAAACTTATCCCCACAGCAACAGCATCTCGGACCGAGTAGTCCAAAAATTCCAACGCTCCACTTAGTACCAACTTAAATTTATACAAGCATATGCGCCTACGATAGACGGAAGTGAAGAGAGAGAGATCAAACCAGGTCGCTAATCAAGAGCCTAGAAGAAAGAAGACCTGGCAAGAAACTCTCTGCTTTTGTTTAGAAGGAAATTCTTAGGACCTGCAAGTGTCATTGTTCATGAGTCTTGCTTGACAAATTCAAATATTGAGTCATTATTTTTAAATAATAAGTCAGCTTATAGTAGTTTAGTTAAAGGTGCATTCAACTTATGAAGAGGTGAGCTAGGCCGTTGCGCTGATACAAAAACCTTCGAGATAGCGGAGTTGAAGTAGGCTGGCAAAAGGTTAAAAAGGGATGCTCACGCATCCCTGCAAGCATTGTACCCGGTCTCCCCCAGCTTTATAAAACAGGGTGAATTGGCCGATGTGAAAGGCCCTTGCTGTGCCAAGGTCCATTCCACATCATTCATGGCCGTAGAGGACCTTAATATTAACGGCTGGATGCGGACAAGGCTACGCTACTACCGTGTCTTTAAATTTTGGTATATACTAATTGCAAATGATAGTAAATAAACATCAATGGTTGCAGCAGCTGCCTGGAGAAACATGGTTGATCAAGATCTAGATGATGTGGCGTTTTTGGCAGGTATTGACTAGCTTTATTAACTTTTCTTAAATAAAATAATGCATACATTTGATCATTTAAATGCTTTTTGTATGTAGTAAAAGCAAGCAACTCTTGTGAACTCAGCCAGTGAGCAAACAAATAGGTCGACCTCGATAGAAATTCTATTTATTATTTATTTTGGAGTGTGCGCGCAGTACATACAAAAGTTGAGACTTCCGCCTCAGGTGTTTCCATGGTACCCGTACAACAAGTCTCTCCTTCTCCAAGGTTAATTCAATAGGTACATTTTATAATAATGGAAAAGACATCAAAGGTCTACCTTTTCATCACACTAAAGCCTGCCTGGCACTCCAATCTAGTAGTAGTTAATTGCTAACATGTGATAACCACGTAAGTCTGAAAGGCTGAAAAACTGTTTTCTCTCCAAGATTCGAACCAAGATAAGTGAATAGTCCTTGAGAAAGAAGCCTAGAATTCGTTAGGCATATTCAAATTGTCGTTTTTGTCTTAAAACAGCATAAAATAACATACGAGTAAAAGCATGTCAAGTGAGTCAAGTGCTCCTTTCTGTCCTTGAATAGAAGCGATGCGGGTTAAGTGTCGAATGTAGGACTAAGCGAGATGCCGATTCAGCTTTTTAATGGCGGCTTTTTAATTGTGACATGCATTCAAGGCGTTCATGCTTAAATTAGTTAAGATGGAATAGAGAATCTAAAACAAAAGACTGTGTGTTTCGTTTATTTGCTTTTTGCTCTAAATGTTTATGCTTTATTAGTTTAGATAGAATAGAGAGTCTAAAACAAAAGACTGCGTGTTTTGTTTATTTATTTTTTTGCTCTAAATGTTTATGCTTTATTAGTTTAGATAGAATAGAGGATCTAAAACAAATCACTGTTTGTTTCGTTCTCTCTCAAACATCATACATGGTACAAGGAGGACATTCAGATACTTATGAAAATATGTTATAGAAAGAAAATTCACGTCTGAAAATGACATGAGACTTCAGAAGGCACAGTGCTAACCAGATCCATTCATTCCTCACAATCGCACAGTAGCCCGCAATATCGCAGCACACAACTCACGATATTTATATAATACTACAAGACGCGAATATACAATTAAATACATAATTATGTAGGAAGAAAGCAAATAATAATAATCACAAATAATTAACAAAGCAACTCGCAACAAAACATCGCAATACCCTTATTATTTATTAATTATCAGTCGCGAGAATATGTTCAATTTTATATTCACTAAACATTCATATAGGCGGTAATGTGTTAAATCGTTCTCACACCGCATCAAGTAGGTCTGAAAGGTGTAAAAGGTTTTCAAGTGTGTGGTTAAAACACCGCGACAATTGTACTTCAAAAGTCACATAATTGCGATACGAGTTCAAAGGTATATGGGCAAAGTTAATCCTACTAATATTATAAACGCGAAGGTTTGTAAGTATGAATGGATGTTTCTTACTCTTTCATTCATACTGAATGGATTTTAATGAAAACTTTACAAAAATATAGCTTATACATCAAAAAATCACGTATTTCACGTAATTTTCCAAAATATCAATTAAGTAGGATATCTACCATCTGCCAGCTATTCTGGCGTGCGCTGCCAAAACCGCTAGAGTTACACATATGTAATGTATGATGGTAATGTTTATCTTAACTAGTCCTACAAAAAAGCCCGACACAGTATATATCTATGTCTCATATGTAAGCCATTATAGCTATAACTACAATAAAAATTGATAATTTATTTCAAATGCATATTCGGTAGTAATTAATTGATTCCTAAATAAAAATAGATACTTTTTCTCTTCTGGTAAGTAAATAAAATATGTCTTTCATTTAGACAAATATAGTCCTTTGATTTTCTTATTTGATGATTTCGTCAACAGTAATTATTTACTTTTTTACACATATTGCCCACAAATTGTCTATGCTTGAAAATTTCAAGAATTCCTACAAAAAAAGTAATATTGAGAGCTTTGCTGACAAGAGGGGGGTGGGGATAAATTGCAGTAATACTTGAACGGAATCAATGGAATGGAAAATATATTACCAATACGGTATTGGTAATATATTTTTATTTTTTATTATTTTCCATTTATTGTATGTGTTACTTTTGGTTTCAATATCTGAATATGAACGGTTGTCAACTGCGTCCTGTATAGAGAAATCCATTTCTTGGTTTTATTTGACCACATAACTAGGAAAAACATATGAAATGATAAAACAGGGCCGTCTTTATTATAGCTTGACTTGTTTAAGCAATCGCGGGGTATGCTTCAAAGGAGTATTAAGAATATCCATACTCCATTTACTATATTACTAAGATTAATATTACTAAGGTAGGTAAGGTAGGTAGGTATTATGGTATTACTTAGTTAAATGTATTGAATAGATACTTAGTTAAGTTAATAGAAACCGCGAAGTTTCCATGTTTAGAACCTATTTTTTTTGCCAATTTTCATCATAAAGGTACGCTCTGCTGAGAGAAAGAGATGAGTTCTGGCCTGTTAACTGTTTTGCTTAGATATGTGATAGATCTAATAGAAACCGCGGAGTTCCCATGTCTATACAGTATGTTTTTTTTTTAATTTAGTAAAACATTAGAAATATGCTCATTATTTCGTTTTCTCTATCTTCTTTATTTTTTCGATAGTTAAACCTTTTTATTTTTGCATTTACATTATAGGGCACTTTCGCAATTGAATTGCTTCTTCTATTGAGATCTTATTTATCGAAATCGATATGAAATGCTTTGCTGTGGTGTGCTGGAAAAAATGTTTTCTAGAACTAGAACTCTTTTCCAAACTAAATTACTAATGTGTGTGCTTCTGGAACTCTATTCTATTTACTTTTTTGTGCCCTGCTAACGTCATTGTCATCACATTGCCTTCTGGCTCGCAAATGCGCTGCCGGCCTTTCAAGAATTGGTACGCTCTTTTCTTGAATAACCCTAAGTCGAATCGGTTCGGAAATACTTCAGTGGGCAGCTGGCTCCACAGCAGTGGTGGTGTGCGGCAAAAACTTCCTTAAAAAGTGAACGAATTTATTTGATTTAACTACTATAATTGTTGCCATTTTTAGGAAATGTTCTGAGGCTCTGAAGTGCCCGGTACTATACTTACATAAATCATTAATACAATTTCAGATACAGATAAAGCCCGTGAGGCCAGGGAACTAGGTGACACGCCGGTGGCTGTATGCTCCCAGCGCAGGGCGTTGTGTCTTGCTGGTCTGGTCTTCTCGGCGATGTTTGTGATTGCACTTCTTGTGGTTTATGCTACACCACAACCAGGTATTGTATATTTCTGTACTTTGAATCTGGAACGAAAATCAAAATCGAATCTAAGAGATCAAGAATATTAATTGAAAAATCTGACAACTAAAAGAAAAATAATAATAATAACAAATAGGTAATGCGGAAATATCTTTTAAAGTTATTTGCTTAGTTATAGTTAAGTATTCAATGGCCAAAAGACCGGTATCCTTTTTTTCAATAAAAAAAAAGATTTATTTTATTTTTATTTTATGTATTTGTTTACGAAATGAAAGTATTTTTTATGTAATAGGAGGCAAACGGGCAGGAGGCTCACCGTTAAGTGATACCACCTGCCCATGGACACTCACAGAAGGCTCGCAAGTGCGTTGCCGGCCTTTTAAGAATTGGTACGCTCTTTTCTTGAAGGACCCTAGGTAGAATTGGTTCGGAAATACTTTAGTGGGCAGCTGGTTCCGTATAGTGGTAGTACGCGGCAAAAACTACCTTAAGAAACGCTCAGTTGTGGAACGACGGACGTCAAGGTGATACGGATGGGATTTTGTATTATACCTTGACGTCCGATGATAAAACTAATACTAGTAATAACTTTTCGTTTGATTTTACACATTTTTTTTTATTAAGTTCACTCGAAGACCCAATGAAATTTCTTAATGTGTTAATTATGGGCTAAATCTCAATTATTAGATAACTTCCTCCTTCATAAAGCTCCCACAAAAACAGTTTAATATATACATTATTAAAATTACAGATTGCCCTTGTACGACTGAAAGCATTATTGTACCCGGACAAGTGCCAACAGAATCTGATGAAAACTCCACGATTATTAATAAGTAAGGAACACTTAAAACAATTTTTTTTAACTTAACTTAACTTAACTTAAACTTTTACTTTATTTTATTTTAGTTATAGTTACGTGTTATTTTGAGTTTTTTTTGTTAATTAATTATGCACTTCTTGTACTTTACCCTCTGTAGGTGTTTCTTGTTTATTGTTCCATATTAGGGTTGCCTGAAAGCTATCGCATATAATTTTTATGTATTGTTGTTGTTTTTAATGCAACGAAGTGCAAATAAATAAAGAAAAAGAGACCCCTCCCCTTAAAGAAATTTAGCAGACTCGTTTGCGAACGATTCTCCAAACTTTCACATTAGTGGCATGACTTAAAATAATTACCAATAGTGTTGAAAATATCCAAATTGCAATGAGCAAGAGTTGGTATACACGCGGTACCTCCAACTGGTGACCGTCTCAGGTTCTGGTTTAAAACTATATTCCCTTCTTCCAGAGAGCGTATAGCAACGAATGGTATGGTGTTTCCATGGCGTGGGGCAAGGTTGCCGACTTCTGTCATACCCAAACATTACAGTCTGTGGCTTCATCCGAACCTTACCACTGGAGAAATGAGAGGTAGGTGAGCAGCTTCTGAGAGATGTTTATAAACAAGTAGTGACTCCGATTTAAGGAAACCAGGATCCTTGCCGGACTAACTCCCGAACCTAAAAACCTATCTGAATCTATAATCCACCATCTGAGATAGTAATCTTAATCCAAATTTTGTAACAATAACCAATCGACGGATTGTAATAGCAATCTGTCGATACAAGCTATCCATGGAAAGTCGTATCGGTTACCTTTGTATGAAAATAACAGTTGACGAAAGCTCGGTTTCAACAGTTATTTTAACTTACACCAGTTTTTTAAATAATTAAAATAATTAAAAATAATTTAAATATTGTAGTATTGTTATTATTCCGAGTCACGGGGAAACAACAAATCCCCCGAACAGCCCGCCAAATAAAGCAAAAATTAGATTAGTTTTTTTTATAACCTGCATCGCATAATAATACCTAGGTGGGTTTTCAGGTGAAGTCTCAATAGATTTCAAGGTGGATCGGGATACGATGTTCGTGGTTCTTAATATTCACGACATGAATGTAACAGAGAGGGCGCTATTCAAAGGCGGGACAATTGGACCTAAAATCGTCAAAGCTTTGGACTTTCCTCCTGCAGAGCAAACATATATTGAGTTTAAGGTACGTATTTATTTATTTTATTTTATTAACACTTTATTACTTTATAAAAACATACATATAAAAAAAAGTAGGTTACATAAGTTATAAGGCAACGGGCGGCCTTATCGCTAACAAGCGATTTCTTCCAGGCAACTCTAATATGGAACAATAAAAAAGAGGGTAAAGTACAAGAAGTGCATAAATAATTAACAAAAAAAAACTCAAAATAACACGTAACTAAAATAAAGTAAAATATATTGAAAAAATAATAATAAACAAAAATTTAAAAGGTTAACTGAGTCACAATAATTAAATTAATTAATTAAGTAGTAGCTAATTACGAGGCAGAAAAAAATGAGCAAAAAGAAGATTTAAAAACACATTTAAAGACTGAGCTCGTCTGATATCCATTGGTAAGGAATTCCAAAGCAGGATACTTTGCACAGTAAAGGAGGAGTGATAGAATTGAGTTTTATAAGAAGGAGTGTCAAGAATTAGATTGTCTAAGGGTCTGTTTCACAATGTACGGATAAGTTCTACATAAGTTCCAAATTAGCTATTTATTACTTATTGGTAGGATAAACACTATTGTTGCGTTTCACCACTGTCAGATAGCGCTATTCGTCACATAAAGTCCATCATAAGTTATGAGTCCGATGAATGTCAAATAGCACAATTTATCTTCCAATTTATGTGTTGCATAGCTATGTGGTACTTTATTCATGCATTGTGAACAGACCCTAAGGAACGCAAGTCAAAACTACCGCCTAGCCTAACTAGGAGTTTTAAGATTAAAATGAATATTATAGAGAAGTTGTAAAATGTGCATCTTACGCCGTCGAATTAAGGTTTTTCGGAACTATGTAGTCTATTCCCTCATCAAAATCGCCTATTAACAATTATTATTCCGCCGGAAATAGCTAAGAACTAATTGAAGTCCTGATCTGTCATACCCTGAGCTCTGAGTGTCTATAGTGCTTGAGGGGCAGAGACATTCTCTATATGTTTCTTTATTTACAATAAAACTGTGATGAAAATGACGCAGTGCACATTTTCAGCAACTTCATAGAGACCTTTCGCCGAGTTGTTTTAGAAACCTTGCTGTGTAAATTAATTGCTATTATATTTATTTTCTTTATTCCTACATAATTATGTATTTACAATGTTTATATGTTGATCCTTCTTCTATACAAAGAGTGCCCTCGTGAGTTGTGATTGACGATATTGTGGGCTACTCGATTGTGAGGAAGTTGAATGTATCTGGTTAGCGCTGTGCCTTCTTTAGTTTTCATTTTATTTTTACACGTGTATATTCTTTCTATAACATATTTCCATAAGTATCTGATTTTCTCCATTTTAACATGTGTGAATTGTATATTACACATGTATATTCTTTTGAGGTAAACGTTAATTGCGAAAATATATTATCTAAATGTCGCAGCCAACTAGCTTAATTAGCCGTTCAATTAACAGCCTAGCTGGTTAACTAAACGGCGCCGTTTAACTAGCGGCCTGAAAGATGTTCAGCCAGTTGATCAAATAGCTAGGCAACTTGGATCGATGACGTTTCATTACTTGCCGAAATATATTTATTTTACAGGAAAAACTCCGCCGCAAGTATAACTACACGTTAAGCCTTCGATTTGTCACGAAGTTGGAAAGAAGTGACAAATTGCGAGGTTTCTTTTTGACAGGCTCTCATAGACAGTAAGTAATAATATAATGTAGAAAGAAATTATAAAGAAGGATTGCTGGTCATTATAAGAGTAAAAATCATTTGTATCTATGTGAATATACTAGGTATAAAGATGTTTCTTCGTTTGCAAATGAATGGTCACATATTATTTAATGCTTACGTCCACGGACACTTGCAGCTCCAAGTGCGAGCCTTCTGGCACTATGTGTCCATGGGCGGCGGTATCACTTAGCATCAGATGAGCCTCCATTTGCATGACATTAATAAAACCCTGAATGGCGCTATCGAAGTATTTCTGACTTGTAAGCATCGATCTTCACCACTAGAACCTTCAGTGGTTCAGTTGATCGAGGATCCTCCCTTTGAGGAAGAAGATCACGGCTTCCTTCCTCCTCATTTAAGCGGGAGTTAAGTTATGATAGTATTAAATTAGTTTTAATTGAACCTTTTTACACCCTAAAATATTATTTAGACTGGGAGTTGCCAAGTTGCAACATATAGGATAAATTTTATGATGAAATATGTGTTTCAGTCGCTGTGCAATATCTCGTCTTTGGTTGACGCACGCCCGTTCAGTCTTCCCGTGCTTCGACGAACCCTATCTACGGGCCACATTCAAGCTGACAATTGTCAGAGATCGGTATGTATAACAATGGCATTGGTATTTGTGTGCAGAGAATTACGTGGGCGGTAGAAGAAGTTCTTAAAAACTACTTTAGCATCTACTCCAGCTCTTGGCTGCAACAGCTTTTATCAACCAGTAACGGTTAAGGGAATCGACTCAAAAACTTCAAAAGCAAAAGTTATTGCAGCAACTAGAATAACAAGATATTTTATTATTATTTAACAACAATTTATTTAATTATTATTTGTTAATTAAGATGTCACGTGGAACAAGGTGTAATGGTTGCAGTTCCTTGCAAACGTTGTGTAAAAAAAACTTGGCTTAAAAAGAGTGGCGGAGAGTTTATTGCCAGTTCTTCTCTTCCGTTCTACGGCCTTGATTTGAGAACTGGCAGTAAATTTAAAATTAGAAGCATTTAGTGTATATTTCTTTTTTGACGTTCGTACATTGTGTATTGTGTGTATAATGTACACTTCATTGTGTTATCTATATAAATAAATGATTTTTGACTTTGACAAGAAAAATGTTAACTATTTTTTAGATTCCACGTCTCGCTGACCAATATGCCAATCGTCGCAACAGAAGAGGCTGGATTTTATCTGGGACATAGACTTGTGAGTGCAATTTTAATAAACTCCTATTATAAAACTAGATATCAACCATAATGTACGGTGTCTCAGCGCCGATTTTAAACTATAAACACAAATTTCACGGTAACCCGCGGGGCTAGCGGGAGGGGAGTGGTAGCGTTCGGTAGCTGTCGCGAGCGGATTTGTTAATCGCACCGCGCGTACGTAGAAAAGGCGTACTTTTACAATGAGTTTTCGTTAAGTGAAGCACAGATAACTGCCGCTTAAGTCTCGCCCCTAGCATTAAGTTATTTAAGCTGTGGGTAGAAAAGTTCAGAGCGACAGAATGTTTACCATAGCATCCACGGCGATCAGTTAGAAAACAAGTTGCTTCTCTGAGCCTCCACCGCACAAGTCTTCAACGAATTTTGGCTTATCCAAAGTCTTAAGCCAAAATTCGTTGAATATAAGATCCAAATATTCAAAAAAATCATCGAAAATATTTACTGTCAGAAGATGTTAGACATTTTTCAGAGGAAAATTTTTATTTTAGTGCGATAATTTAACTTTTGATATTTGTATTTAAGAGTAAATAAATCAGCGATTCGCCATTCCCTTTAAAATTAAACGGTATTCTCTCTCTGTAGTACGGCAGCTCTTTTTCACCTTATTGTTGAAATCATCAGTTCTCGCATTCATAAAAAAAGGGTGCGTGTCCTTATGTACGCGCGTAAGAAGTTATACTTCTTTGAAATTATTAAAAATATTTTTTGATTGCATGCAAATAATTAATTACAATTAAATAATCAAAGACTGGAAAAGGAGTCGTTATAGTCAGTAAAGTTCAGTTTACATTTGAAAAATTAAATAAATAAATATTTATTATTATTCTCGTACATTAAGTGTAACATAAATTCTATTATTATTCGAATGTTGTTTTTAAATTATGTCCAATGCCGTAGCATCTTCTGTGGGCAACTTCATTATGTTAATTTTGTGTCACGGTGCGCGCGCATCGTAAAATTTCACTCTCATCAATTTTTCATAACGCGCCTAAAGAAGTATAACTTCATAAATATTTTGAGCTTAAAAGTGTCATTCAAAGGTTCAATAAGTTTAACTTCTGTGCTAGCAACGACTAGATATTATCAGCAGTCGTCAAGCGAGATGTTTAATTTTATTAATTGATTTTATTTTTAGCTACAAGACGTTTTTGCTACCACTCCACCGACGTCACCGCATATGATATCACTAACTGTATGTCGATTGCAACGCCGTTCTGCACCTCTTCTAGAAGCAACGACTGTACCAGAAGATTTAGAGGAACCATCACCTGAAATTAGTTTGTACAGCGACCGGCAGGTTATTTTGGACGAATCTGGGTGAGAAAGATTTATATTTAAGTTACAGAAGATTGCGTTATTATTAATATTTTTCAGGAATCCTTTTTATTAACATCGGTTTACTGGCTTCGGCTTAAATATACTTTATTTTTCTACATATATTCGGCCATATACCCATTAGTTATTTATTTAAGAGTTTATTGAATTTTTACACAATTTATTATTGTTTTTGTAATGCTAAAGAAAACTTTACTTCAATTTACTAAATTTTGAAAATACTGTGTACTCTTTTGATTCATGGCCGGAGTAATGTTCTTTATTCTAATTTAATAGAATTCTTTATATCTATTTGAATTGAAATTGATTTGCAAAGTAACTGCAATGAATGCATGAATGTTTACTTAAATTCTATAAAATATCTTTTCAGACCGCTCTTAGAATGGGTTCAAAAGACTATTCAGTTATATTCATACGAATTGAATACCTCGTATCCGCTGCCTAAATTTGGTAAGTTTTAATTATGAGTAAAACTTACTGTGTTTGAAAAAAGACGATACATATTCGTCATTTTTACCGCGATTTTTGATTACCATCTGTTTGTGTATACTGAATGTACCTTATTTTGTAGTTCCAATACAATCCAACTTCTAACAATACTTGTATTATTAGATTACTTCTAACAATACCTCTTGTATTATTAGATTACTTCTAGTAATACCTCTTGTGTTATTAGATTACTTCTAGTAATACCTCTTGTGTTATTAGATTACTTCTAGTAATACCTCTTGTGTTATTAGATTACTTCTAACAATCCCTCTTGTGTTATTAGATTACTTCTAACAATACCTCTTGTATTACAAGTACCTCTTTCTAGAAAGTACAAATTTATTTTCATTTCTCAGACATAGTTGTGGTCGAGACCAACAGTCTGTATTCTGAAGGTTGGGGGCTGATAACACTTTCGCCAGCGACCCTCACTGATACAAAGGTCATCGCCAGATTATTGGCTCAGCAGGTGAGTTTTTTTATATAGCTTGCAGAGTAAATATGTTCTGTAAGTGATTAAAATGATGATTCCCGTATTATTAAACTTGCATGGCGTACAGCTACACGATAGATCGTGAGTGCCTCTTTTTGAGACCCTCAAAAAAAGGCAGCCCGATCCCCATTTTTTTATTTATTATTATTATTATTCCTCAAGTTCGAGAGAAGTGGTTCGATATAGAAATACCGTATCTCCCAAGCGCTATTGGTTATGGTTCAAGTTAGAACAGCAACCTGTCTTTGGAGAATAGTGATGTCGATATAAGCGTTATATTGTTTTTAATACTTAGTAATATTTTTTTCTAAAATTTCTATTGTGCCTATTTGATTAAGAGACTGCATTTTATTATGTTTTTATATGTGTTTTTTTAATTGATTCTTTAGTTCTCGGGAACATCAAATATATTTAATTATTGTTTTATTTTGAGAATATTAATTTAAGTAATTGAGAGTTTTTTTTAATCATACTTTAACTTTTAATGTATCAAACAAATGCAGTTTTAATTACAATTTCACATTAAAAAATACTTATAATATAAAAACGCGTCAGTGTTTGCAGTACTATAAGTAATATAAATAATACATTAGTTTTTACACTGCCACAGGGACCAAACTTTTTAAATTTGTTTAAAACATTTTTATTATTATTATTTTTAATTTTATTATTATTTCATTATTAGGTTAAGAAAATTGTTAAAACTGTATATTTGATTTTTATGTTTAGGTTTTAAACGAATTATAATGCGAAGAATCACAAAAAACAAATAATTAATTAAATTCATGTTTATGAGGAAATTTACCTTTGATATAACACAAATTTCAGTGGTTCGGTGGCCTTGTCTCCCCACGATGGTGGAGCTCCCAATGGCTCATGGAGGCGCTGACGTCAGTCCTTGGAGAGAAGGCACCAGCATTTGGCGCTGTCACTGAAAGACAGGAGGATGCTCTGTTGCTGGACCACGTGTTGCCAGCTTTAACGTATGTCTTATTTATTAAATATAAAGATCAGGCAACAGATTTCGGAACTAACTAATTGGTAATAGGAAAACAAACCCAAGAAGAGAAGTAAAGAATCGCTGCAACTCACTTCAACAGCCTTGGTATAGCATCCGTATGCACCCAGGTCTTGCACGGTGTATTCCTCCCCAGAGACCTCAGTCTATTGTGCTCTAGACATAAGTAATGCCGTAAAGCCAAAATTAGTTCTAGAACCTTAAACGATAAATTGGCGATGACGAGAATTAGATTGTGGTCCATGTAGTTTTGAGCTTGAAAACTTTCCCGGCATAATTAATTCCATTCCAAACTTTAGTTTTATTATTGTGAGATTAGATTTTTTATTATTTATGTTTATTCTCGAGATTGATATTTTGCGAAAAAGTTTTATTTTTTTGCATATTTGAAACATGTTCATGTCTAATATTTTTCTAAAATTAAAAATAAATCAATGGCGCTATCACCTTTTTAGGTCTGGGCCTCAGATTTCTGTTCTGTTTCATGATCATTTGTTAATAATAATAATATTTTTTATTAATCAGACAAATACAGTCCATTGATTGATTAGTGAGTTAGTAACAATAGTTTCTTAAGATCTATGTTAGTAGAATTAGTAAAAATAAGGAAAAAGTAGTTAAATAAAAACTATCAGGTACAAAGCCCTGCGGAGATGTCATCCGTAAGATGTTGTTAATATAAATAGGCAAGTAGGTGATCAACCTTCTGTGCCTGACGCACGCCGTCGACTTTTTGGGTTTAAGGCAAGCCGGTTTCCTCACGATGTTTTCATTCAACGTTCGAGGGAATGTAATGCGCACATAGAAAGAAAGTCCATTGGGATCCGGGGATCGAAGCTACGACCACCGGGATGAGAGTCGCACGCTGAAGCCACTAGGCCAACATTCATATATTAAATATTTTTCTACATTTGACTAAATACTTTCAGGCTTGACTCCAGTACGTCAGTACGAGCTGTTGCTTCACCGAGACTCGAACGAGCTGACATAGAATCAACGACTGATGATCTATCGTTACACAAGGTACTGTCCCAGTAAACCAGTGAACCAATGAACATCGCACTAAAGCCTCCTACTTTTTCGTACTTATTTACAAAAATGCACACACTATCCTAACAGCACTAAGCCAATACGATTATGTCTACATTGATAATAATCTTATCTTAATACAAACATTCCCGTTCCCATACTCCTCCGAAACGCCTCGACCGATTCTTATGAAATTTTTTATGCATATTCAGTAAGTCTGAGAATCGGCTACTATCTATCTTTCAATCCCCTAAGACTTAGGGCGTAAGTGATAAGGGGTGTCCACCCCAAAATATTTTTTTTTTTTTATTTTTTTTTTTTTTTTTTATGATATTAAAATACATACAACCCTCTAAATCTACCATCAACCCCTATGTTTTATTTGTTAGTAGAACTTATAACTTGAGCTGTGAGGTTTAAAAGAGAAAAATCACAGAAAACCCTAAAAAGTTTTCATGAAAACCGAACAGTCTCTGGGGTAGCATAGCAAAATGTTCCATGTTGGTATGTACTAAAAAGGTAGGCTAAGTAAATCACATTAGGGAGAAACGAAGCCCCCTCGCAGCTAGTAAAATATATTGTTTTCAATACATAAGATGCACAGTATCGCTACTGTGAACACTCTGCGATTATATAAATATGTCGATAGTGTCAGAGACAGCATTCCGAAGGCAACGTCTTTAACGGGAATCTATGCGATAGATTCTGGCCCTTGGCCAAACAACCTTGCCCGTCGCACATATCCCCTAGGTACAAATCCGTGTTCTTTGTGAACACACACGTTAAAAATATACGTTGAATTAAACCTTCTTTAAGTTAAAAACTGCGATTATTCCAGGGTGCTGCAATAGTAAGCATGGCGATAGAAGCGGCCGGCGTGTCGGCTGGACGCGCTGCACTCGCTCGTTTACTACGCGATCACCGCACTGCAAGCGCTGATGCTCGGTAACTTATTGACATTTTAATCTTGGATTCATAAAAGCAAGTCTTACTGATAGTTAATTTAATTACATAAATTTTCAATATACATGTGCCTAGTGAGAAGATTGAAAAGAACAAAAAACTATTTTAATTAGTGAATTAGTGTTAGTGCACGTTAGTCTTAAGTGATAAATAGCGGTAAGTGAAAAAAGGAACAGACAGCCCTTAATAGAGACTGTAAGTAGTGTTATTGGACACTTTCTTATGTTAAATATCTGTTTTAGTAGTGTAAAATTACTTATTAGGCTTGAGTGAGGCTAGATCGCTATGTCCACGAGTGAAGATACAATGTATTAAAAGAACATAAATTTGCGAGCAGAACCTCGACCAATCAATGCACTTTTCTTTCGCATTCAACGTATGTAACGAAATCCCTTTAAGTCGACGGCGTGACACTAAAGGCTGATAACCTACTTGCCTATTAGAAAAATTATAATGAAACAATTACAGAAATCTGGGGCCTATTTTTCATAAATTGACAAATCGTGCAAAGTCTGTTTTATGCTAAATTTTCAAAGAATGTAATATTCCTATTTTACATTTTCGTTCTTTAGTGACCTTTGGCGCGCCCTACAACAAGAGGGCGGCGGGGAGTCCCCTGAAAACGCGTGGGACGGATGGTGCGAACGCGCAGGATATCCGCTAGTCAGCGCTACTGCCGCTTCCAATGACGTCATTATTCGCCAGGAGAGGTATGATGCTATAGGAACATTCGGCAATGTCGCATCTATCTATTTATTTATTCTATCTATTTACTACTCTCCAAGTTATGGATATCGAATCACATCAGTTTTCGTTGTTACATGGAATCGCAATTACGTGATTGATTCCAGCCAAACGCTAGAACGTATCATTCACAGTCGGCTCGTGGAAGAAACAGTGCACTTAAGGCCCTGTCATTTGAGGGGTGAAGCAGAGGAGGAGAGTCTGCGCTGTGTGCACAAGACATTACATCTTCCGTTGCCATATCAGATAAAGCGTTAAAGTCTAAATACTACATATAATTCCAGGTTCGTGATGTCAGCAGACCCACCGGACCATGATCCTCCATTCAGAAACCACCTCCTCACCTTCCACCTACGAGCGGAACTGGATGAACTTTTCTATGAACCTGGTTAGTCCTGGTGCCCTGTGTGATGTGATACACTTCTACTGTCTAGCGTTTATGATAAATTATATAAAACAAAATACATATTAAATTTGACCCTAGATGAATCAATCCAAGAGTTTTTCTTTTCCTGCATATTTTTAAGTAGTTGATTCTTCTATTGCACATTAGAAGAGTCTGGTCACCCACAACTCAGTCCTAGTGTGTGTAGAATAATGTAAGAAGTAGAAAATAATGTTTTGTAAATTTGTCTTAGTTTTCTCTCACATTCACTTACTCTTCATAATAAACCTTTTTGAAGTTATACTTCTTTTGGCGCGTTATGGAAAAATGTAAATGTAAATTTTTACGATGCGCGCGCATCACAAAAAACCGACACCCTGAAGTCAACATTTTAGTTTTTTCTATTGTTAGTGTCGTTTTTTCTACAAACGTAGAATACATTTTTGAAAAGATTTTTATCTTGTTACGCCAAAGTAGTATAACTTCTAACGCGTGTACATAAGTACACACTCGTATCATGTATCCAAACCTCCAGACTACTAAATAAGAATAATCCAACCCGCCTACACATTTCGAAAATTGCTCAAATTGCTTATTATTTCAGAAAACTTCACAGAAGCAATAGAAGAAGACGTTAACGCAACCACGACGACATCGACGACAACCAAACGACCCACAACCATCAAAACAACCAAACCACCCCCAGGACCCAAATGGATAATCCCTCTTACCTTCAGCGTGGGACCGATAATGGAAGAAGAGCCGAAATTATGGAAGAACGGGACAGACTTGCAGAACGGAACATGGTAAAATCATTAGTAACGCTCTCGTTCTGTCGTATTAAGCATCAGTAGGCTTACTACAATAGCGATTTAGATTTAATGTTGCTGAAGATAAACAGAAATGGAAAAATATGGAGGAGGCTTTTACCCTTAAAGGGGCCATACAAGAACTAGACCACTAAAAAATAAAAAAAGAGTGTGTGTGTGTACTTGTACTGTATATGTACACGCGTTAGAAGTTATACTTCTTTGGCGTATGGAAAAAAAATAACTAAAATGCAGTAGTGATTAACGATAAATATTAAAATTAATCAATAAAATTATTATTAGTAAATACTATCACCGTCGTATATGAAATTGATTTAATAAAAACACCAAAATAATATTTATTTATTCACACTGTTCAATTGTACTGTTACGAAACACGTGTTCTAAATATAAAAATACTAGAATATACAACTTGAGCATAGTTATTATCGATTTTCATGCCACCTAGAACTAACTTCATTCTGTTAATTTTGTGTAACGGTGCGCGCGCATCGTAAAATTTCACTCTCATAAATTTTTCACAACGCGCCTAAAGAAGTATAACTTAATTTTTTTTTAAACTTATACAAACACAACTAATACTAATATTAAGGAATGTAAACGAACCAATTGTTGTATGGATTAATAAAGCTTTAATAATAATAATAATACGCAAATCTACGGAATCTACTTGTCAAACTAAAAGAGTGTCAAACCTAGAGCTAGCTAGTTCTTCTTATCGACCGTTCTACGCCCTTGATTTGAGAACTGACAGTATATGAATGAAGAACCATTAATTTTACTCATAACAATTTTGATTTCGATTTTTTTATTGTGTTTTTAATTTTATATTAAAAGTTTTTATTTCCAACACGCAAATTTACAATTTTCTTCCCCTACATACTAATAATAAAAAAATTATAAATAGAAAATGAACTGTCGCACACTGCCAAACCTTTAATGCTGGAATTTTCTCGCTCTTATAGTTATTTTTTATTACAGGTACGACATTATAAATGAGACGAAAACTATATCAAAATGGTCGGAAAATGTCACTTATTTAGTATGGATGAATGATACTGAAAGTACGTACATATACTCTATATTGTAATAATAGTTCACAATAACTTTAATACTTTGTCTCTTTCTGACAAGTCTGTTTACGCTGTAATGAAAAGATACATATTATGTAAAAGCAAGTGACAGATATATTCTTACTTCTGTTAATGGAAAAAGCTAGTCTGTGTGAGACTGATGCCTGCTAAAGGTAAGAGTACCTGTTGTACAGAAAAGAGTAGTTAGACTTATTTATTTTCTAATATTGGCAATAATGTGTGTCAAAACTATATCTCTTTAAATTTTCGTTTTCTTGCATTATAATGACTCATTGGTCTAGTGGTTGTACCCCTGACTGCGAATCCATGGGTCCCGGGTTTGATCCCCGGCTGAGACGAACATCGATGTGATGAGCGGTGTTGTGCTTAGGTCTTGGGTGTTTAAATATGTATTTATATGTACATATATCTATGTATGTATGTATATCCGTTGCCTAGTACCCATAACACAAGCTTCACCAGCTTAGCATGGGACTCGGTCAATTGGTGTGAATTGTCCAATCAAAAAAAATAATGTTCAATTAAAATTTTAATTTCCTGTTATTTTTTTTTCTAAATTCCGCGGGTTGGCCTATTCGACTCAGACGTGACGCTCATCTCATCAACTTCTATACTCAATTCTATTCAATCCTAAAACCCCCTCTTATCTTAAAAATAAATTCAAATTCTCCGGTGTATGTTACGTTCCTCCAATAGATGTTTATTGGAAATTCCATCTCTCAGCTCATCCTTCTTAGGCAATTCGTTTAGGATCTCCGCCATTAAGTTGTGGAATAGGCTGCCCGACTCCATACGATTTTTTTTTTAATTAAGTTGTGGAATAGGCTGCCCGACTCCATACGATTTTTTTTTTTATAAATTAAGTTGTGGAATAGGCTGCCCGACTCCATACGTTTTTTTTTTTTTAATAAAGTTGTGGAATAGGCTGCCCGACTCCATACGATTAGTTAACTCCCTGACATCTTTTAAAACACTTCTACATTAACATTTCTTAACCATATCCTATCCTGCTCAATCGTGAAGCAATTGTTGTATTTTTTTTGTATTGCATCGCAATTCATGAATCCGTGAGATTAGCTTTTTAGTTTTTAGTTTATTTTATTATTTCTTTTCGTATATTTTAGATTATCGTTTGTGATTCTATATTTGATTTATAAGATGCATTTTAGCCACCATTTCTTTTTTTAGTTTTACCTTACTAGTGTATTTGTTTTTCCTATAAATGTAAATAAATAAATAATATAAATTTTCAGTGGTAATCCCCGATTTGGGAAAACACAAATGGGTGAGATACAATGTAGGAGCGAGAGGGCTATACCGCGTTGCCCCACAGGATCAACCCGGAGAGGTAAATACTGATACATTTTCGAAGTTCAAGGGGGCGAGAATTTTTTTGTTACGTAACAGGATGCCGTACTGATTTTAAGTGCCGCCGCCCATAGAAACTTACATTGCCTTAGAGGGCTTGCCGGCCTTTTAAGAACTGGTACGCTATTTTATTGACCCTAATTCGAATTGGCTCGGAAATCCTTCAGTGGGCAGCTGATTCCACAAAGTGGTGGTGCGCGCCAAAATCTGCCTTAAGAACGCTCAGTTGTGGAACGGCGGACGTCGAGGTGATACAGGTGGAATTTCGTATTCTGCCTCTACGTTAATACCTCAGTTCATCCGAAAAACTTCTCTGAACACTCTCCGTGGTAAATGCGGTAAGAGATGCAGATAGACCCCATCTCTACGCAACGCCAAGGGATCAAGCCGCTCGGAAAGTGACTGGTCGTTAAAGTACTTGTTCACGTTGACTCGCGGGCGCGGTCAGGAAATATCAAACATATTATGGCGTAATATCCAAGTGTTCACATACGAAACGCACGTGCGGTCTAAGTAGCGGGCAAGGTAGCGACAGGCGCGCGCGTGTCACTCGCGGCAATATCAAACGCGTGAAATGTTTGTGTGTGTTCACGTCGAACTAGCGGCGGTGCGCGCGGTTCACTCGCGACGTCAGGTAAGTTCAATCAGTTTGAACTTGTCGCTAGAAACGGTAGTACGTCTTCAGCATGTCTTTCAATACAGAAGAGTTTATTGGTGTTGAATCCAATATGTAATCAAAACAGTTGACAGTCATCCTGGTATATCCAAAAAATCTTGAAGGATGTTCTCTCAAATTACTATATAAAGTATGTTATTCACCATACCGTTCTCTTTCTGTATAATTTCGTGCACACCAATTCTAATTTTTATCATCTCCCACTTTAGATATGAATTTTCGGTTAAAAATAAAAGAATGTCGTCCATGTTTACAATCTCTGACACACGTCACACTCGCGCAAACGCCTGGCGGCCAATGTGAACACGAACTCGCCACTTCTCCGCGCCCGACCCGCCGCCGCGCCCGCGCTTTCCAACGTGAACAAGTACAAAGATTCGAATCGCTCTACGTTAAATACGGTAGTTGGAGCTGGTATTTACTGTGATTTGTTGACTTTTTTCAGTCAGCTGAAACCTCGGCCACCCGCGCTGCGATATTATTCGACTCAGGCGCAGCCTCCGAGCGAGCTTTACTTCTTGACGATGCATTCGTCTTGAGTCGAGCGCGACGTTTGCCAGCCAGCAGGGCTATTGCTGCCGCAGGTGGGATTCTTTAGATATATGTTTTTAATCATCAATTTATTTTAAGGTCTGGGCCTCAGATTTGTGTATCTGTTTCATGATCATTTATCAATCTAATAGGTATGTTATCAGTGTCTGACACATGCCGTCGAGTTTTTGGGTCTAATGGTCTAAGATCCCGCTATACAACGACCTTCACCGAGATGCTTATTTAATGAAACTTATTTTATATATAATTTAATATGTCAATAAATATAATCCATATGGGTTGCCTAGCAAATTTCAGTCCAGAGTATTTTTAATTAATTTAAAAAAAAAATATTTTTTTAAACATTTCACCGGTATGATTATTAGATAAATTCTATACCAATCGAAAGTATGAAGCCCATAGAATATGCAAAAGTTAGGTTGTTTTTAATCAATTACTTATTTATGTGTATATTTTTTATGTGACACTAAAGTATATATACATCTTTAGTATAAAAGAAGGTTATAGTGATACATATATAATACTACCCTGATTAAAAATATTGATTGAAAAAGTTCAAAAAATTTACTACATGCTAATTATAAAAAAAAATTTTTTTTTAAATATTAATTAAACATACTCTGGACTGAAATTTGCTAGGCAACCCATATGGATTATATTTATTGACATATTAAATTAAATATAAAATAAGTTTCATTAAATAAGCATCTCGGTGAAGGTCGTTGTATAGCGGGATCTTATACTATAAGGCAAGCCGGTTTCCATTGGTGCACGGGGGTCGAACATACGACCTCAGGGATGAGTGTTGCGCGCTGAAGTCACTAGGCCAACAGTTATACTTTTATAATCACTATTTTATGGGGATTACTGCCGTTCACATAGCATAGTTAAATTACACTACAATTATTCCTATTATTTATAAAGGAAACCAGATTGATAATTTTTTTTATTTGATATATTCCTTTTATAAATACAGTGGGATTCTGGGTTGGGTGTGGCAGCGAAGAAATGAAAGTTGAATAAATTCCATGAAAATGAGAGCTTCGAGAATGATGTGTGGTTGCATTGTGTGATAGGATAAGTAATAGTGAGATACGTGAGAAATGTAGGTTAAAAGAGAAGACATGGATACGAAAGGGAATGCTCTGGTGGTTCGGTCATGTAGAAAAGATGAACGAGAAGCAGTTAGAGATGTCTGTTTAGGTAGACATATCTGGATCAAAACCAGGAGGAACTAAGGAGACAAGTTAAAAGTACCCTAACGGGACGAGCATGCATGGTGAATATCATGAAAGAGGATGAAGCGAGAGGTATGTCAGGACTGTAGCAAGAGAGCCGTGGTCTCTGCCTACCCCTTCGGGAAAAAGGCGTGATAATTAAATAAATAAATAGATTTACAGCTCTTTTAAATAATATATCTTATTTTAACCGACTCAAAAACGATTTGTTTTAGCTCGTCTTCGCTTAGAACACCACTGGGCCGTATGGCAAGTTGTGATGAAACACCTCTCCCAGTGGCGAGAGCTGCTCCAGGTATCAGCATCTGCACCATACCTTCACGAGCTGCTCAGTACATTGCCCCAAGAGATTACATTATACAGTAACAAGGAAATTGATGAAGGGCATTTAACCGAGGATCAGTTGTAAGTAGACTTGCTCGATGAACATGACGGTTTAAACCTTCGGGTCCTTCATGAAATGAACGTACGAATTCTTGAAAGGCCGGCAACGCACTTGCGAGCCTTCTGGCAATGAGAGTGGCCATGTGCGGCGGTATCACTTAGCATCAGGTGAGCCTCCTGCACGTTTGCCTCCTGTTACATATACGTAATAGGTTATGTATAACAAAAAAAATATAATATGTGGTAAGGCTGTACATTTCTGCTCGCTCCAATTTTCTATTTTCTCGTTCTCCGGGAACTAAGAAAATAGTCAGTCATTTTCATTAGCGTAATTCTTTTCTTTTGATATTTGTTTAATATGTTGTATGTATGAAAAATAGATGTTGTCCGATTCTCAGACATACCCAATATGCACACAAAATTTCATAAGAATCGCTCAAGCCGTTTCGGAGGAGTTTAACCACAAACACCGACACGAGAATTTTATATATTAGATTAATTGAATATATTATGTATAAAGCAAGACTGTTTTTCAAACAGGTGGCTTAGTGGCGCTCTTCTAACAGCGGGTGTCGAATGGGGCAATGACAACGTGTCGAATCAGGCTTTGGAATTGTTCGACGCTTGGATTAATGGAAATGAGAGTATACCGGAGATATATCAAGAGGTATTGTGACACGAATATGTCAGTCACAAATATTATGTCGATTTTAATAGACAAGAGAATAATACAAATATTTATTTATCTATTTCTTATAGTAGTTTTCGTAACAATTATTCTTATTTTTTATTTTTTTATTTGCTATATACACACACAAATCTTCCAAGACTTCTTTTCTATTTTTTTGAGTATTATTATTTGTTCTATTAGGAGGGAGAACAAATAATAATACAAAAAAAGAATATTATTACTTTATTTTTCTTTGTTTGCGTCTGAGTTGCAAACTAGCTGCTGTGGTCTCTGGCAGAATTACCAGCGCTGCTGGAACAGTCGGCTCCTCAGCATAATGCTGAGCCAGGGCCAGTCACAACGGCATCACACACATTACACACTTAAAATGTACCTTAGTACTTTTTTTGTTATCTTTCTTTTTATATTATGATTATTTTGTGCGTTTCGTTAGTAATAAATCTTATGTCTATCTGTAATAAAAATAATTGAATTCATTTTTATATTGCTTAGTCTTTTGGCCCGAATTATTATCTCTGGGCCTGATTTCTGAATCTGTTTTATGATCAATCTAATAGGCAAGTAGGTGATCAGCCTCCTGTTCCTAGTACAACAACAAATCCATGACGTTTTATCCAAGTTCTTGATTTATAGTCAAACGCTTAAGCACCTTTAAATACTAACATATATTTTCCAGGCTGCGTTCACAGCAGGTGTTCGCAAAATTGGTGAAGTTGCGTGGCGTGCTTGCTGGAAAGCGTTAGTGTCATCATATTCAGCTCCACGTCCGTTATACTCACACCGCGCGTTGCTAGCAGCTTTAGCATCACCCACTGATGACTGGCTTTTATACAGGTACTTTTTGGTCATTTTTAAGTTAAGAGGGATTCGGCAAAGAGTTAGACTCTGACAGTTATAAGACAACACCTTCATTTTAAACCCAACAGTTAAGTTCTTCACAAGGTCCAAATGCAGTTATCGAAAAAATTTTGTAATGGACTATTTCATAAGGTTTTAAAACATTTTCAGATTTTTTATTACTGACTATAGAACCAATACAAATAGTTGTTTTTAGATCGTTAAGATAGATAGATTGTTAAATATTTTAAATAAAAAAAATCATAATCAAATACACAAGCATTAAATTTAGCTTCATATATATCTACCTAAAATCAGAACTGAATACGGTCACAAAAATATAAACTACTAGCGGACCCAACAGGCATTTTCCTGCATGATATTTCAATCGATTAGGATATTAATCAAAGTATGAAAGAACCGACTGCATCGCCATCTTCTGGGCTGATTTGTGAATCTAAACCATCCAGGGCTCCACCCAAACGCACAAAAAATCATTCAAATCGGTCCAGCCGTTTAAGAGGAGTTCAGTGACATACACACGTACAGTAGAATTATATATGTAAGCTATCCTATATTTAAGTTAGAACAAACTGCACGTGGTGGGCAAATTTGATTGATATCGTTGAGTAGTTTAGGAGCCCATAGCGGACAAAGAATTTTACGCGTAATTTATATATGTTAAGATTTCGGAGCGCGTCTTTACTATAGCTTGCCTCCTAAGATACGGGAAATAGGAGCTGGAACGGGTGTAGCAGTTGGTAGAATATTATTTTTTCATGTATGTTTTTAATTCTAAATATCTTTTAACCTAAAATTCAAATTCATACATCAAGAACGCGCCAAAATGCCTCTCTAGACAAGATGGCGTCCAGTGAAATGAAATGAAATGAAATGAAATGAAATGAAATAGTTTATTCTTGCAAGTAGGACTATATAAATCACTTTTACAATGTCTTCCTAAACTAGATGAAGTCGACATTTCCTAACTGACTACCCTGAGAAGAAATGTCGAAACAAACTCGGGGGTCTTAGTCTCTTTTATAGTCCAGATAATACAATAATAAATAAATAAGTTGGTGTAAACAAATGCAGAGTAATTTACTGGACTGGTCTTTGGAAGAAAGAACCAGATCGATCTGAGCAAGCCTGCGCCAGCAGACGGCTAGCATGCCCCGAATAGCTCATGCAGCTCAACCATTTTTGAGGGAGCTGCACAACCCGGTACACAACAATACCGCCAGAGGCACCATAAAGATATGTGGGGCAACAACTCACTCAGATCGCCAGCCCAAAATAACTATAGACTAAAATGTATCAAATTATAAATCAAGCAAAAGAGTTTATGATATACCCGCATAATGTTTACACTTACAATGGATACAAAATGTATATTTAAGGTGTACCTTAAAGCAAGGAAAAATAATTAAATTGAAAAATATAATCGTAATATAAACATTATTCACTTGGCATGTCAAAGTGTAAAATATTGTATGCAAAAGCACAAAACATGTCAGTATTGTAGAAAAAGAAAAAATGAATATGCACTAAGCACAAAACATGTCAGTAATGTAGAGAAAAAAAAATGTAAAAAAATGAATATGCACTAAGCACAAACATGTCAATAGAATAAAATAAAATGCATATGCAAAAGCACAAGACATGTCAGATTGTAAATATGTACAACATGCAAAAAAAAGAAAAAAGAAGTGAAAGACAGCTTAAAAAAAACACAAGCGATAGCTGTATAAGCGAGCAGCTCAATCCCAGGCGTTTCTATCATTTAAATAATCGGATATCCTGTAATATCCTTTAGTTAATAATTTTGATTTAATAAAAAATTTAAATTTCTTAAGGGGAAGTTTACGAACATCCATAGGAAGTTTATTGTAAAAGCGTATACATTGACCCATGAACGAGTTGCTTATTCTATGAAGGCGAGTAGCATGAACTGTTAAATTATTTTTGTTCCTAGTATTTCGGGAGTGAAGATCAGACAATTTGACAAAATCCGGTTCGTTTTTGTGAACATAAAGTAAATTTTCAAAAATATATTGTGAAGTTACAGTCAGAATGTTTATCTCTTTGAATTTCTCTCGGAGAGAAACTCTAGGACCTAAGTTATATATAGCGCGGACAGCTCTTTTTTGTAATAAGAAGATTGTATTAATATCCGCACAGTTTCCCCAAAGGAGAATGCCGTACGTCATCAAGCTATGAAAATAACTGAAATAAACAATTCTGGCTGTATCCACATCAGTAATTTGTCTAATTTTCCTTACAGCATAAGCAGCTGAACTGAGCCTTCCAGACAATTTGTTAATGTGTGGGCCCCACTGTAGTTTAGCATCAACAGTAATGCCAAGAAAAACAGTTGACTCAACAGGTTCCAACTCTACTCCATTCAGTTGTACATTGGTGCTTAACTGTCTCACATTAGGCGTAGAAAATTTTATTAATTTAGTTTTACTTGAGTTCAAAAGCAGATTATTAACATTAAACCAATGGACAACCTTAGATAGTGCCAAATTAACTTGGTCAAAATTTTCAAGTTGACGCTTAACTTTAAAAACAAGCGAAGTGTCATCCGCAAATAATAGGATTTTGTGATCATCCCTTACACAAAAAGGTAAATCATTGATATAGATAAGGAATAAGAAAGGACCTAGAATTGAACCCTGCGGAACACCCATAGTTACCACAGATCCTTTTGATTTTTTGCCATTAATATCTACACTTTGTATTCTATTGTCTAAATATGAACTGAGAAGTCTAAGAGCCTTATTTCTAATGCCATAGTGGTGTAGTTTCTTGATAAGTGTGTCATGGCAAACACAGTCAAAAGCTTTGGACAAGTCACAGAATATGCCTAAAGCATCCTGTGAATTCTCCCAAGCCTCGAATACATTTTTGAGTAGTTCCACACCTGCATCTGCAGTAGACCGACCCTTAGTAAATCCAAATTGTTTGGAGTGAAAAAGATTCTGTCTGTTAAAATGCTTTAGCATTTGCTTTAAAATTATTTTCTCAAAAATTTTGCTCAGTGTAGGCAAAATTGAGATAGGGCGAAAATTCGTAGGATCGGTTGTACTACCAGATTTGAAGAGTGGAATCACCTTGCTTAACTTCATTAAGTCCGGAAACACACCAGATGCGACACAAGAGTTGAACACAATTGCCAGAAATGGGGAAATACATTCAATTATTGAGGATATTATTTGAACTGACAACCCCCAAAGATCGGTGGACTTTTTTACTTCCAAATCTTTAAATGCATCTAGAATGTCCTTAGCACTAACAACTGTAAATTCAAAACTTGTCCCACATTCTGCGACACAGTCTTTAAGTATGTTGTATGCGGAGCCGGAAGACGACAACAAAGTTTGAGTTGTTAATACAGGAATATTAGTGAAAAAGATTCAAACTCGGTTGCCACCTCCAAATCCGCCCTAACATCTATATCATTAATTTTAAGATGAAAATCATTATTCTTAACTGTGGTTCTTCCTATTTCAGAATTAATAATATTCCAAGTAGTTTTAATTTTGTTTGCAGAAGATCGTATTTTGTTTTTAATGTGTAAAGATTTTGCGGCAGCGCAGGCTCTCTTAAAAGTCTTAGAGTAATTTTTAACATACTCCCTAAACCTTTCACTATGATCATGGTTCCTTTCATTATATAATTCAAATAATCTTATTCTGCTTTTAAAAATACCTGGTGTTGCCCAGTCACTAAACAAAACTCGATCACTAACAGAAACTGATCTTGATGTAAAAACCTTCTTAAACTGAGAATTAATCATGTTAAATAATGAAGAGTAAGCTTGGTCAGGGTTATTGTGATAAGGCAAACCAGGCAGTTTTTCATTTAAATTATTTTTAAAAAGTTCTAAACGATAACTGGTTACTGGAACAAAATTAACATTTTTTCGATTTGCTTTAACAATGTCTTTAGTAAATGAAACCAACTGGCCACAGTGATCTGAATCTAACAGATTAATAATTGAATAGAAAGTTGGCTTCACATTTGTAAAAACATTGTCAATACAGTGGCGTCCAGTACCATGACAGTAAACACATAAACAAACGTCAAGTATTCTCAATAACACTTTTTCATATTGCAAATAAGTAAGGTTTTTTTTTAAAAACGATTAAATAGAAATCCTATAACGTTTTTTTAAGAAATGGTAATGTAAAATTAACTTTCAGATTCGCGTACACGGTGATGTCAAGTGAAGCGCAACGTGGCAGGGAGTGGAATACTTGGGTAACTGCATTATGCGCTGGACTTTGTCGGTAAGAATTTATAACATTAAATACAATAAGACATAGAAAAAAAAAGTTTTCTATTAGTATAAGCAAGACATTGAAGACCGCAATGTGTGAAATTTTTTTAGCAATAAGTCGATATGCCCGTTTTTTCATATCTGGGGAGTTGCAGCCAAGTTCTAGTATTTCTTGTTAATTAGTATATAACAATTATAAAGTATTAATAGGTCTATGCAAAGAACAGTAATTTTAGTCTATGATTTTTTCTTTTTCGTTACCAGGCCAAAAAATCTTCAAATTAAAATTGTTTTAAATTTAGAATATTATTTATATGTTATCTGCATTCAATTTCGTTTTTTTTATGTCAACTAGATGGCGCGGTGCGGCAGGAGTATGGCGTGTATTAAACAATTCGCCACTACCACCCTCCGCCTTGCACGCGGCTGCAAGATGTCTTTATGAACCAGCTGATTATTTTAGAGTATGTACATATTCCAACATACAAAAACTCTTTTTAACTTAATAACCCCTTAGGGAGCGTTCAAGTATTACGTCACGCAATTTCTGGAGATTATTGACCCCCCCCCCCCATGTAACGCGCCTAGTGACGCCGTGGCGTTTCGTGGCCACCTAGTGACTCTTTATACCTAAAAGTTACTACGAAATTCGAAAATAATAATAATAACGCTTAATTTAATCCCCGCCCCGGATCGTAACGTTTTACAAAAGGACCCCCCCCCAAACTCGTTACATAATACTTGCACGCTCCCTTAGGTAATAAAACGTTTCCCAAATTCTGACTACATTTATTAATTTTAAAGTAGATGATCGACCTTCAGTCTGAAACGCTCATCTAGAAGCACGCTGTTGACTTTTGACATCCCCAGGTGCTAATAATAATCTTCCCTTTAAGGCTATGTTCAGATGGCAAAAACTTGACGCGCGTTTTCAAATCGCGCGACTAGACATTGTGGTATTTTCATACAACTGTTCACATGAGCTGCGCTCAGAGAAAAAGTCTCTAGACGCAGGTGATCGCGCGTTGACGCGCGCTTTGATATTAATGTAATGTCCGTATGCTGTTCAGTTGAGCGCGCGCTTTCATCGCGATCGCATGTAATTTTGTTAATTTTCGTAATTATATTTATAACAAACTGGGTCTATTTTTCAAAATTGGATGAACCTAATGTGTACGTTTTCTTTTTCAATATTTTTCTTTATAATATAACCACAAAATAATAGCCTCTTCCACGTCCATTTTCTACGTTCTACCGAACTAGACTGACGAGTACTCTCGCAACGCGCGAATCATCTGAACTCTCTTCAAATTTGATCGCGCGTTGATGCGCGTTAACGCGCGTTACATGTGTACATAGCCTAAATAGGCATCTCCTGGAAAGGCGTGCCCTCCATTAGGACACGCTTCACTGTGCTCAGACATAGGCAGTAAATAGCATATATTTTTCAGTTTAAAGATCTGTTTGGTCATCATCACGGCGCAAACGCAGCATTAGACACGATCGCCCTAAACTCTGCGTGGGTCGCGAAGGCTGATAGCGATCTACTAAGATACTTCCAGGCAATGCAAAAAACTTAGATATCCTCTTATTTATTATTTATGTTACAAACTGACTCCGAATCAGTACACTCATATTACTTCGATTCCGATTCCAAAATTGATTCCAGATTCATCGTTATATATATAGAACGAATTGTATTAAAATTACGTTCGAGCCATTGATTGTATAATTCTTTGATAAGATGATTATGCGATTGGGAAAAAACATTTTTCACGAGGCTTTAATGAATTTTCTCTAAAGTTATCTACAAAATAAACATAAACGTAATAATGATGTGCTTTTAACAAAGTTTGTATTTGCATGTAACGAAATGGTAGGAGCCGAAGTGGTGATTTCTACATCTTATCTATTTCTCATGTATTATTATAATTTAATTAAGTTAAAAAGTTATTTAATTTGAAACATACAGTATTTATGATGTTCTAACCCAACATAGCAATAATATTAATTAAAAATTGAGTAATAGAAAATTAAAACAATTTTTAAAAGTTGGTCCCTGTGGCACTCTTTGATGGCAGCATTTCCTCGCTGTATTGCGATACTTATTCGTTCAGCGAGGAAAGCACCAGCTCTGGGGTGGCGTCAACTTATCTATTTCCTGGTTTTACAAATTTCATTTTTGTAGCTAATCTATTACTAAAAAACTTGAGAATCAGGCTTTCTTGTCAGGAATTGTCTTTTTTATCTATTTGTTGTTGTGCAACAATAGTATAAAATGTGTAATGTAGAAATTATTGTCAAGTACAATTAACATGCCAAAGAGATTCACGACAAAGGGAATCCTAGTGTGTGTTTTTGTTGTTGAACTCGATTCCATTTCCAGAGAGTTATCGTATCTGATACCGTCAAGCCATAGTGGGTTGCGTTCGTTTATTTGGACAACCGTATTCTTGTCCATTCTAGTCCAAAACCCGCGTACGATCGCAATCCAAATTATTGGTTTGGTTTTCTGTAATTTTATCACTTTATAGTGTATTTAATGAAAACCATGGTACAGCTACCGGCAAACCTCTTGAACAAATGTCCTTGCAGAAGCTATTTTAGGTCTAACTTACAGTGACGTGTCGATCGCGTGATTGGTAAATTAGTTGACGTTTGTGTCCCGCGCTGCGCAAACTTTGCCCCACTCCCTTGTTTAATGTTCGAGATGTTCGTCGGTATCTGTAAGCATTTTTAAACGGATGTGACGCTAAAATTGACTTATGATCTGTATATCTGTGTATCTAGTAATTTTATGCTTAAGATTAGTTCCTTTGCAATGATAAATCACTAAGTTATTCACGCACACAATAAATGTTTATGTAGCTACCGCCGGATTCCTATATTCAACTGACGATTAACTAAACGTTTTACGTCATTCTTGGATTGATTTTTTTTTAAAGTCGTAATCACAATCTAGTCACACACAAAGTTATAGTTTTTTTTTAAATTTAATATTAATAATCACGCTGTATGGGACCGTTGTATATGGATATCGCTGGGTCTTTCGTGCCCTACCTGATCGTGGATCCTCTTCGTTAAGGTTGGAGGAACGTCTTCCTTGGTGACCCCGACTAATGCATGTAAAAATTCCTAATTAAAAAGTGCAACACGTAAACAATTAAGTCCGTTAGTTGAATAAAGAAACTGAGCAATGTTGTTTAAGTCAAACTTGGCCAAATTAGACCATGTTTATATGTGTATAGATTAAGCTATTGCAACTGGTTCGTATATAATTACGAGACGTATATTATTACGTTTCGTAGGAATATAGGAATCAATGAGTTTGGTATATTCACGCCTGTGTCTTCTAGGTGTTTTGCTAGTACCAAACTTAGAAACAAAACTTCTGAACAGTGTATAACAAAAACCTAGATTCTTATACTATACGATTTAAAAAATAGGCGAACCAGGCTAAGGGACAGTCATTTTTGTGGATGTGTTGCCGGCCTTTGAGGGAGGTGTAAGCTATTAAATTATACCTTTCTATAATACTGCAATCTATTTAGTTTTATGTAAAGCGCCATCTATTGAACGAAAAACAAGTCAAACAAGGAACCATTTAACATATAAAATCAATTTTCAATTTTACTGTGAGTTTTAAGTAATCATATTAAGTGTCCTGAAATTATTATAAAATAAATAAAACTACTTCCGGTAAATATTAAACAGTAATTTTTAAAAAAAAACAATGTGACAAAGTTCCAACATTAGCAATTTGCATGATTTGTTTTTGGTAAATTTTGCAACTAGGTTTTTGTTATACTCTGTTACAAACTATATTTTTTTAGTGTTAGGACTATAACGGAACTTTTAGATAAATTTTTGTAGACGAAATCCGACCATTTAAACATTGTATTCGACTGTACAAAATCGTAGTGTTCACTTAATTAATACCGGATTCTTTTAACTTACCGGTGGTCAGAAATGTGTCCGTAAGTTGTCTGAATCGTCCATTATTGTTCATATCTTTTATGTATTTCGTATTAAATCTAACAAAAACTACATCTAAGTAATACAATTTTAAATTTAAATCAAAAAAAGGGTGCGTGTACTTATGTACGCGCGTAAGAAGTTATACTTCTTTGGCATTATTAAAAATAGTTTTTGATTGCATGCAAATAATTAATTACAATTAAATAATCGAAGACTGGAAAAGGCATCATTATCGTCAATAAAGTTCAGTTTATATTTGAAAAATTAAATAAATAAATATTTATTATTATTTTCTAATATTAATTAGTATTGATATTTGATAAAAACAAAATGAAAACACGTGTTTTAAATGTAGAAACTAAAAGCATGTGGATAAATATTATAAATATATTGCGCACTAACTTCATTCTGTTAATTTTGTGTCAAAGTGCGCGCGCATCGTAAAATTTCACTCTCATCAATTTTTCACAACGCGCCTAAAGAAGAATAACTTCAAAAATTATTACATATAATCAAATATTATACTAATCAGCCATTATCTTTATTAAATTTTTATTCGTTTTGTGACGTTTTAATTTAATTACAATATTGTTGTGATGTGTATGTCATTGGCCTTAGTACATAAGTTTATTATTTAAATCTGTTTACGTCCTGGTGGACAGAAGAACTGTGTGGTGGAAACACAATTCCACCACACTGTTTTAAACTTTTTTGATGTTATACTTCTTTTGGCGGGAAAAATTATGAGAGTAAATTTTTACGATGCGCACACCGTCACAACATACCGACGGTCGTTTTTTTCTATAAACGTAGAATAAGGCGAATGATAAAATTTTTGAAAAGGTTTTTATCTTGTTACGCCAAAGACGTATAACTTCTAATACATGTACATAAGAACACATTCAGATTACGTATACAATAAATAAATAAAATGACTGACACATTCACGAAATAAATAGGACATAAATTCTCAAAGTAAATCTCTTTTGCTTAGATGTAGTTTTGAGTTCTACATTGAGACAATTAAAACCCGTAAACGTTTAGCGTCCCATTAAAATGTCCAAAATCACAGACTAACTTTTGCGTAAGTGACTTTACGGGTTTTAAAAGTTAGAACGAAGTTTTAGAATCATCTTGTACTGTAGATCTATTATTGTAAAAAGAATTTTGTATCTGCTTTTGTAATAAACTTTCCTAAAACAAACGCTATTTTATTCAACCAATATTACAGGACAAACTGTCGGCAAACGATATAGATTCTTGTCTATTACGCAGCTCACAAGCTTAACCGTAATTGTCATAATGCCACAGACTACATCTAAATTAGAACAAAATAAAAAAAAGTGCGTGCGTACAAAGTACACGTCATGTCAGAAGGGAAACTTCTATGGAAAACAAATTTTTAAGTCTTGTTCATATTTATGCAAATCTAAAACTAGATTTCCGACACTTAGAGGGAGGGAAATTATGTTAGGAATTTAATTATTTGTCATTAAGATATTAAAGTGTCGAAAATTAATACAAATTATTATAAATTTTCAATTTTATTAATTTATTTCTTCGATAGTAAAAACACGTGGCATTTTTATTTACAATTCGTCATTTGAGATTTCAATATTCGCCCTTCTCAATCTCTCTCGCTGCACATCTTCGTGACGTTTTCGTAAAAGTTTACCCTCATGCGCCTAAAGAAGTTTCACATCAATAAGAAATCAGGGGCGGTACAATCTTTTTAGTTCTAGGTTTCTGGATGATATTTTTGATGATTTTGATGATAATTTGTCAATCTATTAGGGTATTAGGCAAGTAGGAGATCAGGCTCCTGCCGTGCCGGACAGCGGACACACGCCATCGAATTGTTGGGTTTGAGGCAAGCCGGTTTCCTCAAAATGTTTTCCTTCACCGTTCGAGCGAATGTTAAATGTGCACATAAAAAGTCCATTGGTGCACAGGCGGGGATTGAATCTACGATCTCAGGCATGAGAATCGCACTCTGAAGCCACTAGGTCAACAATAATTCTAATAGTAATAATAATTTAGCAGCTTAGTAGAATATCGCAATACAAATGTAAAGAAAATCGAATTAGTATTATAACAATTACATGTCAATGAAGCATAAATCTCATTATTTTTAACAAACCTCTAAAACAATAAAATTTTATTTAATATAACGTTCGGGTTTTCTTGTCTAATAAAAACAACGGAATTAGCGCTAAGTGTGACTCACGTACGTAATGAATACGTTGACATACGTAAGTCCCACAGACTATGAATTTTGACGATTTACGTATAATTCACATGGATTCCACAGATAATATCAATAATATTGAATCATTAGTTTAACAGTTTGCCAGTGGCGTAACAATAGGCAGGGCTGGCAAAATGCCACGGCCCCCGATCCAAGAGGGCCCCTGACCAAGAGATATTATGTTCTATGGATGAATGTGAAGTCTCCAGTATGTATTGGGCTAACGTGGAGACTACAGACCATTCCCTCTCGCCTAAGAGAGAAGGCCTATTACCATTAGTGGGACATATACAACGTGTAATTGAGTACGCTGAAAATCTTGAAGTTTATTAAAATTAAACAGAGTACAACTTGTAGATTTTTGCTGATCCCCCATCAAAAGAATTTGCCACGGGCCCCACATGGTATAGTTACGCCACTGCAGTTTGCAATAGAAAAGCAAAATAAACGGACTTAAACTGTCAAAATTGTTCATCTATATACATCTATCATCTAGAAACCCGTATAAATTCAAAATAATATGACTTATTTTCCGTGAAATTTGTGAACAAGCATAAAAGTAAATAGCACATTAGCTTCCTAATAATACCTTTAACCATACTAATTAATAAACCTTTAAAATATGGTTAAAAAAGCTCTCTTACAAAATAATCAAAATTATTATTGTTTCTTTACAAGAAAATACAAACAAACAAAACAAATTATTGTTCATGTAGTGCTTGGTGATTTCAGTTAATAGTTTTTATGTCGACAATGTAAACGCTTCAACATGATTTTTAATATTTTCTTTGGTTTATTTTGTTTCGTGCCAGGTATTGTTTATTTTTAATTATGGATGGATGGATTATGTGGAATCAAAATTGGATATAGTAATTCTAAAATTACATATATTTTTAAAGAAAATTAAAAAAAAATCACTTCATATTTGTTCTCTATTAACGATATAGTTTAATTTTATTTGAAACTTGATTATTGATAGGATTTTACTTTAAAAATACCAAATCACCATGATTTAATAACAAATAAATATCCCCCTTTTTAATATTAGTATAGAAATAGATTGTAAATCTATTATATTACGTCACTAATGGCGAAATTCTACAAGCATTTTTAATTTCTTGCAGTACGATTTATAGAAAGTTACACTCTACATCTGAAATTCAACGAATTAAAAGACTCACCTAGAACACAAAACAAAGATTCAGAAATAATAACGAAGGAATTGTTAGATAACATAATTAATATTGCTGAAAAGCATCAACACGGTCTTACAGATGCGATACATAAATGTATCCTCGAAGAGAAGACAAAAGCGAAAAAGCTGCTGTGTATTCACAATTTAGAAGATAAAAGGAATGCAAGGTCATGGCATCAACAAGATTCTATACAGGACACAGTTGAAACATCCAAATTGGCTGATCTATCAAGATCTTTAGTAGCTAAATTGAATTTAGATAAAAATGGCTTTGCTGATGATTATATAGATTTCCTCAGTCTACGGGAAGGTAAAGAAGACGGCAGACGGGCCAATGATTTCGTTTTAAAAAAGATATTGCGTACTAACACAGATTCGGATTCCGATAGTTCTGATTCCGATTTGAGAATAAAGAAATATAAACATTCATTACAAGCGAAAAGGTTTAAGCCCAAAAAAATTGTACGGAAGGATCCATATCGATATATGCAGGGACCGTCTAGAATTTACGAAATGAACTTAGATAGACGGAGACGTTTGCCACATTTCCTACCAAAAAGACACTATTGGGATGAAAATGATTTTAAAGAATTGAAAAATTACTGGATTCACGGTCCACAGGGGAAGTATCCTGGGGCCTATAGGATTCCTTATTGAAATTAAAACTTCTAATTTTATTTAATATTACTTGGCTTCTTCCTATCTTCTATCCTTTTTCTCAACCATCCTTTGTCGATTGACCTTACCTCACTACGGTGGTTTTAGATAGACTAATTTGATACCCATTAGGGTTTTTACCGCTATTACTGAGTGTTCCAGGATGTAGTCACTGGCATCAGCGTAATTTGTTGTTTTCTTGAACTTCACTTTAAGAAATCGACGAATTCCGCTACAATTACTGTTCAAACAGCTTTATATAGTTAACAGAGGTGACCAAGTATAAAGCTGCTAGATTTATTGCATATTTCAGATGCGACAACTCTATTTGTCAGTAATCGTGTTCTGTCTGTAGCACAATACTGGGTACAATTTTCGGCAAGTCTTTATAAAGCACAGAGCAGTGTTGGCCTAGTGGCTTCAGCGTGCGACTCTCATACCAGAGGTCGTATCTTCGACCACCGGTCGTGCACCAATGGACTTTCTTTCTATGTGCGCATTTAACACTTACTCGAAAGGTGAAGGAAAACATCGTGTGGAAACCGACATGTCTTAGACCCAAAAAGTCGACGGCGTGTGTCAGGCACTGGAGGCTGACCACCTACTTGCCTATTAGATTTAAATGTGATCATGAAACAGATTCAGAGGTCTGAGGACAAGACCTAAACAGGTTGTAGCGCCACTGATTTACTTTTTATTTATAAAGCACAAACGGTTGAGCAACCATTTCCCTGACAAAAATAATTAGTGAAGTAGATTGACAATAGTCTGCCCCTGGCAATAATTCTGTCCAATTATATTTCCTTACCTTATAAAAAAAGCACAATAATTATTTCGCTTACTGAAATTCCGAAGAACGCTATAGGAATTAATTAAAACAAATTCTCAATTGGAAAAAAATATATATTCAATGAATAAAACAACAAAAATATCAACAATCTAAATTATCTTATCTAAATGCTTTACATAAAATTGGGCAATGGCGTATTAAATTTGAAAAGGGTTTTGTGATATCGAAAATTGTATTAGAGGGCTGTGTTGAGGGACTACAAAATTTGATGTGTCGGTTTCTCACTAGATCTTATATCAAACCCACATCTATTTCTCAAAGCTAAAGACGAAACGAAAATTTAACAATTAAAAATATTCAAAGCAGTGCGCGGGTACTCTGTACCTCCTAATAGTGAACTTGACTTCAATCTCAAGCTGGAATATCTCAAGTCAGATTTTTTTTTATAGAACGGAAGCCTATGGGGTATCCTGGGGGGCAGTCATAGCCCATAGACACCCATAGTGAGTGCATTGCCGGCCATTTCCATTTATCAAATAGAAAGTGGTTTTTCTTCTCTAGATTTGTTTAAGTGACGTGTTGGAACAGGCCGAGTTATGCGCAGAGGTTGGGACATCAGCTGCGACATCATCGAAGCTGCGTACAAAAACCTCGGAATCGATGGATTGTACATAATTTTTCTATACGGTACACCAAAACCTAACTTTTGTCGTCGAGATTTTTCTAGCTAGTTCTTATATTTTGTTACTAAGACGCTTTCTTATTAATATAACAGTGAGCGAACCATCACTCTCTCTCATTGTTTTGACGAAAAGACTATGTCCATTTATTAAGATTTATCAAAAATTTTCATTAGCTTTAGCATTGCCAAAAATGTCTATTACCCAATCAAAGGCTTGACTAAAATCGATTTTTATCAAAATCCATAATAACTTTCGTCACGTCACAAACACGCTTTCGTATTGATACTAATACAATATACTAAAAAACAATATTATTAATATATATAGTCGTATTTTGGAAACGTTCGCATATGGCAAGCTTGATTTTCTTGGATTGCCAGTTTCTGTAAAACACCCAACGATGAAAAAGGCGAACAGAAACAGAAAAATGTTCTGAACGGAATATTTTAAAACCACAAAACCCTTACAATTGCAATCCAATTGGACGTAATATGTTCCATAGCGTGCAAGGAATGTGATAAAAGAATTTATTAGGAATAATTTACCGGTTATTAATACGAAGTATAAAAGTGTCTAAATTCAATTCTATACATTGAGCCGTGAAGGTTTAAACGTTGTGACGTAAATTTCAGTATCCGTCAATATTTTGACAGCTCGATTTTCCATACAGTTTGTTTGTTTTCGTTTTGTTGGTGCATGTTTTCCATACTTTAGTATACTATTACTTTAACTATTCGATTTTAAGTTCAGGTCAAGGGCACTAAGCGATTTCGAAAAACAACTTAATATACGCGCTAGTCTAATTATAGAAATTAATATAAATTGTTTAAATTATGAACGCGGACGAAAAATCCAAAACGATTTTGACCTTCATGAGTCATACTTGACGCTATATCTCGAACAGTATCAGGAACAGTGTACAAGAATCAGCTGCGACCGCTATCAGGCATGACATTTTAAGACATGCCGTGAGGTCTATTATCAATAGTATACAAGCAAACTGAGGTATCCATAGACAGTAGCGTTTATAAAACTTCACGGCCCAATGAACCGTTGGTATGCTGTATTAAAAAAATCAAGCGATTCAAACATTATTTTAGGGAATCTAAAACTATGATAATAACAAGCGGGAATCCACGACAAAGTTTTAGTTAAACTTGCGAGATCCCGCGCGGCATTGACAGTAATTTCGGCGCCAAACTGGACAGTTGACAGACCTGTCAAAGTGTTTTGTATGCAGAGTATGTATAATGACAGCTAAATAATTATAAAGCTCCGAAAATATAATTATATTATTAAATACTCCGCACACATGTTTTTATATATAGATTATTGTATTTTATTAACAATATATTTGGCGTATATTGTACAAATCAAAAATATAGATGCAAAATAATTTTATTTACCTAAGGATTTATTGTTTTAGTAACATTATTAATTTAATTTATATACCGAAGTGAAAAGAACCAAAAATATGTCATCGTAAAATCTTAAGGCGTATATTTTTGACTTGAACAATAAAAAAAATCGCAATTCGAGCAATATAATAATTATTATTGATAAAAATTATTTTATCGATAAGCTCTGAATATCTAAATTAATAATATACAATTCACAAAAGCTATAGGCAAGTATGTATAGACGACTTTCCTGCTGTCAAAACGTCAGCTGTCAGCTGTCATCATCGATAAATTAACAAATCGTCAACGACGGATTTTCACACATGCCAAAAATCTCAAACTATCGCTGTCTTGCTCATTCTAACCAGCGTGAGCGGGACGGCAATAGTCAAAACGTCTACAAAATGATTTGGACTAGTCCCTCTGCTCTCTTTGGTGGAAGATCCAATTTAAAAGGGCCTGTAACACCATAGCGAGCACAAATCCACCGAAAAGGTCCCAAGAATGTGAGGCTGTGGGTATTCTGGCAACATTTTGTGGGTGAAAAGCAGCTGCCCTCTGGCCTTCGTTTAACATTTCAACACTTTTCGTTAATCTTTCTATGGCGATTGATTGTTCGCGTAGCGTCGAGTCTATCGAGTGTAGCGTTTGTTTTAACGTGCGGCTGAAAAGAGTATTTAACATTTATTTTGGCGTTTAAAAAAAATACTTATTTACACTTCAATAAAATACTAAAACATCTATTAAAATATTTAAATGAAAAGGAGGAAAACTGGTGACTTTACAGCTTTTGAGCTATCTCTTTCAAATAACAAGTGTGAGGGAAAAAAGTAAGTGCAAAACTACATAAGGTACTTAGAAATAAAGAATGGAGCAAAACAACAATTACAAGGACTGTAAAAACAAATGAATCACGATAATTTCAGATCAGTTAGTACGAAAGTTAGGGATACGATGTGTACATGTAATGGATGCACAGTAGAGATTTAAAATAAGATAGAGAAGAAGCTAAGTGGATAGGGCATATAAACAAATACAAATATAAGAAACATTTAATATTTCTTCAAAATGCTTGTTAGATAATTATTTATTCCTCAAGATTTAATAAGATTAGCTCATTTCTGAGTAGATTTTAAGCGCTTTTAAATAGGCGCCAGGCAATACCTGACCATTAGCAAAATACTACAAAGAAAAAAGAATGATACAGAGAAAATAGGAGATCTTTTAGCAATCATTGACGACGATTCTCTACTAGAAACTAGACTTAAAGTCTCGTCTTTCGAAGTCAAAAATTATATTAAAATTATCTAAAATCATTAATATGTCAATTGGACGAGACCAGCTGCCCACGACATTAACTGTATACATTACAGTTAATGTCGTGGGCAACAAAGTTTTTCTTTTGCTCATTTCTTAATAACTTCTTTTACATTTACTACCAGGTCATAAATCAAGAGCGACAGAGAGAGATCGAAAACTTTAAACAAGTTTTTTTTTTAAATGTTTGTAAGGATCTGTAACGTGATCCTCATCACATGTTATTGTAATAAATTTGCTACAGCTAGTTATATACTTTACATAATAGCTAATAATTAAATACACATTCAAACAAACATGAAACATAGTTAAGGAAAAACCTTTTTAACCGGATTAAAGTTATGTATTATTATAAATTTACAATTATTTAACATGCTGTGAAGCACGCGAAACGTCGGATAAATTTAAAATTATGTTAAATAATTGTAAATTTATAATAATACATAACTTTAATCCGGTTAAAAGTTTTTTCCTTAAATGTGTAAAGGTTATGTCAATAAAAGACAATACTATGAAACATAGTTAACATTTACTTTCAACAAAAAAAACAAATCTTTGATTTTCTAATTTGGTAACTACGGCAACAGTAATTATTTACTTTTTTACACATATTACCCACACATTGTCTATGCTTGTAAACGAAATTTTCGAGGATTTTCGTGGATTCCTACAAAAAATTCATTCTTTTATGTACTATTAATTTTAAGAGCTTTGCTTACTTTTGCTTGAAAAGGAGGGGGGATTAATGGCAGTAACTCAGCTTACGTAATACTTGAACGGCCCCTTAACATGGACCACTACGTCAAGAAAATTTTGAAAAAATTTTTTTGACTGGCAAAGTCTAGTAAACACTCTTACATGTCTTACCACAGTTTGAGGCCTGCCGAAGACATGGAGGAGTGGAGGAAAATGTGCAGCGACAGTAACACGATCTTCAGAAAAGCGACTGAAGAAGAGAAAGCTCAACCCCTATCAGGAACAGGTACTTACGTAGAAGTCTTAGATCTCCTGGCCAAGTCGTCATGACTCTCGGAATCCGAAGCGCGATGCGACAGCTCCCGGAGTCTCGCCTCGTTACTTGTGCCCATGGACGCACCAGTTTTTATCGACGTTATTATGAAATCGTCCTCATACTCTATTATCTCTTCTGGTTGCCAGGGACTGAAAATATTGTGTGAAAATAATGTATATTATGAAGTAGGTTTACGTTATAAAATTTTTGAAGTTATACTTCTTTAGGCGCGTTATGAAAAATTGATGAGAGTGAAAATTTACGATGCGCGCGCACCGTGACACAAAATTTACAGAATGAAGTTGCCCACGGAAGATGCTACGGCATTGGACATAATTTAAAAAAAACAGTCGAATAATAATAGAATTTATGTTACCCTTAATGTCAGAGAATAATAATAAATATTTATTTATTTAATTTTTCAAACGTAAACTGAACGTTATTGACTATAATGACTCCTTTTCCAGTTTTTGATTATTTAATTGTAATTAATTATTTGCATGGAATCAAAAACTATTTTTAATAATTCACATTCACATAAGTACACGCACCCTTTTTTTTATTAATTATTTGCAAGCAATCTAAAGTTCGCATATTCTGCCACTCAATGGCGACCAGATTTGTCTTAAAAAGAAATTTACATGGAAGTTACATACATTACATACATCAGTCACTTCTTAAATTATCTTTATTAAAAAAATATCACATTATTAAATTATTAATTACGATATCAAATTAATATCAATTATAGTTTCACGCAAAATAATAATTAAAAGAATAATACATTTTTTTCCAATTTAGAAGATTTTTAAAAAGTCAAGTAGGAAGATCTTTGAATGTTTTTGGTTTTATTAACCTCGATTGCCATACAAAAGGTATTTTTCCTATACAATTCCAGAATTTTTTTGGAATAGCCGATTTCTCCCCATGTCTACTTCGACAGATGTCTATTCCCATTGGTTAATGAGCGAATCACAAAAATTTAAACCTAATCTAATCAGACAATTTGACAGTCAGAGTACAAAAAAAAGATAAATTGTGCGTGTACTAGGTGTACACACGTAAGAAGTGAAACTTCTTTATGATCTTATTTTTCGAAAAATGATCTACTATATGCAACTTTACAGAAATTCGTTAAATTAGATAAAGTTTAACAAAAGGCTTTTATTATCATAGACATGAATACAAATATTTCATTTTACCTTATTACTACGAAGATTATTATACAATTTCATTAATTGTAATAGAATTATTACTATCATTGAAAAACGTGACGATTTGATACAAAATTTCTCCCATACGTCGATAAAGAAGTTTCATTCCAACGCCGATAAAGAAGTTTGACTTCAAAAAGCAACATGGCGCGTAACCGAAAAATGTGACGCGTAACGAAAAAATGTTACACTAAAATTTTTTCCAACCTCGATAAAGAAGTTTCACTTCAAAAAAAAGAGTGTGTGTACTTATGTACACGCGTTAGAAGTTATACTTCTCTGGCGTATGGAAAAAAAAATAACTAAAATACAGTAGTGATTAACGATAAATATTAAAATAAATAATAAAATTATTATTAGTAAATACTATCACCGTCGTATATGAAATTGATTTAATACACCAAAATAATATTTATTTATTCACACTGTTTAATAATTGTACTGTTACGAAACACGTGTTCGAAATATAAAAATACTAGAATATACACACTTGAACATAGTTATTATCCATTTTCATGCCACCTAGAACTAACTTCATTCTGTTAATTTTGTGTCACGGTGCGCGCGCATCGTAAAATTTCACTCTCATCAATTTTTCATAACGCGCCTAAAGAAGTATAACTTCAAAAATCAGCGAAAGCATTTTCTTAGATTACATTACATTATCAAGATCTTAAATCTAAAAACATTTCAAGCAGAGCTTGTGAACTCAGAAATAAATAGGTCTACCTCGATAGAAATAACATTTATTATTTATATTGTTATGTAACTTGAAAATAATCATTACTTAAAATATTTATAAATCACTCACGTGATACAATAGGGCCACGGATAAAAATAATGTCTAAATGACAATTAACGCACTAAAAACTTGACATATATTCACGTGTTTATGGTACGTCATAAAGACTGGTGCGACGCGTAGGAAAGTTTTGACGAATTCTTGAAATTATTAGATTTAATTTGAATTTTTAAAACCTAAATACTTTTTTAAAGAAGAGATGGCAAAGGGCCAGGAGCCTCATGTGAAAGTTAAGTGATACCGCACATGGACACTCTAAATGCCAGAGGACTCGCTAATACGTTACCGGCCTTTTCAATTGGTAAGCTCTTTCTTCAAGGACTCTAAGCCGAATTAAAAATAACATTGTCTAGGATCTAGATCTCATATTTACGTTTTATTCTTGTTTTTTTTTTATATCGAATCAATCACCGGAGCTATTTTAAAAAACACTATTTATTGCTACTAATCTACTACTACTACTATTTATTGCTACTAATCTACTACTACTACTACTACTACTATTTATTGCTACTAATCTACTACTACTACTATTTATTGCTACTAATCTACTACTACTACTACTACTACTACTACTACTATTTATTGCTACTAATCTACTACTACTACTATTTATTGCTACTAATCTACTACTACTACTACTACTACTATTTATTGCTACTAATCTACTACTACTACTATTTATTGCTACTAATCTACTACTACTACTACTACTACTACTACTACTATTTATTGCTACTAATCTACTACTACTACTATTTATTGCTACTAATCTACTACTACTATTTATTGCTACTAATCTACTACTATTACTATTTATTGCTACTAATCTACTACTACTATTTATTGCTACTAATCTACTACTATTACTATTTATTGCTACTAATCTACTACTACAATTTATTGCTACTAATCTACTACTACTATTTATTGCTACTAATCTACTACTATTACTATTTATTGCTACTAATCTACTACTACTATTTATTGCTACTAATCTACTACTACAATTTATTGCTACTAATCTACTACTACTATTTATTGCTACTAATCTACTACTACTACTATTTATCTTATATTACTAAAATATCTAAAGAAATATCTCCAATCGTGAGAAGTCGGACCACATTTAAAGATGCATGCGTATAGGTCGGTTATCGAAAGCTGGCGCGTTCAAAGTACTCACACTAATGCAATTTCACATACAGTATGTTTAAAAATATGACTTTTTTGCCAAGATTTATATTTTAGTCTACTCTGGTTTTAGTAAGGTTGGGTGGGTTGTAAATAAATAAAAATGTGTTAGATACATATAAATATTATGTGCATACGAGGGTGGATCAAAAGTTCTAAGCCCGACCAAGAACGTAAAAGAGTAGTTTGTGTAAATAATTTTTAATTTTTCGACATAACCTCCATCTAGCTCAACACACTTCAATTTTACTAACAATTCTTTCAATACTCATCTGAGAAACCCCAGTCGCATCTGATGTCAAATTAAAAATAACATTTTTTCATTAAACTGTTTTTATTAAGATTCTTAAAATACTTAAAAACATTGTGCACCATTTCACGAGATTGCTCTGGTAATGTTTGAAAAAAGATCAACATAAACAGTAGCAAAAGCAACACAATAACCGTCTCTTTTATACTCATAAGCTTGACCGAGCGCGAGAGAGACGGACAGTCTTTTCATGACGTATTTGTGATTGTCTTCAGTTTGACATCACGCCTCGCGCTTATTCACAGACACTACACAAGCACAAAGTGTAAATGTGTTGAAGCCGCCAGCTTTAGATAACATACCAATATAAAAAAATTAGTAGTTAAAATATTACTGCAGGCCTTTTTTGGTTGCAGAAAGACTGATAAAGTGGTGAAGTATAAAAAATCTTACCTTGTATCTGTATGATTGTATTTCCATCCTTGGTCGATGATTCCTAAAAATTATAAAAAACATAAAAAAAAGTCCTACTTTTGAACCAGTTTGACCTTTGTGATAATTCTACCATATAGCGTTAATGGCAGATATATTTGAACTTTGGTACTTTGTAATTGGCGAAAAAAAATCCAAATATAAGGAATAATATTTATAGGAAACTTCGTCTTGCAATTTTTATATAATATTTATTATTAAAAGGCCAGCAACGCACTTTCGGGATTTCTGGCAATGTCAGTGTCCATGGGCGGCGGTATCACTTAACTTCAGGTGCTCACCTGCCCGTTTGCCTTTAAAAAATGTGTACACATTGATTCAATCAATCAAAATTATTCAGTTTAGATGCGTCTTAGGGCATGCATGTATGAATGTCAAAAACGTTTACAAAATTTGCCTGAAGACCTGGTTCTGAGAAGAACGGGCAAGAAACTCAGCGAGTAAAAAAAAATCTGTTCTGTGAATTACCACATTCACCATTACACACATATTCACAACACTTCAAAGATAACAAAACAAATTATAACAAAGTATTGTCTTTTATTTACATTACTTGTAGACATAGAAAAACACTTTTTTAACGGATTTGAAGTTATATTTTATTATAAATTTACAATTATTTTACATAATTTTAAATTTAACCGACGTTTCGCGTGCTTTACAGCGTGCGTGGTCACGGTGACAGAAGACAAAAGGTGTTGAATGTCAAAAAGTATCACAGCTATAGAAAAAGTTGTATTATCTGTATTTATTTCCCCAAAAATTATAACAATATAACTAGAACTATTGCCACGCGTTTTTGTCTCCGAGGTCATTAACTGTGTAATAACCTTTACACATTAATTTGATTGTCAATACCTTCTGGCGGCACAGCTCTAGTGTCGCTATGGAACAGTCTCGGCGTCCATGTAGTTAGCTGATTACGTGCACGTGCACGTTGCGCCTCTTCAATTATCGTTTTCTGTTCAGTCGCTAGCACCTGAAAACACAACGGAACAAAGTTAATTTTTTTCAGCTGCATGGAATTTTATGCCCGTTGTTTAGTAATACTAAGGTACGATTCCACTGCATGGAATTTTACGCCCGTTGTTTAATAATCTTAAGGTACGATTCCACTGCATGGAATTTTATGCCCGTTGTTTAGTAATATTAAGGCACGATTCCACTGCATGGAATTTTACGCCCGTTGTTTAGTAATCTTAAGGTACGATTCCACTGCATGGAATTTTATGCCCGTTGTTTAGTAATATTAAGGTACGATTCCACTGCATGGAATTTTACGCCCGTTGTTTAATAATCTTAAGGTACGATTCCACTGCATGGAATTTTATGCCCGTTGTTTAGTAATATTAAGGTACGATTCCACTGCATGGAATTTTATGCCCGTTGTTTATTAACCTTAAGGTACGATTCCACCAGTGTGCTGAACTGTGCGGCACAGTGTTGCAAAGCGTAAGGCACAAATGTTTGTTTTGGTCGATTCACTCAAGAAAACAGTAACAAATTGTGCGCGAATATTAATAATGAGACAAGGCATACAAAAAGGAACTATAAAATATCTTCAACAACAAAATTAAAATCAACGATACAATTGGAAAATATGCTTACTAACACAATTAAAATTATTACTAACCTAACCTAACTATTTACAATAAAACAAAACATGGAATTTCCAAGCTCTCACGATCACACCGAAATTGTAAACAACATGTTTACAATTTCAACAAAGACCACAATTTGGAACAAAAAACCACTATCACAACAAACCAACGTTTGCCTAAAGATAGACTCTAAAAGTAATCAGCTGTTGCCGTGACCGCCATCTTGTTTTACATTATTAATCAACACGCTGGCTTTGGTTCAGACAGATAGTTAAACGTTTTGGACGCTAATTTACTTAAATCAAAACGCTAGCGACTTGATTGAATATCTATCTTTAACTAACTGTCTCGAGATTCAATTAACTCTCTGATTTAATTACTTTACTGCGACATATACATCCTCAGACTTTTTTTTAGGTAACATAGCATACTCGCTTGTCTTAGAAATCGTGCCCTCCATGTGGTTTAGCACTCGCCCGGTAGCGCACAATTTTTTTTTTATAGAAATAGACTTGCGCTCTGACCGGGAATCGAACCCGATACCCCTCACCTAGCAAACAATTCCTGATAGGACATACAATTAACACAAATGATGGCCAACAATATCTTATAACACACTGAAAACCTTCCTTTTTTAAAGTCGGTAAGCTCCTCTTCCGCTTAACACGATTATTATAATTCTAACATGATTCAGAAACATCCTACTCTGACATCAACCTGCCGTGTGTCAGAAATGCATTGGACTTTGACATGCTCGCAACGCTAAGTCTACCATACCTGATCCTCACTCAATATGGCTTCGGAGACTTTGACCCACAGTCTTTGGGATTCCCACTCGTGTTGTTTGTCGATATCCACCAAGTACCGAGGCAGACGCTGCTCTTTTAATACTGATACGTCTAGAAGACTTGTTTCGTCCTATAAACAAATTTCTGTTAAATATTTAAAAAAAAAATCTGAATCTGTTTCTGGATCATTTTTTAATAGGCAAGTAGGTGATCAGCCTCCTGTGACTGACACACGCCTTTTTGGGTCTTAGACATGTCAGTTTCATCACGATGTTTTCCTTCACCGTACGAGCAAGAGTTAAATGCGGACACAGAAAGATTGGTGCACAGCCGGTGATCGAATCTACGATCTCATGGATGAGAGTCGCACTCTGAAGCCACACTGCGTTATTTAAATTTTCAAAGGGAAGGTGCCTTTATTGGGAAAGTAGGCCATAAGTTTTGACAACAAAACTAAATTATTAAATCATTATGATAATTAATATGATATTGCATGCCTATTTTTATATGGCTGTTTTTTTTTTTAAATAAATCTGAATGTACCACTTTCTATTGTACGAGCCAAGGCTGTACATTTTGCTCACTGTCAAAATAGGTACCTTTAACTAAGACAATTTTAATTTTGTAAATATTTTTTACTTTATATAAATAATATCTTTTTCTAAAAAAAAGTAGATGTTTTTATGGTCCCACGGCCTAAGTCAAAAAGGCCGCAATACTTGACGGTGCTTCGGGCGACGCGGGAAAGCGTCACGAACATGTGCAGCGTTTTTGTCGAAGAAAAGGGATAGAGCGATTGAGAGAGAAAGGGCGAATTACCTTTAATAAATTTAATTTTTCAAATTAAATTTCGTATTAAGAGAATTTATGAAATATTAGTATTTTATATTTTATGCAAAATAATTTATTGAAATCTCAAATGATTATTTGTATTAATTTTCGACACTTAATATTTTAATAACAATTAAATTTCTAACACATCTTCCTTTTTCCCTCCCTCTCAGTCTGGGAAATGTTTAGAGATTTGTATAAATATGAACAAGACTTAAAAATTAGTTTGCCAAAGAAGTTTCACTTCTGACGTGTACTTTGTACGGACGCACTTTTTTATTTAAATACTAGCTGATCCGGCAAACGTCGTTTTGCCATGTTTATCATTTATAATAAAAAATAGGGGTTGATCGTAGAGGGGTGAAAATTAGGGGTTGTATGTATTTTGAATGCTGTATCATAAAAACATAAAAATTAAAAAAAAAATTAGGGGTGGACTACCCTTAACATTTAGGGGGATGAAAAATAGATGTTGTCCGATTCTCAGTTATACCCAATATGCACACAAAATTTCATAAGAATCGGTCAAGCCGTTTCGGAGGAGTTTAACCACAAACACCGCGACACGAGAACTTTATATATTAGATTGTGGCCTTCACATTTTAGCCGTTCTGTTTAATGTAAAGGTATAATAAAACACTTCACTTTCACTAATATGCTAGTGAATAAAAACGCAAAGGTTCAAATGATTTAGTACTTTGGACATTTATTTATCAAGCTTTAAGCTACTCACCCCAGTTTTCTTATCTTTAATATCGATCCGTCCGTCCCAATATCCCTCGACGGTCGCGATTGTGTCCTTGCCACGTTTTATCCTTCCCGATATGGCATTTGTTTGGTCCGCGCCACCGAGAAAAGACTGAAAAATTGAATTAGAACATTTAACTAAATGTAAAATTAGAAGCATTTAATATGTATTTCTTTTTGACGTTCATAAGTGTACATTGTGTTACCTATTTGAATAAATGATTTTGATTTGATTTGATTCAATCTAAAATGTATATTTAAAATATGTGAGCAGTGTTGTCCAAGTGGCTTTAGCGTGGGACTCTCATCCCTGAGGTCGTAGGTTCGATCCCCGGCTGTGCACCAATGGATTTTCTTTCTATGTGCGCATTTAACATTTGCTCTAACGGTGAAGGAAAACATCGTGAGGAAACCAACATGTCTTAGACCCAAAAAGTCGACGGCGTGTGTCAGGCACCGGAGGCTCCTTGATTTAAAAATGATCATGAAACAGATTCAGAATTCTGAGGCCTAGACCTAAAAAGGTTTTAGCGCCACTGATTTATTTATTTTTATTTAGAATATGTACTCTTGTGAGTAATGGTAACCATTTAAACTTTAGATATATAACAATGTGCTTGTTTGAAATCTGTCTGAAATCACTATTTTTATTATTGCTGATGCATTGTATGTGTACAATGTACATTGTTAATTATTGATCTATTCACTGTGATTAAAAGTTTAAATCTTCCAACATAAACCTTAAATGTAAAAGAGAAACTGTTACTGACATTATAACATTAAATAGAAATATTTTTCGAAAAAACTAAATAATTTATTGCAATAAAATATGAAAGTGAAAGCGAGAATAAACTAAAGAAATCAGGGGACTTAGAAATAAGTAAAAACTAGAGCTAAAAGTACCATCTATGAGCCTACAATAATGTTGTTGATATATTATGTATCAACTTAACAAAGAAACCAATGAATCCCATGATGCAGAAACCAGTTAATAGTAGATAATCAAAGAATTTATTAGAAATCATACCCAGTTTAATTAACTATAACCCATAATTAATACGTATTAACGTGTCATATAAGCAATTTGTTATAAGAGCTGTCAAGTTGTCAATGTCTGACAATTGGCAATTCCATAGATTTAATCTTGAAAAACCGTCAAAACTCACCCTCAGTTTAAATTCCACATCCGCCTGATATCCAGTCTCCTGACATATTATGTGCACCTGAAATAAAATTCAGAATTCATTTACTAATTTTTTTTTTTAATAAATGGATAATCAAACAAAAAGATTCAGATTTTGTTCCCGTTTAACCAAAAAAACCTTATAATGTAAACACAGAAGCATACTTCGGTGATTTTTTGCAGAAAAAAACACTTTCATCTGGATTTTTTATTAAAAGAACTGGCATTATATATTACTTGAGAATCAGAAGTCAAAAGCCTATTAAAACAATTGTAAAAAGTTTTTTGTCCTACCTTTCCCCCAAGCTCCATACTAAGTGTACCAATAACAATTCCCTTACAATGCGCATACGGCGCTGTTGTGATATACGTCTCCCCCCCAATTTAGTAAATGTATTCGCGCGCACCCCTCCAAAATGGCGGACGTTGAGTTACCTAGAATTTATAAAGTTTTTAAGTTTTTCAATTTAGTTGCAAATATTTTTATAATTGCTTTGTATAAAACGTTGGTTTAAAGTATTCGTAACCATGGTAACCATTATAACGTTACTATAGTCTGGCTAATGAAAGAAGATAATTGAATTATTTGAAAACTTTCGGATGGCAACACAAAATGTCATTGAATTTCTTAGGTTAGTATGATTTATTGTCTTGATACTTCATGCAATTACTCATTTTTATTTCTATTATATATTTTTTCCGAATTAACTATTCGGTACAGGTATAATAGCCTAAACTTTGTTTAATTTGATAGAATATTTCGTTTCGTTTGCAGGATTTTATTATTCCGAATAAAGTTGTGTTTTATAATAAATATAGTTTTAGTTTTCCATGCAATGCTAGTCATTTTAAGTATCAATAGTAAAAGACTAAATACGTATAGTATTTAATTTCAAATAAATACAGTTACCATCAATGTAAAAAATAATAAAATAAAATCAAGTATCAAGTAAGTTTAATCCACGAAATATATCAAACTTTTAGGGATACCATACTATTTTTTTTTATTTACCGCGCTTTTTCGTTATCTCCTTTCATTAGCCAGACTCTATAACAACAAACACAGCAACTAAATAAACTTTTCTAAAAGTAGAATTGAAACTCGTGTACATTATGGGAAAAAAATATAATTATATCTTCGGGGGTATTGCAAGATAAAAATGTAAACAACAATTACTAAAAAACGTACCATAAAACTTAGACCTAGCTAACAGACTACCCTCTATAACGAATCCATCTTTCCTATTCGATATATAAAACGCCGAAACTGGGGGATGATGTGAAACCTGGAAAGAAAAAAACATCACAGTCAAATTAGGTATTTCTTAGTTGTATTGAAAAAATGTGTGCGTGTACTAGGTGTACACACGTAAGAAGTGAAACTTCTTTATGACCTTATTAGAAACTATTTCTTTAAACACAGTAAATTTTGATACACTGCCTAGCATACAATTTACAAATTAATTGCTGCAAATTGCGATTAGCAAATTTCAAGTCGAAAATGTAATCCGTTGTCAAACTTCAAAGTCAAAAACATACTATATGTCATATTTTAACGCCGATAAAGAAGTTTGACTTCAAAAAGCAACATGGCGCGTAACGGAAAAATGTGACGCGTAACGCAAAAATGTTACACTAAATTTTTTTCCAACCCCGATAAAGAAGTTTCACTTCAATAATTTTTATTGATTTTCCCTTTTATTTGAACCTTTTTGTCAATATTATATATTCCATCTTTGGGTATATTTTTGGTGTAATTGTTTTTATACATATTTTTGAAGTTATACTTCTTTAGGCGCGTTATGAAAAATTGATGAGAGTGAAATTTTACGATGCGCGCGCACCGTGACACAAAATTAACAGAATGAAGTTGCCCACGGAAGATGCTACGGCATTGGACATAATTTAAAAACAACATTCGAATAATAATAGTATTTATGTTACACTTAATGTAAGAGAATAATAATAAATATTTATTCATTTAATTTTTCAAATGTAAACTGAACTTTATTGACTATAATGACTCGTTTTCCAGTCTTTGATTATTTAATTGTAATTAATTATTTGCATGCAATCATAAACTATTTTTAATAATGCCAAAGAAGTATAACTTCTTACGCGCGTACATAAGTACACGCACCCTTTTTTTGTTAGCTTTAGGATTACGAAATAAATGCATGTATTGTAACTATTAATTGATGGGATTCCACTTGCAAGTCTGTCATAAAAACTGTCACTGTGACAAAAAAGTCGCCACGAGTCAGACACAGAGGGCTCACAGGCCTGTGAGATTAAGATTTGCGAAAGTTTTTTCAAAAACTGTTTCTTAAAGTAATATAAAGGAGTAGTCATATATTCGTATTTCACGAATTTGATCAAAAATATATGGAGCAAACATTTGATATAATGAATGAAAACACGAAAAACTACCGTCAAAAGATCTGAAATTTTCGTACTACCCACTTTTTATAAATTTATAACATACCTGCTCGGCTATATAATACGTGTAGGTATCATTCTTGTGTCGCCAGCAACATCGGAAGGTTTCTCCAAGGACTGGATTGTATGGCTTTTTGAGACCTTTGGGCTTCCGGTAGAGACCTGATAGGTACCAACGAAGGACACCTTTGAACCTTTGGTATGGGTCTTCTAGAATTTGAGCCCTGGAATTGATTAAAATTATAAAAATAATGGAGGGTATATTCAGTTATTTTCGCCACTTCTCCTGATTTGAGAACATCATAAGTTAACTATTCATAATAACTATTTGTGAAGTGAAACTTCTTTAGGGCTTAGGCGCATGACGGTAATTTTTTACGGATGAAACGCAATAATAATTATATTAGCGTCACGAAGATGTGCAACGTTTTTGTCGAAGAAAAAGGAGAGAGTGATTGAGACCTATTGAGAGAGAGTGAGAAAGGGTGAACGTGGCATGAAGCAAATAGCCATGGAGCGAGAGTAGGGAGCAAGCAAGTGAGAAAGATCGAGAGAGAGATTGAGATTGAGCGATCGTCGCATCACGCACAGTGCCATGGAGCGAGAGGTGGGAGAGAGCTATAGTAAGAAAAATTGAGAGAGAGAGTAAGGGAGATCGAGAAAAAATACACGCTTATGGTTGATGTATTCGTTTAGTAGTTACATATTAGAACTTTAGATTGCAATTCTGTCGCATAACGTCTTGTGCGGGCAAATTTTTATTTATTTATATTATTATTAGCACGTATTCAGTGAGTAAACAGTGTGAACATAGATATACAAATACATGGAGTGATCATATACTGCTACACGATCATCTATTGAGGCTTTTACCTTAGTAATAATTAATTTACAAGGAAGTTTCACTTCTAACTGTCAACTGTAGCATGACTGATGTGGCAGTATCTCGCTGACAACCAATACAAGTTACAATACATAAAGGTATAATACACATAAGCACCAGCACATAGCATAAATAATACTTACTGTCCTAATAAATCCGCGTGATAATAATTATCAGACAACTTATCCAGGAACGACCGAGGCTCCAAAATAAACGTGGGTAGAACCACTTTGCTCAAATCCATTCCCGGTCTCACTTGCTTTAGTAAGAACCATAGTAACGACTTGTTCTCTTCTGCTACTTCTTCAACTAATTCACCAGCCTGAAAATAATGTATTATTTCCATGCCCATACATCAAGAGTGCCATGAATTTCACATCCTACATCCCAAAACCATGAATTTATTCCCACTTTATTGGTCACAGGTAAACAGTCAAATATCATTTAAAAAAATTATCAAGTTCATTGTACTTTTCATATATCTTTATATATATAAATCTTTCGAGCGTGTATTTGTAACTGGAGCTGGAGCTGAACCGATTTTGCAATTTTTTCTTTGTCATTTGGAATAATATTTTTGTGAAGTAACTAAATAAATATATAAAATTTATCAGACCAATATTGAATAAAAAAAAATTCTCTAGAGTATTTTTCTGTTAGTTTTTTTTATATTTTCTTCAATACATACTTATAATTAATGCACATAATTATTAATTTTTTATATAACAGGGGGCAAATTTTTATATAAGGGGGGAAGTTAAATGATACCACCCCGCCCATAGAATCTCACATTCATAAACATAAATCACTTAATTAAACAGTCATTTTCACTACTTATTAAGATTGTTCATCTTCCAGGCTTGTTAAAGCTAGTTTACTTTACTAGAGAAAACACAGAGCAGAAAAAATAAAAATCTTACTGCACTTTCCATTCCTGCAATTACGTTTTTTTTTCTATAAAAAAAAATTTACCACTCCAATCTCCCGATCCGGGTCTTCGACGTAGAGACTCTCTATGCGACTGAGAACCTCCCGTTTCCTGGCTAAGGGATCAGCACTGAGCGACACCACCGGCATCCCCTGCCTGGAGGCTTCGCTGTCTGTATCTGACGCGGCACCTGCTAGTTCTGCAGACACATTCGGGATGAGGACATCTAGCGAATTAATTGGTACTAGTGAATTAGCAATATCACACATTTCGAGCCAATAACAAGCCTACTACAAAAAAAACCGTCTACCCTCATTTTAAAACGTTCCAATAATGTATACGATCTTTGAGTTAAATTAACGTATTTTTAGTTTTGAAACAACTGCCCTATTTATAATGCGACGCTCTCAAAAACCTCTTATTGAAAGTATGTAACCCCCAATTTGTGACAATGTTTTTTTTTATAGAAAAATATTAACTACCCTCTTTAATAAAAAACAGTAATGTTTACTATCTGTGTTAATTTAATATATTTTATTTTCGAAACTCGTGCCTTACTGATATTACGATACTTTTTATTGAAATTATGTGACTACATTTTAGGATATTTTTTATAGAAAAAAATACAAACTACCCTCTTTAAAAAAACAATTATGTGATCTTTGTACTACACTTTTAGGAAATAAAAGTTGTGTTCCTTTATTTTAAAATAACCATAAGTTTGAAAAAATCAATGACAATAGTTATTAGATAGATTTTAGTTTAAATACATATCTGATCTAAACTCTCTTTCTTATCTATTATGCAGACTGTACTTTTTTAATGACTGATATGTCCATCTTTCAAAGGCTTATGCTTCATTGCCAACAGTTTATCTTTAATAACACAGAATTGATCATGTATGAAAGGTACGCCTGCCGCAAGTCATTGTAAAAAATATCTTTATAGAACAGGGGGCAAACTGATGATACCGCCGCCCATGGACACTCTCAGTGCTAGAGGACGAGTGCGTTGCCGGTCTTTTAAGAATTGGTACGCTCTTTTCTCGACGGCGCCTAAGCCGAATGGGAAATACTTCAGTGGGCAACTGGTTATCCATAGTGGTGGTGCGCGGCAAAGTTAAAAAAACGCTGTACATATTATAGCATTTATTTTTAAACATCCTCCATGAATCCTAATGACGCGAAAGGACAAAGATAAAGATAAGATTGTGAATACGTCTTTCATATTGTTTGTATAGTGCATGTTACATACATAACATTCAAGTTTAAGAAATCATTAAGTGTTTATCAATAGAAAATTTCGAATTTGCTACGATTTCAAACGCCAATAAAATGCTAGTTTCCGTGGGCTGTATTAATTTTCTAAATTTTAAAATGCCCAGTCATGCATGCTGGATCTTTTATTAATTAATAATTAAATAATACACAACCTTCCATAAGATATACTTTTGTACATAACCTATATATATTATATGTATTTGAGTTCAGTAAGTGGCATTTTATTGTTTCATAATACAATTGCAAGGCTTAAGGACCTATCTGGTCGCCAAACTCTAAAAAAGTACATTGTTTCTTTCCATTTTTCGTCATCGTTTCTTGAAGTTCGGCGAAAGGAAAAATATGTGGTGGAGTTGAGACACGATTTAAATAACTTTGCTCGATAGACAAAAAATCCAAACATAGCCAATCTTTTAAACTTTAAATTCATTTATTTGATTTATTTATTAAAAAACCCTCAGTTGAAGAGGTTTCTGTGTTATTTCCGCTTTTTATGTAACAGGAGGCTTAATTGATGTTAAGTGATACCTCCGCCCATGGACACTCACATTGCTCTTTTCTTGAAGGATACTAAGTCGAATTGGTTAAACCTAACGATGAAATCCTTGACCACCAGGCACCATTATCATACCTCCATTACATGGAATAAAAACTTCATCCATCCCGGTGTGAATTGCCGAGTCCACCGAATACTTCCTCCCCAAGTCCAAGGTATGGAAACTGCTCAGGTCTGACGATTGCTTTCCAACCTTTCGTTTCAATAACGAGAATATACTCGACCGCCTCCGACCTTTGTCCTTCAACCTTCGGAGTATCTCTGGTTCTATGTCCATTGTCATTTTTTTAATAACAATAATATTCTAGTGATCGATTGTCCGACTCCAGTTTCGACTTACTTCATTGACACATCACTTAAGGAGACTATTAGGAAAGTGAAAACCATCTTTTCATCACAGTTCCATCAAAAAATTTAAAGTCACTGTATTCATGAAGATAAAGCTTTAGAAAATTCAGGCAACGATACGACAATTTATTTGGATTTTTAATAATACGTAGAACGAGGCATATTATTTGATAAAAGGGCCTGGGAAGTGCTGGACAGGCTACTTCTAATTAATTTGCGAAATTTATTTTAAAGTAAGTGTTGTTGGACATATATGGACAATAGTATGTTGGCCTATCCCGAGTTGGAACTACACTGAAGTGCAACAAATAAACCTCTTCTCTAATGTTATTTTTTTTATAATAGGGGCAAAAAGGACCTGGGCCTACTGGACGACCAAAAAGAGCAGTCATCGCAGCCCATAGACACCCATTTTTAGTGGGTGCGTTGCCGGCCTTTGAGGGAGGAGTACACTCGAATTTTGAATAGTTGGAGGTCGTATCTCTCATCTCTCCCCACCGGGAGTCGATTCCACAGTTCGCGAGTTCGCAAAATAAAATGCCTTGTGAAACGGACTGTGGAAGACTTCCAGCCATCAAGGTGAAGAAAGAAGAAATAGAAGTTTTGCATTTGGAACTTTTGTTTTTATTTTTAACAATTCATCATAATCAACTGATTCTAAAAACTCTTTCATTACCTACTTGAAATCAAAAATGTTTCATTACTTTTTTTTAAATTTACTAATATGGGACATTCTACGTAAATTTCGTTACGAATTTAAAAATGTATTAGATATAGGTATATTCGTTGTAAAGTATAATCTGTATATTGATTAGATTATGAATATAAGTGTGTATCTAATAATCTGAAAGGAAGTAATTAAAAACTAAATATAATAAAACTTTTATGATAACAAAAATATATTTGTAGTCCGACTTAGTAGGCTTTCCACTAACACGAGATCGGTATCTACGCGAGTGAAACCCCGAAGCATTGCTAGTAAATAAATAAATCAGTGGCTTTACAACCTCTTTAGGTCTTGGCCTCAGATCTCTGAATCTGTTTCATGATCATTTTTAAATCACACACGCCGTCGACTTTTTGGGTCTAAGACATGTCGGTTTCCTCACGATGTTTACCTTCACCGTTCGAGCTAATGTTAAATGCGCACATAGAAAGAAAGTCCACTGGTGCACTGCCAGGAATCTAACCTACGACCTCAGGGATGAGAGTTGCGCGCTGAAGCCACTAGGCCAACACTGCTCTAAATTAAATAAGTGTAAGAAATTTTCGATTCCGTAAATTTAACTAATTTATTTTCCGTCATTTTTTAATTTCCGTTTTTGTACGGCGTAATAGAAATATTTATTCGAACGTGTATTTAATGTAATGTAATTTATAGTTTATTCCAGAGGATGGTTTTGATAAAACAATTGTTATTTCGCAAATAAGCAAAAATCCACCCTATTCACACTATTTAATTATTTATTGATATCTGAAACTTTGTTTAATTGCATAAAATTAATTAGAGAATCGACATTATAAACAAAATTTACCTTATGCGTAGGTTATTTAGGGTTGACGACTGTTTTAAAGTATTATTATTATTAAAAAAAAATATTTTAGCTAAAATACACTCATACTTGATTTCTTTACGAATTAATATATTATGTATTTAAAATTGTTTAATTTTTCACTATCCAAAACCCAAAACATTTTATTTTAAATTTCATATCCGCCATGTTGTTATTTCAACCAATCAGGGCGCGAGCTGCATGACATATGTCATTTAAATAGATAATTTATCGAAATATTTTGAGTTCATACTGTATTTTATTGACAGTTTAAATCATCAAACATATCCATTTCACGACATCTTGTAAATTGATATGTTGGTGATCAGTCTTTCGCCGGTTTCCTCACGATGTTTTCCTTAAGCGACTGTTAAAGTACATAGACAGAACATTGGAGAACTGCCGAGGATCGAAGGACCTCAAGGATGAGAGTCGCGCGCTGAAGCCACTAGGCCTGTATGTACACCTAGTTGAATTGAAATTTCTTTGCTGTTTTGTTTCTTGACAGTCTGTGGCAATAAGTTCTTTAACACTTGACAACCCTAGCAAAAGCAATGAACGTTCTTGACCTACCATTGTAAACGCTTTACAAATATTTATTCCGATACACAGGGCCATTGAACTAAATGTATTAATAAAATATTTACACACTGCCATTTTCGCAAAATAAAAACCTATGGCGATGGATTGCCTGAAGGAGAACGCTTATATAACCCTTATGCTTTATTGGTTTTCGTATCAATTGTTTATAGAAAAAACTCACCTGATGTTAAATGATACATGGACACTACATGCCATGGGGTTTCGCGAGTGCGTTGCCGGCCTTTTAAAAATTGGTACGCTCTTTTCTTTAAGGACCCTAAGTCGATATATTATTGGTTATCGTTTAAATTTTTAACTTTTGGAATTGAATTTTTTATAGAACCGTGATAACGCCGCCCATGGACACTCAGTGCCAGAGGTCTCGCGAGTGCGTTGCCAGCTTTTTAAAAATTGGTACGTTTTTCTTAAAAAACGCTTAGTTGTGGAATGACTGCCGTTCTATACTAAGAGAGGAGATCGAAAAGTACTAGACATTCGAAGCCGAGTGATAAAAAAAATGTCCCATGAGATATTTTTATCTACATTTCCTTAATTAGATATCTTATCAATTGATAACAGCTATTGACAAAACTACTGTACAAGAAACTCACTTCAACATCTAATACTTTGAATTTATTCGGCTTAAATATAACCGTCACTGGGCCTAGATCAACTGTGGATGACCTGCTGCAGCTGAAAGCCAGCAGGGACAGGAGGTGGAACAGAATAGCAAGCGCTGGAAGTTACATACAATAAATATAGCCTACGTCACTCCACAGTAGTCGGAGACCAGTCAGCCTAGCTACCGATATCTACTGCAGCTGAAAGCCAGCAGAGAGATAGTACAGGACGGCGAGCGTTTTAAGTTTCTCATTTCGGAGGTAAAGACACTTTTGGCTCGCAAAGCGTAGTGAGTGTTGAATTTTTTACAGTAGAAGTTAAGTTTCATCGTCACAAACATAAAAATACTTCCTCTTTATTGTAAAGAAATACTAAAAATGTCCTTACTTTAAGCACTCACTAAGCGTCATACTACGTGAATCACTCCACGTAGTATGTTAGTAATCCGAAATATCTCAGCTGTGTACATAAACCACTGATTACCGGATCCAAGAACTTATTTAATTTAATGAACGACTGCATGTCTATATCAATAATAACCGCATTTAAATCTTGATTACCAAGTGATAAGTAGAATTACATTTATTTCATTACTTGAGACAGTCAAATATAACCTTAAATCCTCATTTAAAAAACAACAACAAAAAAGTTTCGCGCGTTTTAACAAACTTTTTTTTATTCCAGCCAGTAAAGTTTTCAAATTCCCATTCGATCTTTTTGGTTTGATACATGAACATTCCAAATTCAAATTCCACAGATATAGTCTGTTTACAGAGAACCCTTAAATGTGACAAAATATTTAAAATAAAGTTGCTTTCCGTTTGTTTGATTCTTAACTATACAACCGATTCTATTGTTTTCATGAATACAGTGATTAAGTAAGTAAAATCGCTACCATACTTTTAAATAACGACAAATTTTATAACATTACACAAAACACGTCCATACAACACACAATAAGACACACAACTGTGTTATCGCTGCGATAATTGTTCATTATCGTAATGGGTGCCATAAATATTATTTGTTAGATTTTACTTAAGGCTATCTACACTAAGAGGTAAGTTAAATAAATTTAATTTATTTAAAACTAATTTAACTAAATAAAATTATTTTACTAAGTATTAACCAGGGGTCCGTTATCAAATTAAATATAAAATTCTCGTGTCGCGGTGTTTGTGGTTAAACTCCTCCGAAACGGCTCGACCGATTCTCATGAAATTTTGTGTGCATATTGGGTATGTCTGAGAATCGAACAACATCTATTTTTCATCCCCCTAAATGTTAAGGGTAGTCCACCCCTAAATACTTTTTTTTCATTTTTAGATAAATTATTTTTTTTTTTATTTTTTTATGATACAGCATTAAAAAATACATACAACCCCTAATATTCACTCCTCTACAATCAACCCCTATTTTTTATTATAAATGATATGTATTACATGGCAAAACGAAGTTTGCCGGATCGACGGGTTTAAAATTTATATTATACGAGGGGAGGTCCAAAAGTTCGTGGAATGGAGGGGATGGAGTGGGGATAGGGGCGCTCGCTTAGTGTCATACTAATTGGGGACTCATAATTAGTATATAAATGGAGTTTCAGCCCTATTGCGTCATTCGTTTACGAACACTCGCCTGCTAAACACGTCAATCCGGAAGAAAACTGAAACTATGGAGAAAATTGAACACCGTGCTGTCATTAAATTCCTTACCAAGCAAGGAAAGAACGCTCCGACCATTTTGAATGAAATGGAAACTGTTTACGGGGAACAGTGCCCTAGTAAATCAATGATTTACAAATGGCATGGTCTTTTTAAACATGGTCGGGAGTCGATTGAAGACGACCCCCGCTCAGGAAGGCCAGTTGAGGCCACCACATCAGACATCGTCGAAAAAGTGGAAAAAATTGTACTGGAGGACACCCGTTTGAAGAAAAAACAGTTATCTGCATTAGTTGGAGTATCAGATACCACAATTTTGCGAATCCTACATGACCACCTGGGTATGACAAAAGTCAGTGCAAGGTGGGTACCGAGAATGCTCACGCCGCTTCAAAAACAGCAGCGCGTCGAAGCGTCAAAACATTTTTTGGAGTTGTGTAGCGACGATCCTGGATCGATTTTGGAGCGAATTGTTACCGGCGATGAAACATGGGTTCATCACTTCGAGCCTGAGTCCAAACAAGAGTCCATGCAATGGCATAAAAAGGGGACACCACCGCCAAAGAAATTCAAAGTGTCGGAGTCGGCTGGAAAGTTGATGGCTACTGTTTTTTGGGATTGTGAGGGGATAATACTGATTGATTATAAAGAAAAGGGCAGGACCATAACCGGAGAATACTACGCAACAATACTAGAAAAATTAAAGGATGCCATCAGAGAAAAACGTCGGGAAAAATTGACCAAGGGTGTGTTGCTCTTGCAAGACAACGCGCCGGTTCACAAGAGCAAAGTTGCAATGGCTGCTCTACACACGCATGGCTTCGAATCACTAGTCCACCCACCCTATAGTCCAGATCTGGCCCCAAGTGATTTTTATTTGTTCCCCAATTTAAAAAAAGACTTAAGGGGAAGGAAATTTTCCGACGACAATGAGGTAAAGGAGGCAATTTTGGCTCATTTTGAGGGAAAAGATAAAAAATATTTTTACGATGGTTTAGAAAAATTAATTCATAGATCTAATAAATGTATTCAGCTTAAGGGTGATTATATTGAAAAGGAAAAATAAATTTACTGTTTCATTTTTACTAAAACCCTTTCATTCCACGAACTTTTGGACCTCCCCTCGTATATCAACATGAAAGTACAGTCGGCATCTATTATAACGACATCGAAGGGACTACTCATATTTGGTCGTAAAAACCGATAGTCATAACAGCCGATGTTGTTATTAAGAACCTCATACAATAGAATTCAGCCGAGACCTTTGATTTTGATCAATATAACCAGTATGTTGTTCTAAACGATGTCGTCGTAAACGGTGTTGACTGTAACTTCATTATAAAACAAAAATAGCGTGTATTCGAGTACATAATCAGGATTACATTGAGTCCATGTCATTATATTTAACATCTCCGACGGAGTGAAGGTCCAACGGCTCCAATTTCTAATCCTTCCCCGCTATCTCTTTCACTCTTCTGGGCATCTTCTCTTTATACTATGGGCCATTCCAAGTAAGGGTATTTTTCCCCTGTCTGTCATCATAAACGCGTGATGTGACCGGCCAATTTTTAAACTTTTTTGAATTCCATTATACAAACTCTTAAATTTCTAATTAAGTCTGTCTCTTTTTATCACAGCCTAAACAGCTTGTCAAAAAGAGACGAAAGATTCCTTTACTCTAAAGACATTGAAGGCTGAATAACAGTCGCTTAACAAACAAGGTCATGTCGTATCTAATTTACATAGACATAATTCTCGCTAAAATTATTTATATATTTTTTGTTTGATGTTTGATATCAAAGTTCGCTGTATTCGGTGCCCTTATGTCAGGCGTCAATTGGCAAACTTCAAAAAGAAAAATAAGTTATTGTTACCTTAGGGTCTTCAAATAATAATAAGAATAACTAGCTGAACCGGCAAACGTCGTTTTGCCATGTATATTATTTCTAAGAAACATTTTTTAGTTCATTAAAAATAACTCTAAATTTTATTATAGTAGAAACTATAATAAAAAATAGGGGTTGATCGTAGAGGGGTGACAATTAAGGGTTGTATGTATTTTTGTATGCTGTATCATAAAAATATAAAAAAAAGTTTGGGGTGGACACCCCGTATCACTTAAGCGCTTCTATGGCCCGCTTTAGGGGTTAGATAGAAGCCGATTCTGAGACTTACTGAATATGAATATAAAATTTCATAAGAATCGGTCGAGCCGTTCCTGGGATATATATCTATAGGAACGAACATTGTGACACGAGAATTATATATATTAGATTACACTACGCTCTGGGTTACGCTCTAGCTTCGGGGTATCTACTGGCCTAAGACGTCTTCAACGAGCAACCGTGTGAGTGCTGCCGAGAGAACCTAATTAGCCAGCAGATCAAGCAACACAAGTGAAACTGGGCCTATTCCAGTTCCACGAAGAGATTCCAACCATATCCAGCAGGCGCTTGATTGGAACCCCAAGGAAAGTCCAAAGCCTGGTAAATACAGTTGCAGATGAGGCTAAGAAAGCCAGAAAGACTTGGAGCCAGCTGAAATGCGAAGCTCAACACCGAACGCGACAGAGGCTCTGGACGCCCTCTGTCCCGAGGGTAGGACATTCAGTCAAGTATGTATATTACTTTTGGCTATTATGCTGTATATAAACAACATAAGATATATAGATATTTGACATGATCATTTTTGGACGTCACAAGTCAAGGTAATGATGAATTTATAAATTACTCGATCGGGTCTCATTTTAATTCGAATATCTTCGAATTACGCATTATCAACGCGGAGACATTGCGTCTCTATAAGTTTTCTACAAAGTTTACTACGGTGAGTATTCTGAATTGTTTGAGTTGATCCCTCCTGCCTCGTTTCATATCTCACGAGCCGTATCAAATCGAAATTTCATCAAGATCACCTTGATGACGGGAATTCTTCCACAGTCCACAGTTCACAAGAACTTCTTTTGCGAACTAGCGAACTGTGGAATCGACTCCCGGTGGGGACTTCTCTGAGTGATACGACCTCCAACTATTCCAAGTTAGAGTGTACTTCTCAAAGGCCGGCAACGCACCTACTCAAAATGGGTGTCCATTGGCTGCGATGACTGCCCTTTTTGGGCGCGCGTCCAGTAGGTCGTTTGCCATATAATAGGGGTATATAAAAAATTTAGGGAATTGATTTGAAGAGGAACGCCATGAGAATTGGATTCAGGATCTATATCCTTAGATCTCTGCTTGAATTTTTTTTATTACAGAGCTGGAAAATCAAGAACTTAGAACAGTAGAGTTCATGCTCCCTCAAACTATGGTTGCGGTACACAGATGACAGAACATATCCACCTATGTTAGACGTAAACTAAATTCAAGTACGCTTTATTAATTTTCACCCCGTACTAAATCCAATGTAACATTTATTTTGCGTTTGAACTCAAACTCGGGGTCATTCACCTCAAAGTTCACGACCTCAGCTTCACAGCTGATCATACCGCACGAATTTTCAAGGATTATTATAAAATACACGTCGGAGCAATGACGTTACTACGCTGTCATTGTCATTATTTCACAATCGTTGTTTGTTATTCTTCCTAGAAAGATATTAGAGCGACTCATGGCCATGTGTAATTTTTTTCAGAATCCCTATTAAATGCGCCAAAACTTGTCATACAAGGTCACTTTTCGGTAGAGTATTTTTTTTCACGGTGGGGTCCGAAGTTAACAAAAAGTTAGGATTTGTAAACAAATTATAGACCATGAAACAGATTCAGAAATCTGAGGCCCAGACCTAAAGGAATGCGCCACTGTTTTTGGAGTTTACTCCTTAAGAAACGATTTGAGTTATAAGGCCCGGTACGGAAATTTTATGAGGAGTAAAATCAAGTGTAACACGAAAAGTTGAGGCGTTATGTAGAAAGAGACAAACATATATATCTGTAGGATTGAACGTGTAAAAGAATGAGATGGAATACATTACACAGACTTTTCTATTTTGAATTCACGTTTTGACAGCCACGTTACAACATTGTCAGTGTTGACAGGTGTAAAAAATAAAAGTAGATTGTGTAGCGTGCCATAGAGTTTTGTCAATAGTAATGGTCAGTGAATATAACTCTAAAAAGATTCTTATTCTTTTATTACTATAAAGGTAACTTTGGTCACAGAAAGAAAATCCTATTTGGGCACAGATGATGTAGGTACGTTTTATTACTACTACAAACATTTATATTATAAAAACATATATTCTTACCACCTTTAGTATGAAAATATGGTCGACAGCCACAGAACATTATCGCCATTTTATCGTTCGTAAGGAGTAAACTCCAATCGTGCGTCGTAGCTGACACACACACACTTTTTTTTTATGTACGACAAGGCCTACAACAATCCGATTTCACGATCCACGGTTGCCGTGTGATTAAATATCTAAAAATACCAAACAGGAAGGAAGTCTAGCTTTGTAGGAAAACACTTAGCAAAATACCTAATAGTAGTCGCAATCTAATCATAACGAGAACATTTTCGTCTATTATGTATTAAAATTATTGTTTTAATTAACATCGTATGTACGTAAGTTTTTGATAAGACACTTTTTAAGATAACTATATAAAATGGACATTCCCTGTGTCTTAACTTTTAGGCCTACAACGCACTAGCGGTTAGCCGTAATACGGCATGCCGCTACGGCAGACCGTAATATACCACGGCCTACCGCAGCGGCACACCGCATCGCGGCCAGCCGCTAGTGCGTTGTAGGCCTTAGGTATCTCGCGTACACAATTCTAGCACATGAAATGAACGCGATTAAATACGAAAAGGTACTCTATTTATAAAGAGCAAAGGTTCATTATTGCGCACACCAAAAAATATTTATGGTTCTAAGATTTTCATTATTTTAAAAATTACCGTCAATTTTTTGGCATACACGCAAAATTTAGCTGAATCCATTTACCGTTAGCGACAATTTTTCCAGCTATGTACACGCTGTTTTGGGAAATTCTGTCGTCCCTTTTACCAGTTTGAGATGCCTCAAAGCTGGCTGATGGCAACTTGGTGTAATCTATTAGTGAATATTTTTTGTACGGTGTCGTCCTAAAAGTGTTTGAATTCTTTAAGCAATGTCTGGTTCTATGAGCCTCTAGAACATTTAACATCTCCATAAACACGTAACTAAAGACAAGATTTGGCATTTCTGCAACTGCCTTATTGATTTTTTGAAGTGAAACTTCTTTATCGACGTATGGGAGAAATTTTGTAGCAATTCGTCACGTTTTTCGGTTACGCGCCATGTTGTTTTTTGAAGTCAATAATCTTAGTAGTATTAAGGTAAAATAAAATAATTGTAAACTTTATCTAATTTAACTTTATTTAAACAATTTCTGTAAAGTTGCATATAGTAGATAATTTTTCGAAAAATAAGGTCATAAAGAAGTTTCACTTCTTACGTGTGTATACCTAGTACACTCACACATTTTTTTTTTATTTATGTCAAAGAATAACATGGAGTCATTCATGCTAAATCACGATTCTAAATCATCCATCAACGCGTCTTCAGGATGTTTTTCTTTCTATGAGCAAAACTTTTGATCCGACATTTGCGCATTTAGGGTAAAAATCTTAAAATTGGCGCTAAGCGTGACTACCGTCAAAAACATATTGAATTATGAGATTCTTAGTTCCCGCTAGTTTCGTTTCTGAGGGTAGGAACAAAAATCCAGTGGAAAAATCACGATATAAAAGTTGAGTATCGCGAGTTTTGCAAACGATTTCGAGAGAGAAATTCGTTTTTTTTTTTAAATTGCATATCTTTTGAACAAAAGATTATTCATTTAATATATAGAAAAAACAGAACTCAATAGATTTAAAAATTAATTCCTTCAAAATCATAGATTCCTTTCTCTACCTACCGTCTACTACAGTTACTGGGAACGTCATCAGACGAGGACGTGGTCGTGTCCCTGAACCTCTCATTGGAGGGCGCAGTTTTCGTAATCAAAATATTCTCCGGCGTATTACATATAACCTCGGACGCCCCAAAAAACCTCATTTTCACCTTATGACCGTCATCTTCCGAGTCAGTTTTGACGCCGGACTCTCTCAAGGTCCGCTTTTTAACACGACTTTTTCTAATGGATGGCGTTGAACTACGTCTATTGTACTTCTCTTCGAAGGACTCGCGAAATTTTATTTTGGGGATATCGAATAACTTTAGTATCGGCGAGCGTTTAAACATTTCCAGCGCCATTGGGCTGGATGTGAGACTTCTATGGCGAATTTGTTTTACATTCAGGTTTTTTATGTTATCGCTTGATGATGATCGTTTAAGTGATTTTGCGGGTGTTGATATGGTGGAATCGAGCCTGAATCCTACTTAGCGTACGGGAAAGGGTGAAAACAGTAAATATTAGTTATTAACTCACATTTTTCTAAAAATATAAAATACGCTCGGTTCGTATCGGTGACATGTGTTACAAATAATCTATTACATTTAAAACTGAAAATTTATAAATAAAAAAAGGAGCGTTCAAGTATTACGTCACGCAATTTTTGGAGATTATTGACCCCCCTCCCCCCGTGTAACGCGCCGTAACGTTTTTCTGTACCCAAGTACAGTACTGTAACCAAGTATAGTGAAACGTTTCGTGACCACCTTGTGAATCTTTATACCTAAAAGTTAAGTACTGGAAAGTCGAATAATATTAACAATAATGCTTAATTCAATCCCCGCCCCGCATCGTAACGTTTTACAAAAGGACCCCCCCCCTCCAAAATTCGTTACGTAATACTTGAACGCTCCCAAAGCATCGTTAAACATTTCAACTTTTTTTCCTGTTTACGTCCATGTTATTTATAAGTCGAATACATATAAACTTCTATAGGCCGGGAGATAGTGACACAAAAGTAAGTCACACCGAAGAAGTATGGCATGACACTGCCGCCTCTTATTTTTTTATGGACTATCGGAAAATATTAGAATTTTTGTGGAGTAAATCGTTTAAAAGTCGTAAATAATCCGACTCGAACTCGTCGATTATTTCTAACGCCCACGCGCTTGGTCCGCCGGTACCAGCGCTATGACCATCATTTTTTTTCTTTTCATTTCGTAATAAAACCCCTGAAGAAGCGCCATACTGGCACAAAGGACCCACTGTTTTGTGTCACTATCTCCCGGCCTACTTTATTCTAAATTAGTAATTTATTTTATATAATTTAAATATTATTCCTAGTAATAAAATTTTGGTCCTTCGAACCGGACTTACCGTGTTCATTAAAATGTTTCTCTAGTTCTTCGTGCGATATATTCGTTTGGGTTGAGGGTGCGTCCGCTTCTACCGTTTGTTCAGGTCGTGAGCGGGAACATCTAAACATCGTTTAAATATATTGAAAAACATACTATTAAATATCTAACCTAAGATTAAATGTATACATCCAATACCCAGATAAACTAACAAATCACACACACTACGTAATTTAGCACAACTCTGAGGTGCCAAAAACTAACACAGACACAGCTCACACTTATAACAATACATGTGCACCAACACCCATTCATACACTCACACATTCACACACACTTAGCATCTTAAAAGACTAGTGTTTGAATAGTCGTAACACTAAACCTATTTCTGAAGTGAAACTTCTTTATCGGGGTTGGAAAAAAATTTAGTGTAACATTTTTGCGTTACGCGTCACATTTTTCCGTTACGCGCCATGTTGCTTTTTGAAGTCAAACTTCTATATCGGCGTTAAAATATGACATATAGTATGTTTTTGACTTTGAAGTTTGACAACGGATTACATTTTCGACTTGAAATTTGCTAATCGCAATTGCAGCAATTAATTTATAAATTGTATGCTAGGCAGTGTATCAAAATTTACTGTGTTTAAAGAAATAGTTTCGGACCTCTAAACTTAAAACAAACCAATTATGGCTCTGCGTACAACAAAGGTTTTATATAAGTTTCACTTCTTACGTGTGTACACCTAGTACACGCACACATTTTTGTTTCTCAAAAACTCTTTTAAATATGTACCATGTCCCACGTAATAATTGTTATCTAGTTACCCACAACACAGGGACTGTCTAGTGTGTGGCCTAGCAATATATGAATTTTGTAATAAGTCATGAATAAAGTTTTTATTATTATCGGAGGCCAAGACATTTTTTGGGTCGCAGAGCCAGCAGAGTGATTTTTTGCCACCAATTAGGGTTTATTTATTCACACTTCGTTACTTTAAAAAAAATTCTAAAAACTTCTTTTTTTTTGATTGGACAATTCACACCAATTGACCTAGTCCCATGCTAAGCTGGTGAAGCTTGTGCTATGGGTACTAGGCAACGGATATACATACATACTATAGATAGATAGACATAAATACATATTTAAACACCCAAGACCTAAGCACAACACCAAACGCTCATCACATCGATGTTTGTCTCAGCCGGATGGATTCGCAGTCAGGGGTACTAACCACTAGACCAATGAGTCGTCAAATAAAAGTTGAAAATATTTTTTTCGTGTTACGCCAAAGAAGTATAACGCGTGTACATAAGTACATACACGTTTTTTTTTTCTCCACATATTCAATAACCCCAAACCCACCTGAGCATAGCATTGCTGCACCGTAGAGCCAATTCGAGACCATCCAGCCAGCAGTGACCCGCCGCTTGCGATGGCGCTCGGAATATTAAGTGTGCTGTTGGTAACGGTTGGACCACTGCACCTGATATAATTTTATACACATTATTTTTATTTCTCTGTAGTAATAAATACTAATAAGTAATTTAAGTCAAACCTAATATATCTAATATATAAAATTCTCGTGTCGCGGTGTTTGTAGTTAAGGTCCTCCGAAACGGCTTGACCGAATCTCATGAAATTGTGTGCTTATTGTGTATGTCTGAGAATCGGACAACATCTATTTTTCATCCCCTAAATGTTAAGGGTAGTAGATGGCAAAACGACGTTTGCCCGGTCAGCTAGTAATAAATAAAATAAGTTCAATACCTCACCCGGGATATGAACTCAAGACCTTATTTGCAGTCGTTAATAATTAGCCTAGCCTCTTAACTAAACAGCGCAGTTTAACTAGCGGCCTCAAAGATATTCAGTCAGATCAAACAGCTAGGCAAATGACTTGGATCTATGACGTTTCATTACTTGCCTAGTCTGTTGACTGTTAATTTAAATTTAATTCCACTTTCTGCCACTCTCAAACTCGAAACGAAACTCTCCAAACTGTCAATATGGCGTCCGCAAACCACAACTTTGATGGTGTTTTTCAAAGTTTCATGAAAAACAATCAGTTCAATGGAAGAGTGTGGTGACAATAATAATATGAATTTGACTTAAGCTATTTAATTAAAGATATATTTTTTATGTCAGATATTTCTTCTATTTCTGCCACTTGATCACTCTATCTTACGAATGGCCTAAGCAAATGCTACGGCTGAATATCTTTAAGGCCGCAAGTTAAACTCAAAATTACTTTATTCAAATAGCTAACCGAGTACTAAGTGTACTCGGTTAGCTATTATAAACGTCAACAGAAAAGATGTTAAATTGATTCTAAATTTACATTTACCACCAGTTCGCGAGTCAAGGGCGTAGAGCAAGAAGAACGGAGAACGGAAAAAGCGCTGTTTAGTTAAGAGTGTAGACTGTTAATTGAACGGCTTAAGCTATTTGGCTGCGACATATATATACTATGATTTAGATTGTATTAACCTTTGGCAATAGGCGGGGCTTATAGCAAGATACACAGATAACCTTGGTGGACCTTAAAGACAACTCTATGGAAAGGACCAAGAGAAAGAAGGAGAAGAGGTCGCCCAAATAAAGGTAGATAGAAGAAATAGAAGCGGTAGCAGGAAACGAATGGAGAAAGAGAGCCATAGACAGAAGCAGTTGGAAAAAGCTGGAGGAGGCCTTTACCCGCGAAGGGGTTCCGATCGACGGAACTGAAGGAAGCTACGATATAGGATTACAAGCAAAAGAAAAAAAATGTAAAACAATCTAAGGGTGCGTACAGACTATGTAACATATTATATAACTTGTGTTTTATAACACGTCCACATTATGTAACCTTGTTATTTAACATTATAACTTAAACAATACTGTACACATTAGAATAACAATGCAATATAACAATGTTATATAACCATTTTAAATAACAAAAGAAAAACAAAAAAACGTAGATGCTGGGTTCGTCCTAGCATACATATCAATAACATGTTATTATAACATGTTTTATAACATTCAGTGTCCACATTATCTGAAACATGTTGTATAGCAATGTTGTATAACATGTTATGTTATAAAGTCTGTACGCACCTTAAGCTGTATAATATGTTTTTGTCATGATTGGAAATAAAATGGGCTTGATATATTTTAACTTTTAAAAATAATAAAAAATAAATATTTTAGATCTCTTTTTTGTTAGCAAAATGTAGCATCGTAAATGAAATCGCTCCAGTACTGAGGTTTTTCGTACCAAACATACAAACACTTTATAATATATACCTATAGTCTCGTTGTGAGGTCCTCTCGGTGCCCAAATGCTTTGCTCCAACGGATGGTAGAGTTTGAAGCAAAATCCGTCCTTTTTGCTTGGTCTTTCGATGACCTGACACGACGTCAGCAGAACAGTACCGACCCAATGACTTCTCTGCAACAAATAACAAATATATTTAGCTTTTTATTTTAAAAAATGTGCGTACGTACAAAGTACACATGTCAGAAGTGAAACTTCTTTGGCAAACTAATTTTTAAGTCTTGTTCATATTTATACAAATCTAAAACTTTAGATTCCCGGGACTTAGAGGGAGGGGAAAAGTAAGATATGTTAGGAATTTAATGAATTTAATTGTCATTAAAATATTAAGTGTCGAAAATTAATACTTATAATTTTTTTTTTTATTTCTTCGATAATAAAAACACGTGGCAATTTAATGTACAATTCGTCATTTGAGATTTCAATAAATTATTTTGCATGAAATATAAAATACTAATATTTCATAAATTCAGTAACGCTGCACATCTTCGTGACGTATCCGTAAAAAATTTACCCTCATGCGACTAAAGAAGTTTCACTTCAAAAAATTAAAAGCCCGGCAACGCACTCGCCCCTGGTATTTAGTGTCCACGGGTATCAATTAACATCAGGTGAGCATCCTGAGTGAGGGAGTAATAAGCGATGGACAGAAACCGGTGGAAGCAGATTGTGCGCTCCAGGTGCTTCCTTGCTGACCACGACGAGTCATGCGCTACCAACTAAAGAGAGAGAGGCAAGTAGGTGATCAGCCTTTTGTGACACTCGTTCTTCAGTACCAGTATTAGATGCGCACATAGAAGGTCCTCAGTGTACGTGTACCACTGCTCCTACACATAAACCTTAATGCAACTCACCTTTGCCTTTGGACTCTTGTACAACAGTAAAAGACCAGGTTTGAGAACGCACCACAGCTTAGTCCATGATTTTAGCGAACCCCGGACCTGAAAACACGTTTCAATCTTTCAATAAAACATTTTATAATAAAACTTCATTAATAAACGTTTTATTGTCTTTGATTAACATAACTTTTATTCATTTAATAAAACACTATTTTGACCGGATTGAAGTTATGTATTATTATAAATTTACAATTATTTAACCAATCCAATAATATCCAAATTAAAACCTCAAGAAAAACAATCCGCGAAAATAGAGGACACCGTGAGCCATTTTTGCCAAAACCCTCCATCTTTAAGTCGATACCAACTCCGGGGAAATAAATACAGATAATACAACTTTTTCTACAGCTGTGATACTTTTTGACATCCAACACCTTTTGTCTTTAGTCACCGTGACCACGCACGCTGTAAAGCACGCGAAACGTCGGATAAATTTAGAATTATGTTAAATAATTGTAAATTTATAATAATTCATAACTTTAATCCGGTTTAAAAGTTTTTTCTTTCAGTACCCGTATTCTAGAAGATCAATCCAACTGAGAGCTGTTTATCCATTCTGTATGAAGTTTTTATTTGATAGCCATCAAGACGATATGTACTGTAATTTGTGATACTAAAATTCAAAGTCCAGATGTAGGATTACAATAGAGCAGTGTTGGTCAAAGTCAAAGTCAAAAATCATTTATTTGACGACTCATTGGTCTAGTGGTTAGTACCCCTGACTGCGAATCCATGGGTCACGGGTTCGATCCCCGGTTGAGACGAACATCGATGTGATGAGCATTTGGTGTTGTGCTTAGGTCTTGGGTGTTTAAATATGTATTTATATGTTTATCTATCTATAATATGTATGTATATCCGTTGCCTAGTACCCATAACACAAGCTTCACCAGCTTAACATGGGACTAGGTCAATTGGTGTGAATTGTATTAAAAAAAAAATATTCAATAATACATAACTTTAATCCGGTTAAAAAGTTTTTTCTTTAAATGTGTAAAGATTATGTCAATAAAAGACAATACTATACGGGTACCATCTTCTCTTTTGAAAAAAACCCTTACCTTCAACCAATCAGCCAACACCACAACCGAGGGATCCTCTATCGAGTGCAGAAGTGCTGTAGCGGCTCTCTTCTTCTCTTTCCTATAATGTTGTCTTTGCGCTTTATAACTCTCTTTCCGAGACAACGCCGTGCTTGAGTTCCTTGATACACCTACCGCCGTTTCTGAGGACTGAAGACACAAACTTATTAAACATTTATTTCACGTTAAATATACTAATATCTAAAGTATTCATCAAGTGAAACTTCTTTAGGCGCATGAGGGTAAAATTTTTACGGAACGTCACGAAGATGTGCAGCGTTTTTGTCTAAGAAAAGGGAGAGAGCGATTGAGAGAGAGTGAGAAGAAACATTATAGATATTATGTTTTTAAAATTAAAATTTCGTTAAGAGAATTTATGAAACATTAGTAATTAAAAAATATTTATTGAAATCTCAAATGAAGAATTATAAATTACAATGCCACATGTTTTTATGATCGAAGAAATAAATTTTGGACACTTTTAATATTTTAATCTAAATTAAAATCATAAACTTAATATTAAAACTTCGACTTTTAATAAAATTAAAAGCTACGCAAATTATACAATTGCGTATTTCAACGTAACCTACACGTGGGGATATAGCTCAGTGGTAGAGCATTCGACTGCAGATCGAGAGGTCCCCGGTTCAAACCCGGGTGTCCCCTAGGTATAATTTTTATTTATTTTAATATGTTTCTAAACTTTATTGTCTCATAAATATATATTTATTTTTTACCTGAGGTGATCCAAGGTTTCAATTTAATTTAAAACATTAATAAACCAACAGCATTTTTTTTTATATTTGTTTAAGTACTGACAAAAACATTTTAGATTCATTACATAAAATAACCGCTTGTATGAGGTTACAGATGGCGCCACTGTAGTATTTTTTTAAACAAGTCAGCTTGATTACTCCAAGTACCATGATACAGGAACATACCTTGTCTGAAGATGTGCCGTCGGGCGGTTGGGCTCGGTCACCTGAAGCAGGAGTCGATAAGGGTGCACCCGGGGACCGGGGTGGAGGGGTAAGCGTTGGCTCACCTGTAATTTAAGCGCTCCTAAGAAACGGGTAAGCAACACTGACTGAGGTCAGAATTGTGATGGGTCACAAGCCCTGGCTTGTCCTCTAGTATTTAAGCCATTTTAATCAACAATATAAATATCATATAAAACAATATGTAGTATAATAAAATACCTAGACATAAACAATAACATAGTGTTAACACAATTAATGGCGCTTCTAAACGGGCCATGTTTTGCTGCAATTGATGGCTGCAACACTGTGGCCGGCAACATTGCAAACAATAGCAGCCACACTATGCAATATTGCAGTAATGTCCCGGCCATATAGCCAAACATGTTTTGTATAGCCACATATGGCCGATGTTGCCCCGATGGGTGGCCGGACGATCGCTAGGCTATCGAATTCAACTGCAATATTGCACAGCCAGTTCTATTGTTGTTTCAGTCACTGTCTTTGTTATGGCACAGTGTATCCTTTTTTTATGCGACATGAAGTTTGCTATGAGTGAAGTGTGCCTGTTGCTATATTCTGTGTTTTGCGATCAGCTGCATTTTGACGTTAAATTTAATATTAATTAAAATTCAAGACTCAAAGTGTCTAAAGTTTCACGCCTGTAAGGTCGAATCCACAATCTCTTCTTTTTCTGTTTCTTTTTTAAAACAATATAAGCTGCTGAGATCAGTGTGATTTCGTCAGCCATTGTTGCCGGTTTGTGTGGCCCGTTTAGGAGTCTGCATCATGGGCCATACTATTGCAGACATATTGCAACACATGGCCCAGCCATAGATTGTTCGGCCATCAGCTGCATTAAAATATTTTTGTAATGGCCGGGCAATTAGTTGCCAACAGTGCAGCCATCAATTGCAGCAAAACATGGCCCGTTTAGAAGCGCCATAAACAATTAAGATATACAAAAAAAAGTTTGCATATGGTATCCCTGCACTGCCCTATACATCTACATAAATCATTTAAACAGATTCCAAAAAAGGAAACAAAAAAATCTTGGACAAGAAAAAAATAAATATTTTTTGTCCATACTGACTTCGTGGCATATCACGTAGCTTACAAAATGGAGCAAAGAATCTTATAAATATTTTTATTCTATAAGACACACCTGATTTCTTAAAGCATAGACCACAGACTAAGGTCCAAAGACCACAGCTACGGTCCTTCGCGCTCGCGTCCTCCACTCTCTTAAATATTCTCAAGTTATGGATGCTTTTGACCTGCCCCTTTTCCAAATGCATACTAAACGACCTAATATTCTTATCACATATGGCGTTCTAATCACTTACAGATAGTATTTATGTAATCTACCAGTGATAGTGAAACTAAAAAAAACTGTTTTACTATAAATTATTCTTCAGCTGTCATTACCGTAAACTGGTGGAGAGGATGGTGCTGAACTTGACAGAACCACGTTCAGAGGCTGGTGCGTCTTCTGAAATTATAGAAGATACATGACATTAATGATGACTACTATAATGTACAATATACAATTCTCGTGTCACTATGTTCGCTCCCATACTCCTCCGAAACGGCTCGATCGATTCTTATGAAATTTTTTATTCATATTCAGAGAATCGGCTACTATCTATTCTTCAAACCCCTAAGTGATAAGGGGTGTCAACCCCAACATTTTATTTTTAATTTCTTAGACAATTATATTGTTTTAATTTTTTAAAGATACAGCATACAAAAATACATACAACCCCTAATTTTCACCCCTCTACGATCACCACTATTTTTTATTTGTTAATTAAATCTTATGACTTGAACTCTGAGGTTTATATAGAGAAAAATTCACAGAAAAATCTAAAAAGTTTTCATTCCAGAAAACCGATCAGTCTCTGGGGTAGATAGCAAAATGTTCCATGTTGGTATGTACTAAAGAGGTAGGCTAAGTAAAATCACATAAAGGAGAATCGTTCGCGGGGGCCGTAATGTATAAAAACTAATAACCAACATATATACGGGCAGAACTAAATTAGATGTATTATTAGGATAATATACTTAAAAAAATTTGTTATTGAGACACAAGATAGCGAGAGATGTTCAATTGTCAAAATAAAAAGGCGCTACAACCTTTTTGGTCTGAGCCATAGAGTATCTGTTTCGTGATATTTTCTTATAGGCAAGTAGGTGATAAGCCTGCCACACACCGTCAATTTTTGGGTCTAAGTCATGCCATTTTCCACACGAGGTTTTCCTAACGTGCGAGCGAGTGTAAAATGGGAAATAGGTCAATTAGTGAGCAACCGTGATTCGTAACCTTAGGATTCAAGCTCAAGTAAAGAACTAATGTATACCTTTAAATAATTTGGCGTGGAGGTTTGAAAATGCGTGTAGTCCGGCAGGCGAACCGCTGGCGAAGATGGCGCTGGTGTCGACGACTCCACGGCTGGAGAGGAACTCATTGTGGCGATCAGATCATCATGGGAATTGGAACAGGATTTGAATATAGAACACAATTGTCAATGTTCAAACGTTATTCGAATTTGATATCAAATTTCGAATTTCGAACGCGTTGTCAGTTTATCAAAATGCTCGAATGTGTCAAGTTTAAATTCAAATTTCGAATGCGTCGATTAACTATCGTCGTTCGTTGACTTAGATTAAGAATTGTATCTTAAAACAAATCGACAAATATAAAGCTATATGTTATATTAATACTAGTTATTGCTTCTATTTAGTAATTAAATTGTCAATAATTATTGTGTGCTCAAAATATTGAAGTGCAAATATTATTTTTACAATTTTTCTATTAAGAAAAATTTAAGCTAATGTATAAAATACATAAATTCTACTAAAAAGTAGATATATCAATATAAGCGTGTGAATTTTATAGATAAAAATATATTTTTTATCACTGACAAAGACACTGGGTTTGTAACTAATGGAATGACAATGGCGTTGGCAGTGTTTATATGTTAAGGAATGTCGCTAGGAAATATAGTATGGGAATGGGAATGAAAAGGATATATCCTGAAAAAAAAGAAAAAAACAATAAGTTTAAAAAAAATTACCGCCCCCGGGTGGGCTCGAACCACCAACCTTTCGGTTAACAGCCGAACGCGCTAGCCAATTGCGCCACGGAGGCTATGAACGTTGAACTGAAATTATGAATATGGTTCTTAAAAAATTAAATTCACTTAATATTTCGTTACTATAATATTTAAAGCTTTATATTACCTCCGTAGCTGGATGACGCATAACGGAGGGCCTGAATTTTATTCGTGACCAATATGTTTTAAGTTAGTATAATTACTTAAATGTCTTTATAATTTATATAGAACACGGAAAACTAATTGACAAATACCTCAAATGATTAAACGATAGTATTTAATGATTATATAATTGATTAGCAACAACATACGTCCCAGGTCCTGTGAGAAGTTTCAGGACCATTTTTTATATATAAATGAGCATGAGGCCACCAGATTTTAAGTGATAACGCCGCCCATCTTCATCATCGGACGTCAAGGCAGAATACACAATACCATCCGTATCACCTCGTCGTCCGTCGTTCCACAACTAAGCGTTTCTTAAGGTAATTTTTGCCGCGCACCACCACTATATAAAACCAGCTGTCAACTGAAGTATTTCCGACTATATTCGACTTAGGGTCCTTAAAGAAAAGTACCATTTATTAAAAGGCCGGCAACGCACTTGCGAGCCACCTAGCAATGTGAGTGTCCATGGGCGGCGGCATCACTTGACATCAGGTGTGCGTCCTGCCCAATTGCCTCCTGTTACATTTAAAAAAACACTTACATTGCCAGAAACTCGCAAGTGCCTTGCCGGCTTTTTAAGAATTACAATAATTGCCTTGTGACTACAATTAGGTACTATATACACATAAAGTAAATTCAATATAGATTACATCTTTTTGTATTACTTTAGATAAAAATTGGTGATTCTATAATTTTTTTTATAAGATTTTCATACTTATTTTAGTTTTTCCCTTACTAGGATTGACTGGAAGAGATTGCTTGGTAGCGATAAGGCGGCCCGTTACATGCCCTTATATTTTTACGTATCATGTTATTTGTTCTATAAATATAACGAAGTGTAAATAAATCAATAAATAAATTTAAAAAAAATCAAACTCATAGCTCGAGTACCGACCCTCAACATTTCGTAGAATAGTGACGGATCTGACAAATAGTAAACTCAAATAATATATTAGCCATTTCAAAATAATATAATCATGTTAGTTTTGTCATAAATATTTTAATTCATAGTCTGTTATTATGAAAATTGGCATACAAGCAAACAATAGGGTTTATTTTGAAATAATATAAAAATAATAACATTAAATTACACAGTTTTCTAGAAAAATCACATGCTTCTATCAAATCCGTCACTTTACCGACTATAATCATTTTAAATTTAAAACACAAGGATTTTTTTTTAATGTAGCCGTAATATTTAGTAAATGTAGTACCAAATGTGATAAAAAGTGGATTTTGGATTTTTTTCAAATCCGACATTGTTCTACGATCATGACGATTTCGTAACCCATTTAAACAACCAATTATTACTCAAAATAATTACAATAATTATCGTATACCGTATAAGTGGGTCGAAGTTAGCGCCATCACAAGGTCAAGCGACCTAAAAACATTGTCTAATCACTAACAAAACACAATTTGGGTTAATTTCCTATCTGACTTTAAATTCAATGACGCAGTGCCTCTGTTGCGGTCAACCATTAAGTGTACAATTTTAGATAACTACTAATCAGTGGGGTAACAATAGGGTGGCAGTGGTGGCAAAATGCCACGGGCCCCCGACGCAAAAGGGCCCCTTGCCCAAGAGATATTATGTTCTATGGATGAATATGAAGTCCAATTGGGCTAGCGTGGGGACTACAGACCATTCCCTCTCGCCTAAGTGAGGAGGCCTATGGCCATTAGTGGGACATATACAACGTGTGTGAGTACGCTGAAAGTCTCGAATACTAAAATTAAACTGAGTACAACGTGACGATTTTTACTGATAGGGCCCCATCTACAGAATTTGCCACGGGCCCTAAATCAAAATATATACTACAGCAGACCCGGCCAAGCGTTCCTGTGGCTAAAATGTATGTTATATTACATTTAGGAAGCAATCAATCAACCGACTCTGAAACTGATAACCCGATAGCCTTATCATGTATGTAATATAATCGTGCATTTGTAATAAAATATATATGAAGCCAATACTTTCATAATAAGCATACTTTGCTAGTCAATACATTTTTGAACAAAAATAGAATAAAAATTGACCTAATACATATCTTGTTTCCCTCTATCTCTTTGAGTTTTTTCAATTAACCAATATCATGAGTTTTTATTCAAATAAATAGGTACATTACTATGATTAGAGGTAAAACAGGTATAAAATTTAAAGATAACAATGTTGTTATCACATCTTGCCACATAAACAACTTTTTATTCTCACACAAACACATATATGGACATAACTTCATGTATGATAGAGATAATAGGCCAAATTTTATTCTTCATATTCAGTATTTATGTAACTAGTTTTGGCATTTTGCCAATGTTGATCTATGACAATAAATACAATTTCTAAACAAAAGGCATATTTACATACATGCATTCTTTAAATACATTTCCAAAATGCAAATTTTCTTGCTAAGAAAATTATGTAGTAAATGTTTGAGTTCTTAATTTTAGCGAGTAATCCAGTGTCTCACTGCATTGCTCAGCAAACAATTTGGCAATCTAACTCGCTCCACAAGCATCCCAGGGGCATAAATCACATTTCATTTGTATTATCTCAAAGCGATATAATTGATTATGTCTACAATATCCCTGTATTAATAATAATTATTATCCCTGTAATAGGTGCTACTAATCTCTAAATTGCATCAAAGAAAATTTTGGTATGTGATCATACTTCCCTGCTGTTAAAATTCATTTCCTTATAACTAGGTTACAGAGGCAGATAATACAATCAAATAATCAGATACAGTTATGTAGATAACGATAAAAAATGAAATAATAACAAGTTATCTACAAAAATGCCACGAGCATCACTCATCATATTAGTTTAAACACAGCATAGTTACATTAATGCATGAAATCTTTTAATTAATGGGTCAATATGGTTTCTCACTGAAATGTGTGACTTACCTTAAAAGGGAAACTTTTCTTTAATAAAACCCCAGATGCTCTTTTATCTCTGCCTTTTAATAAATATAAGAAATGTATTAAAGAAAAGCTGTGTAAAAAGGCTTACTATAAAGTTGACAATTATGTAGTTGATAAAAGAGTCTGGGACTAGTGCAAGACAGGCTACTTCTAATTAATTTGCGATATTTGTTTTAAAATAAGTGAGTATGATCATTTGCAATTTTAAAAGAGTACAGAGAGTATTTTATGCCGGCTATTTGTCTCTGCCTCCGCCATTTATGTTTAAATTTCATAGAAAATAATGCTTATCAAATGTGATGTTTATCTACATATTCTATAATGACTACAATACTATGATAAAGAGGAAAGACTGCTGCTATTGTTTGTAATGAATAAACTATAAAATGACTCAACTGATTTGAACAATTCTTTTACCAAAAGCGCTATCCTGAGATAAGGTTTGATTAGAATTTTCTGTGCTAGTCTCGATAGTGAATTTATTTATTCATCACAGTCAAAGCATAATTGACAAAAATTGCAAGAGTATGAACTTGAAAATGGTGTAACTAAGTCATAGTGATGATTTAAGAATAGGTCAAATAACAATAATAACATTTATACTGCCAGTAGAGAGGCAAAGAACAAAAATAATGTTTTATATATTATTCAAATACAAAAAATGGCCAAATAGATGTTAATAAATATATTGTTTTAGTTTTATAAAATAAATATCAATTAAAATCTATAATATATAATCAAACATTACATATTAAATATTAAGGTATATAATATGTATCCTGGTTAACAAATAATAGCAAAAAAGTATTTCTTATATAAGCTCTGGTAAATATTCATATGACGTGTATTATGTATTATCATGCATGAATTATATATAATCATTAATGTTGATGTACTTATAAAAGATCACTAAAATGTAATTAAATTTTTATCTATTCTACACTAGCATGATTTATGTCTTGCTATAAACAATCCAAGTGGAATCCTATTAGACAAGCGCCTACTGACCTAATAGTACTAATTAGATTAAAATAACACCATCTTATAAATAAATTAATCCAGATTACAAGATGTTTTACACAATTTCCTGTACAATAAATTCCGATTTTTATTTTATTTTGCCATGATGTATTTTTATGGTTAATAGCAATAAAATATATATAGGAAAATTCAATTTGGAATATCAACTAAGCATTCTATAAATATTTTTACATACCAAAGGTCTCACAGCCAATATCATCAGTAGATTGTTTCTTCATCAATCAACTTGTTTAGCACACACTGCGGAATTTTCTACACCGGTAAATATTGCGAAAAACATCACTGTTCACGAGGTCACCGTGCTACGAAGATATTTATTTCAATTTAAAACTATACGATTGTCGCACGAGCACAGGAAACTACGCAAATAATATAATTTAGGAGCTAATAGCTATGCAGAGATAGATGTGGATCAAGGCTCAAATACTTCGTTAGTTTATGTAAATATACATAGGTACCGGTCTACACCAATTTTCCCCCTACTTATTGTCCACCGATAAGCACTGTTTGCAATTGTTCCGCGAATAAACTGAGTGTTTTTGGATAATTTTATGCATCGAAGCACAAAAATCGCCTTTCTTTTCTGACGTACGACATGCGTGAATGTATGTTGCCATTTGCAAAATTCTTGTGGAATTATACTAATTTTATAAAAATTTACTTGAAATCATTAATTTATTTTATATTTACCTATTGGTATTGAATAGTAGTAGTAATATTATTACATACTTACTGACTACTGTTCAATAATACGTGTTTATAAAAGCAAAATTTTAAAGTTAACTGTCAAAATCTAAATTTCGACTGTTACTTTTCCTTGATATTTAAGAATACGTCAAAGCATGGCTTCTAAATTTAGGCAATTTATTAAGCAGAACAGTTTTATTGGAAAGGTTTTTAACTAGTGTAGATTCCAGTGAATTATATTTCGTCTTACTTACTAAAGTGTCTTTTCTATGTAGATCATCATTTTATTATCTAAATAAAATCTCAAATTTTTATATTTTTAGCGATGGTAACACTGCCATTTTTATTTGTTAGAAAATATAATGTAAATATTATGATCTGAATTAAATAAGAAAAGTATTATAAGTTATGTCATCATTTTTGTGTTTTTTATGCCACAGTACTGTTAATGATGAGACCAATGAAGAAACACGCGAGAAATATAAGGAAGTCGTCGGTATTCATGTAAGAAACCACTTTAGTTGTACTTAAAATATTTGCGTATCCATGCTTAGCCTGTATGTGTATGCCTCTGTTATATAAAAAAAATACGTACTTATACAAGCTTATGAATAGTCGACAGTTAAGTATTTTATTATGACCAGGCTCTATTTATACGATTGTTTTTTATTTATCTTAAAAACCTTGTGAATTCGGGGGCTGGAACTCACAGATAAAATTTTTCATCAAAAAGAATACAATTCCGAAAAAACATAATATTTATATCACTGTCACATGAGTCTGCCTACTTCCCTATACAATTTTTTTTTAAAATCTGATTAGTAGTATCCATTTTACTGTGGGATCACATTTAACAAATGCAATATATTATTTCAGTTGTGCCCTGACTCTCACCTGTGCTATATATGTTGCCATGTCCTACATAAACTCTTCATGTTTCGTTCAATTTGTTTGAAGCGTAGCTTGGAGTATCCTGTATTATTTAGGTGGGTTTTATATACAGCAGCATAATACTTTGTGTGCTTTACATAATTTTAATAAGTAATTTAATCAGCATTGTAAGTAAAATAATTAACTCAATAGCCATAGTAGTCAAATTTGCTCTACTGTTTTAAGTGTGAAACAAGACGAAGCAAGTGAAATCAACTTATAATAACAAGAGGTACAAGGTGAGAAAATTTATAGTATCAATTACCTACTAATTTTGAAACTTGAATTTTCAGTGAAAAGGGTACAATCAATTTACACAGAAGTGATATAGAAATAAACATATTATGTCCAGAAGAATGTGACCAATACCAAGAAAAACAATATCATTATGACTATAATAATGATTTCAACACACACTTTAATGATAATAGATTTAATGATAACCAGTATGTTGAGTTAGAAGATGAATATGACTATTTTAATAAAAATCAATATGATGTTGAAAAGGTTACCGAAAACTATGACTATATTAATGAAAAACCAGATGAGATGCTAAATGATGAACATTTTCATAATTTCAATCAAAATTTTGATTATTTTAAATATAATGAAGAAATACCACAGATAAATACTCTACATGTAAATAAAAATAATGAAAACATTGGCTTTAATTATAATGACAATAGGACTAATGATTATTCAAATGTTTTTAGTCAAAATACCTTTGATATTCCATTAGATGATTATGAAAATCAAATAAAACATAATATTATAAATCAAACTTATGTAGAAAAGGTAAATAATGTCAATACAGAAGAAAATAATGATTTAGAAACAAATTATTCACAAAATGCCCATATAACTAATAAAGTTGTTGAGGCGGATAAAGAGAAAATTTTGGACAATGTAAACGAAATTGATCATATTATAGAACAAGATAATGATTTTAATGATAATGAAGAAACTAATCAAATATCAACCGATGATGAAACTCAGAGCAACATATTAAATACTTCTGATGATACAAAAATAGAGGAAAGTGGCGAAGTTGAGAGTTTACAGGAAATAAATATTAAAAAGAAAAAGAAGAGAGGTTTTAAAAAGATTGTTTTGTCTTTAGAAGAACAAAAGAAGGAATTAGAAAAAAATAGAAAATGTAAGAAGTACACAGAAGCTGAGTTTAAATGTTATAATTGTGCAATCGGCTTCTTGTTTAAGGACACATACCAGGCTCATATGATGAGGCATGAGGAGGTAAGTAAGATGTTCAGTAATATCAAAATAAAAATATCCGCACTCGTGTACATATTGACGAAAATTTAGGTCAACCCGTGGCAAATTGGATAAAGCTAATTTAAATTTTTGTAGATTTGTATGTTTTTAGGTCCGTGTTTTAAAAAAATTCAATCATTAAGCTTGTTTTAACACTAATTTCGTAGCAGAAACTTCAAGGTCAAAAAGCGGCTCAAGCAAGCTAACCATGTAATTTTAATTGATCCCGATTTTACTAATGAGTTCCCGTAAACGATCCCAAGTGACACTTTTATAGATTTAAAAAAAAATTAAATAAAATTTTTATGTATGCTACGAGAGATTTAAATATTTTCCGATAAAGAATTTTGTTAAGACAATATTATCTATGTATTTTTATTAATACATTATTATATTGTTTTGTTTGAGCGCTATAGGTGGTAGAAATATATTGATAATTTCGCATCAGCGTCCATAGCCTCCGTGGCGCAATTGGCTAGCGCGTTCGGCTGTTAACCGAAAGGTTGGTGGTTCGAGCCCACCCGGGGGCGGATTTTTTTTAAATATTTATAATTCTTAGTTAATACATATAATAATTTTCTTTTTCTGTACTACATTATTATACATAAAGAACTACCAAAATTAACTTAAATAAATATTTTTGAAATATATTTCTGGAGATACCTAAACAATGTTGACAGGGTGTCGATTTAATTTACCAAATAACGTTATATATTTTAACTTGCAACACTACATATAAAAAATCTTTTGCAGTCAAATGGCGAATTTCGTTGTCTCACATGCACGCTACGATTTTCAACTCATGCGCTACTACGGACACACAATACATCCCATTCGGACATATATGAATGTCTGAATTGCGGCCAAGTGCTAAAGCCGAGGGCAAAACGGACACACCCATGCTTCAAAACGAAATGCGAAGAAAATGTTTCGTGTCATTTGTGTGGAAATCTTTTTAGGTGAGTATCGCCTAGTGGCTTCAGTGCGTGACTCTCATCCCTGAGGTAGTAGGTTCGATCTCTAACTGTGCACCAATGGATTTTCTTTCTATGTGCGAAGTTTAACATTTGCTCGAACGGTGAAGCAATACATCCTGAGGAAATCAACTTGCCTTACACCCAAAAAGTCGACACGTGTCAGGCACAGAAGGCTGATCACCAACTTGCCTATTAGATTGACAAATGATCGTTAAAAAAAATATAACGTAATAAGGGCGGTTGACAGGTATGTATATGTCACCGTAAAATTGTAAACTAATTCTAAAGCTCTGAGTTAATTTCAACACGGCATCAATTTACATTCATCAAAACAATCTACATTCGACAACAAACGAATTAACAAACAAATATGGTGGCGCGAGGTGCGATCTGTTCCACAATCTGACGGTTTCACTTCGATAGATTACAATCACGTTGAGGTTCACAATCTTTCGACAGTTCACAATCTCGCGAGATAGATTACAATCTAACAGTAAACAATTTAACGGTGACATATATAGTGGAGACCTCGGCCGCCCATTGACTAGGTGAACTCACGACTTCAAGGAGGTTAGCTACCAGTGGATACAGAGCCCAGTGCAGGACGTGCTGAGGTAAATGGAGGCCTACGACCAAATAAAGGGGCTTCGTTTAAAAAAAATGATTATTATGGAATATAAGATACAGGTGTCACTTATTCCGCGTCATTAAATTTGTCTCGGTAGACATCCCTACTCATCGGCAAAGACAGAGGGTGTAGGCCGAGAGAAAAAGCCGGCGTAAAAAACTTTCGGTACTCTTTTAATAATAGCAAATCATCAAACAACACTTAGTAACCTGCTTTTTGAAGTTATACTTCTTTAGGCGCGTTATGAAAAATTTATGAGAGTGAAATTTTACGAAGCGCGCGCACCGTGACACAAAATTATCTGAAGATGCTACGGCATTGGACATAATTTAAAAACAACATTCGAATAATAATAGAATTTATGTTACACTTAATGTAAGAGAATAATAATAAATATATATTTAATTTTTCAAATGTTAACTAAACTTTATTGACTATAGGTAATGACTCCTTTTCCAGTCTTTGATTATTTAATTGTAATTAATTATTTGCATGCAATCAAAAACTATTTTTAATAATTCACATTCACATAAGTACACGCACCCTTTTTTGTTTTTTATTTTTGTTATGTGTATGTTTGTGAATATGGTAATAAAGCATAAATAAATAAATATTTTAAAACAAATATTGCAAATTAGTTAGAAGTAGCCTGTCTAGCACTTGTCCCAGGCCCTTTTATCAATAATACGCTATATTTATTTTAAATACATTAATGTTAGATACTTTAATCTAATAAAACTTTGATTTTATTACAGAGATGCAAACGGGTTACAGCAGCATTTGAGGCGAGTTCACGCAAAGGCATCGAACCGACTACACTCATGTACGATATGCAATGAGAATTTCACTAATCCGTCAGTCTTGAAGACACATATGATGTAAGTATCCAGTGTAAACCTTAGGGATGGGCTTCAGTTTTTGGAGTTTACTCCTTAAGAAACGATTTGAGTTATAAGGCCCGGTACGGAAATTTTATGAGGAGTAAAATCAAGTGTAACACGAAAAGTTGAGGCATTATGAAGAAAGAGACAAACATATATATCTGTAGGATTGAACGTGTAAAAGAATGAGATGGAATACATTACACAGACTTTTCTATTTTGAATTCACGTTTTGACAGCCACGTTACAACATTGTCAGTGTTGACAGGTGTAAAAAATAAAAGTAGATTGTGTAGCGTGCCATAGAGTTTTGTCAATAGTAATGGTCAGTGAAATTAAAACTAAAAAGATTGTTCATTCTTATTCTTCTCTTACTATAAAGGTAACTTTGGTCACAGAAAGAAAATCCTATTTGGGCATAGATGATGTAGGTACGTTTTATTACTACTACAAACATTTATATTATAAAAACATATTCTTACCACCTTTAGTATGAAAATATGGTCGACAGCCACAGAACATTATCGCCATTTTATCGTTCGTAAGGAGTAAACTCCAATCGTGCGTCGTAGCTGACACACACACACTTTTTTTCTTTATATTTTTATGGAGCTGGAGGCTCACCTAATTTTAAGTGATACCCATGGGCACTCAATGCCAGAAGTCTCGCGTTGTCTTCTAAGAAGTGGTATGCTCTTGATGGTCTCTAAGTCGAATTGGTTCGGAAATACTTCAGTATCTGTTGAAGTATCAGCATGGAAAAACCATTCGTGCCTACGACGTTAGAGATAAAACGCTATCTTGGATAACTACTGTATACATACAAAAAAAAATCGGTTGTCTGTAAAGTCGGTTTACTGACGATAGTTGAACGTGACAACGTCATAAAAAAATATTGATGGGATGGTTGCATTTTTCAAAAAAAAAAAAAAAAATTTTATTTGTTTGATAGGTATTTTGTATGGATATAGAGAAGGAGGTAAATGGAAATCACAATTGAATTGATCTAGTTACATTTATTTGTACGCATAAATAAAATTATGTCAATTTTAAATGTAACGCCTCAGAGCGAGGTAACGCCTCAGAGAGAGGTAACGCCTCAGAGCGAGGTAACGCCTCAGAGCGAGGTAACGCCGCATGAGTCATGTTTTTTCGTGCGTGCAGCCGGCTCCATCGAATTATAAGACGTTGTCACGTCAAAAGTGCGTGCGTACAAAGTACAAACTACACATGTTAAAAGTGCAACTTCTTTGTAAATTAATTATTACTAAGGTAAAAGCCCCAATAGATGATCGTGTAATAATAATAATAATAATAATAATTTATTGCAAGAATATGGTACAAATGCTAAGGTGATACAATCATAAATCGGTCGCATATTCTGCCACACACGATGGCGCGCAAATTCGTCCCAAAGAATTTTACAATATTATTCAAAGCCAATTCCTATATTATCCAGCCTATTATATTATATACATTTCATCATTAACTTTATATCATTTACGGTGTTTCATGCAAATAATCATTTATTGAATAGTAAACTTTATTCAAAAGCAATTCACTAAGTCGCTTTTTAAAGAATCTAGACGGAAGATCTTTTAATTCTTTTGGTAATTTATTGTAGACTTTAATTGCCATATAAAAGCTGTTTTTCCGAAACAGTTCCAGATTGATTTTTCCCATGTCTACTTCTTACTTCAACTTCTACATTACCAGTATGTATAGTTATGTACCAGTATATGATCACTCCATGTATTTGTATATCTATATTCACAATGTATACACAATGTATACGTGCTAATGATAATAATAATAAATAAAAAATCTGCGTTTACTGCACAAGATGCGACAGAATTGCCAACTAAAGTTCTAATATGTAACTACTAAACGAATAAATCAACCAATAGCGTGTATTTTTTCTCTCTCTCTCTCAATCTTTCTCACTATACCTCTCGCTCCATGGCACTGTGCGTGATGCGACGTTCACCCTTTCTCTCTCTCTCGATCTTTCTTACTTGCTTGCTCCATTATTTTATTTATATTTTTAAATAATGTTTTAGAAAACATATAAACCGAAAATTTCAATGTGAGCAGTGTCCGGCGGTTTACAAGAGCCCGTACACTCTTGCGCAGCACAAGAGGAAACACGAGGTGTTCGGTGAGAAGCACTGCTGTACACTTTGCGATGTGGTTTTTGATAGTCGGAAGAGTTTGTTAGCGCATTTTAGACGGACGGCCGCTCATCAGAATAATGTGTAAGTTATTTTGTTTGTTTGTTTCGCCATTTATCATGGCCTGATGAATGAAACTAGGTAAATAGGGAAAAAACTTTTGGCACTACAAGTTTTTAGGTCTAGGCCTCAGATTTGTGTATCTGTTTCATTATCATTTTGTTTATGGCCAAGTAGGTGATCATAGCGTCATCTTTTTTGTCTAATACAATCCGGTTTCCTCACGATGTTGTCCTTCACCATGGACAGAAATTCCATTGGCCAGCCGGGATTCGAACCTTTGACGTAATTATACCAAAAAAAATATTTTAGTAAATAATGTAATAGAAGAATCAAATCAGATAAATTGTTTCAGCCTAGAGTGTCCCATATGTGGCAGAGTTTGCGCAACACAACCAGCGTTAGAGGCGCACGCGCAGACGCACGCATCCGCCCAATACACGTGCACGCATTGCACTAATTCATACAGTACTAGGAAGTCGTTGATACGACATTTGCGAAGGCACACAGGCCGGGATCTGATAGCTCCCGCAGTCTGCCATTTGTGTGGAAATAGTTTTAAGGTAAATTATACACAAACAAACAAAAATTCCTCTCACATCTCTGGGCTGGTGCTCCCAAATACCAACTTCTTGCTTTTGATTAAATTCAGCAAAGGGCTAGTCCAATTGTCAATCTCCAATGTTTTATTGATCGGCTTTATTCTCTCTCCCTACGCATATCTTAATATATATAAATCTTGTGTCACAATGTTTGTCCTCAATGGACTCCTAAACTACCGAACCGATATCAATCAAATTTGCACACCATGTGCAGTTCGATCCAACTTGAGAGATAGGATAGTTTTAATCTCAAATTATAGTCGCAATTTTAATTTATTGCAAAATATTTGTTTATTATTTGATACAATTCTAACAGATGGCGCTGTGTTAAAATTATCAACCTTTCACATAAGTTCTCCTACCGTTTCCCTTGAATAGTTTACTACTATGTAATATAACAAAAATCTTAGCCAGAGCAACGCTTGGCCGAGTCTACTAGTCTAATATATAAAATTCTCGTGTCGCGGTGCAAACTCCTCCGAAACGGCTTAACCGATTCTCATGAAATTTTGTGTGCATATTCGGTATGTCTGAGAATCGGACAACATCTATTTTTCATTCCCCTAAATGTTAAGGGTAGTCCACCCCTAAAATTTTAATTTTTAGATAAATTTTTATTTTTTAATCATTTATGATACAGCATTAAAAATACATACAACCCCTATTTTTCACCCCTCTACGATCAACCCCTATTTTTTTATTATAAATGATATACATGGCAAAACGACGTTTGCCAGGTCAGCTAGTATCATTATATAATTATTGTAAACTCTGATTTTCTGACAGCTATCATTTTTTGGAAATGTCAGTGATGGCAAACCTTTTTGGCCGAGAACATTTTTCAATTTCAATACGAGTCTGAACATCTGAGTCTACATACGTTTTATTGTTAATTAATGTACCCATTTTATTGAGTGCGGTGCTCCACATTAAAAGTGGGTTAACGGAGAGTGGTAATTACGTTTTTCATCACAAACAGTAAAAAAACGCACAAGTAAATATTACATTTTTTAAGTTTTACTAAATCTGGAATTAGTAGGCAGTGATGCCAGCTAAAGAATAAAATAAAGTAATTAAAGTTAATTCGATAAGTTCACTTCAAAAAGTTTTTATATTTAATGATATTTAAATAAAATTGATAAATTACTTCTAATTTTATAATTGAATTAAATTAATCTCTTATTAATTTTTTTTGCACATCCATGTTTTTTTTATTCAGAAAAAGATCTCATCTCCTTTTACTGTCGCTTTTTCGTTTCATCGACAAGCTCACATTTAAGGAAAAAGCTTTTGAACCGGATTAAAGTTATGTATTATTATAAATTTACAATTATTTAACATAATTTTAAATTTATCCGACGTTTCGCGTGCTTTACAGCGTGCGTGGACACGATGATCCGGTTAAAAAGTTATTTCTTTAAATGTGTAAAGGTTATGTCAATAAAAGACAATACTAAGCTTTAATTATTTTAGTTTTTATCAAAATTAAATATTGATATTAAACTTAAAAATTACATTTGTCTCATTATCTTGAAACCAACTATTTGAAATTTTCTACCACTTGTGAATTGCACACATGTTTTTATTTTTAATATAAATTGTTTCAGGGCAAGAACAAATTAAACAGACATTTAAAACAAGTTTGCGAGAAGGCAAAATTGGAAGAACAATTAGCTTCTTTATACGAATAACTGTGATATTAAAATATATTTATTTAAAAAATGTATTTTTATTAAAATGGTCTTATTTTACGCATGCATAACCTAGAAATACTGTGTTCGGTTCGGGTAAAGTATTTTCGTGGTTATAAACGTTGTGTTCAGAAACTCTCTTTGACACAATGGGAGAGGAAAAGTAGCTGTATTTGCACCAATTTCACTATCAAACTCAAACTCAAAATATCTTTATTCAAGTGGGTAACCAAGTACACTTTTGAATCGTCAAGTTAAATTAATCGTAAATTTACATTTACTACCAGTTCGCAAGTCAAGGGCGTAGAGCGGGTAAGATGAACTGGCAAGAAACTTTCCGCCACTCTTTTTAATCGCCAAGTATTGTCATACAAATTGTTTGAACTGGAGCAATTCAATCCCAAGGATTAGGATTATCATAATATACCCCCATTAAAATCACGTTATTTATTTCGTAATTCTACAGCTAACATAAATTATTATAGATAACAAAAAAAAAATTAAACTAAATCTATTATAACGACATCGAAGGGACTACTCATATTTGGTCGTAAAACCGATAGTCGTAACAGCCGATGACGTTGTTAAGAACCTAATACAATAGAATTCATTCAGTAGTTTTTGAGTTTACTCACAACATAATACAAATCTAGACTTATTAGTATAGGTTTGTTTGTTAACCTAAGACTGGCTTGCGGCTACATTGACTATCTTAAATAATCTTTGGAGCAAGCAGTGGCGAAATTTCCCTTGGAAACAGTGCGTATATCCATAGCTTCGTGGCCAAACAGATTAAAGGTCTGTATAAAAGCCAAAGGTGGCTATTTCGAATAGAATATTTTTTTTTATTTTTTGCTGAGACTAATAAATATGTAGGTATAAATTTTAATAATATTAAATTACTTCATTAAAAAAATGCATTTTCATTTGTAACAGAACTTATGGCTAGGTATATATTTTTTAATGTTTTTGAAGTTATACTTCTTTAGGCGCGTTATGATAAATTGATGAGAGTGAAATTTTACGATGCGCGGGCACCGTGACACAAAATTAACAGAATGAAGTTGCATTGGACATATTTTAAGAACAACATTCGAATAATAATAGAATTTATGTTACACTTGATGTAAGAGAATAATAATAAATATTTATTTATTTAATTTTTCAAATGTAAACTGAACTTTATTGACTATAATGACTCCTTTTCCAGTCTTCGATCATTTAATTGTAATTAATTATTTGCATGCAATCATAAACTATTTTTAATAATGCCAAAGAAGTATAACTCCTTACGCGCGTACGTAAGTACACGCACCCTTTTTTTAATTGTAAGATTACCGGTATAGGTATTGTGTTTAATAGTATTGTTACGAGCTAGGGGATCGGATAGAAACGCCGTAGATTTCTTCAAGGGTTTATTTTGAATTAAATCTACGAGGAATTTGTTAACACTAAAAATTGGAAATTATGCACTAAAATTCACTGAATACACACACAAAATACTGTCACTAATTACACGCACTTCACACAGTACTTGTATTCACTTGTCTTCACTATATTCGCACTTTGTCACTCCGGTGTTTATCGCTTGGTATCGCATTCAAAACTGAACTAATCGGTCGCGTTTCGGCTCGCAGCTCGCTTATATATCCCTGGGAGCGATGTTCGAGAACTCTCTAGGCGGCAGCGCAACTGAGTAGCGATCGCACAATTCTAGAACGTCCGTACTAGCTATCTCTTTCGCACATTGCTCCGTCCTTGTCGTACGGCGTTCTAGAGTGCTCGGTCTAGCTTCGAGAAGGTTCCGATCTTCCCTCTCTCTCGCGTATCATTCCGTCCTTGTCCCACACCTAGAAATTTCGTTCTAGAACATTCCTTCATCAAAGGGGTATAACCAGGCCTGAAAACGCCTGAAAACGGGTTTCCTGAAAAGTGTACCATTCGACTACACTTGTTCTGAAACTACCTGAAAAAACCTGTTTCAGGCTCCTGAAAACTAGGGTTAACATTAAGTAAATTGCGATTTTCTAATATGTGATCGACCCTCTCCTGAAACGGTCAGAAATCACATTTCAGCCTGCTGAAAAGTTCTCTAAATAGTGGAAAAATCTAGAAACATTGTAGTCGACCCGTCTTCGTAACAGTATTATAGTAGTAACTGTTACGATAAAATATTTATGTGGACATGAATAAATAAATAATACGTAATAAAATAAAGAAGACAAAAATTTCAATATTTTATTCAAGATTGCAATACATTGAAACATTGCAATGCGGCAAAAGCAATCAAACTATAATTGTTCATAGCTTTTACGATTATTTTATTTAAAATATCGCTGCAATCCACTAGAATGTCTTTTTCTTCTTTTTGAAAGACTTCATTTTTAGTTAAATTCCATTTCTTTCGCCATATCTCGGTAATAGTCGACCGCTTCAGAGATTTATCTTCTTGCGACTGACTAAATCTATTGCTTTGACTAAACCTAGTGTTCTGACTGAATTGCGTAATTTTAATATGTTTTTTCAACAATGTTTCTAATAAATGAAATATGTACGCTAAGTTTTCGGTTTTATTTATATTTGTTAATTCAATTGTGTCTCTTTCCAAATTTTCATTGAAAGATTCGAGAATTTTAACGATTTTTTCGATTGTATACTTTATTATATTTTTAGATTTGTTCAGGAGAAGCAGGCGCCCGATAGATTCGTCGGTGTTGAAAAACTGTGAAAAAAATCGAAAAATAACAACAAAAATATGCAATTTTTTTTAAATCATACGAAAACATAAAATTAATTCACATGTAAAAGGAACTGTGCGTGCTTAAGTACAGGGTTGCAGAAACGAGACTTGGCCCTAAGTCTGACTCCCGAACGTCAAAATTTTGACAGTTTTTAAAAGGCTGGAAACACACCCGCTAAAATAGGTGTCCATAGACTGTGATGACTGCCCTTTATATATTTCCCGTAAGCTCGTTTCCCCCTATTATAAAATATTATTATATCGTAAAACGAATATTACCACATTAACATCACATTTCCTCTCGTAAATTGTCGAAATCAATTTTGTTATAAATTCCAACATCTCTTCGAGGAAACTCGGATATTTTTCGTTGTCATGTAATCTATCTATAAGTTCACCCAAAACCTGCAAATTTGTTGAAGATAAAACTAACAAAAAAATGGTTTTGCAACTTAAAAAACAGACAATTTTGTCAACAAATGGATAATGTTTTGTTTCTTGGAAGATGTATTTATATTGCAGCTCAATAAATCTCAAGAAAGGATTATCAGCTTTATGGTTTCATTAAACTCACGTAAGGGGCCGTTCAAGTATTACGCAAGCAGAGTTACTGCAAATTATCGTTGACGTAGTCACCAAATAAGAAAATCAAAGAATCCCCCTCCCCCCTATAATGCATACGTAATACTTGTACGGCCCCTAAATAAAATAAATTGTGCGTGTACTATGTGTACACACGTAAGAAGTGAAACTTCTTTATCATCTTATTTTTCGAAAAATTATCTACTATATGCAAGTGTACAGAAATTCGTTAAATTAGATAAAGTTTAACAAAAGGCTTTTATTATCATAGACATGAATACAAATATTTCATTTTACCTTATTACTACGAAGATTATTATAGAATTTCATTAATTGTAATAGAATTATTACTATCATTGAAAAACGTGACGATTTGCTACAAAATTTCTCCCATACGTCGATAAAGCAGTTTCATTCCAACGCCGATAAAGAAGTTTGACTTCAAAAAGCAACATGGTGCGTAACCGAAAAATGTGACGCGTAACGAAAAAATGTTACACTAAATTTTTTTCCAACCTCGATAAAGAAGTTTCACTTCAAAAAGGATTAATATTCTAGTTTATATCGAATTGTCTTTTATTTATACCAAGTGAAAATAAAATACAAAATGATTTGGACGCGTTAGATCACACATTTGCAGTTTAAAAAAATAGTTTACTTGTAAAATAGCGTTGGACCCCAATAAAAAACCAACCGTAAACATCTTTCGTTGGTTATGTTTCGTTCTTTCATTTTATTTAAAATAAATATTTGTAAAGTTGTGATAACGATCCGATCATAAATCAAAAGTATGTTTGAAATACCTTAGCGATTTCGTAATTAATTTCGACGGTAGAATCAAAAAGCGGTGTTTGACTTAGGTAAGTGAATAGACAATGTGAAGACTGGTTGAGCCACTGTGTAGATTGAGATGCTAAAAACAATATAAATATAGAAAAATCATTAAATATTGAGAAATTATGACAAAATTCGTTGCGTCTTCAAACTCGGGATAGACTAATCCGTTTTTCTTTAACAGTTGCTCGTACGGAGAAGAATCCATTTAATTTAAAATTGATTATCCAGTTAATTAATTGAGGTTTTGATTTGGTTTTGTAAAATATATTAGTTTAATTGTCACCTGTTTTCTTTAGAGCAGTTTGCGTAGGTCCAAATGCTAATTGATTGCTTAAGTAAGGAATTTGTACAGTGGTGTAACCCTCAAGGCAACAAGGAAATTTCTCAGTGGCTTTTAGTGTTTTATTTTTGTACTTTAGTTTATTTATAATGTTAAAGCAATAATTTAAAAAAAAATTCTTTCTAAGTGATCAATTTGATATCCACCACCACTATGTGGAACCAGCTACCCACTGACATATTTCCGAACCAATTCGACTTATGACAAGAACAGAGCGTATCAATTCTTTACAGGCCGGCAACGCATTCGCGAGACCTCTGGCATTGAGTGTTCATGGGCGGCGGTATCTCTTAACATCAGGTGAGCATCCTGCCTGTTTGCCCTCTGTTCTATAAAATAAAATTCCCCCGTAGACATATTAACGAAAATTCCTATAAAAACTACTTGACATTCATCCCATACTAATTGCCCATATATAAATATATCATTATCAATACTATAAATATATATATATATATATATATACCTATACATAATAAACCGAAACATTTAACATTTGCTCGAACGTTGAAGGAAAACATCGTGAGGAAACCGACATATCTTAAACCCAAAAAGTCGACGGCGTGTGTCAGGCACTGGAGGCTGATCACCTACTTGCCTATTAGATTTAAAAATGATCATGAAACATATTCAGAAATCTGAGGCCAAGACTTAAGAGGTTGTAGCGCCACTGATTTTTTTTAATAAACCGAAATAAATTTCAACCGTAATTTTTGATATATATTTAAATTTCACATTACCAGTAGATGACCTGCTTTTAAAACCAGAATCTGATGCATGGCTATCAACGTCGCTTTTATTTAAATATGCCTTTATTTTATTAAGTTCCCCCATCACTTTGAATGGTATTATTTCTACTTGAGATACCGCTAAATCATCACTTTCGTTTAATTCATCATTAAATCGTGAATTTTCAGTATTTACAGCTTCATCTTCATGAATGTTATTTGTTTTTGATTCTTTTAAAGCATATTCAGGATTATTAACATTTATTTTCAATTTGTCTCCAAGTATATTTATTTTATTTAAATTAGTATTGTTTACTTTAATATCTACATTGCCATCTATATTTTGAAGATTTGGATCAAAAAGTGAGTCGCACTTATTTTTTAAGTATATCAAATCATTTTGACTGCTATAGATTTGTGCCCTTACGCATGGAGAATCTAATGTGAGTATATCTTGGCTTTCTTCAAACAATCTATTTGGATTATTATTAAGTTGGAAATCATTCATTTCTCTTAACTGTATTGAATTTTGTATTATGTTTGATGTTACAGTATCTTGTGATTCAAAATTAATATTATCAAACATTTGTATTTCATTGGAACAATTAAAATTAATATCTTTCGGTTTTAAAATCACATTCTCCATTATTGAAACATTGTTTGGTAAAGAATTTACAGGGTTTGAACATTCTATCGTTTTCGAGTTTATATGATCAATTTGTGTTTGGACGTTTTTACATTCCTTTGAAACTTGAATTACTTTTGGAGATTCATATTGTGTTTCAGCTGTTTGAACACTGTTTACATCTATAATACTCTCTGTGTACACAATTGGTTTTAATTTTTTTCTTACGTGAACTTGTATTTCAGAATCGTCTTTATTCTCTAGTCCACTAAGTTCAATTTCGTTTTTTCTTTTTATATCGAGAACTTTCTCATTGTTAAAATAATTAGGTTGAACGGAAATACAATCTTGGCTTTGACTTATGTGTGTATAGTTTTGAGTGTAGCACGAGTTTGAGGCTTGCGCATCAAGTTTGTTAGTTGAAAACGATTGAGGCTGGTTCTTTTCAATCTCTTTGAATAAATTCTTTTCCATTCTTTGTTTTAATTCCATATCCAAACTTCCAAATTCTAAATTAATATTTGTTTGAATATTTGGTTGTGAAGGTAACACAATTATATTGTTTTGGGTAGCTGGCGAATTAGTTGCGTGCAATAAAGTCTGCAAAAAAAGTGTGTAGGTATATTTTAAATGATATGACGATATTCATAAACGAACAGAACGTTAACCGTTGAATAGATTTACATAATATGTAAGTCTATTATATACATTAGGTATATATACAATTATTGAGGACTTAACATGTAAAATGGCTATGGTACAAACCGATTCTAGGCTCTCAGATGGTTCTTACAACCCCGGCTTTGCACAACCAGACTTTTCTATGTACGTAATTAAGGTACCAGCGGGCAGGTAGCCCATGGAAACATCGGAAGCCAACCAGCACGTTTAAGACCCAAATATTAAAGATGACAATGGTTAGACACAGGAAAGGGTTCAGGAGTCCAAGACCATGATTGTCATTGTACTATTTCAGGTACAAACTGGCACCACATGATTTTTATGATTTTGAAAATTTTTAATCTGATAGGAATTTAGACGGCTCATTGGTCTAGTGGTTAGTACTGACTGCGAATCCATGGGTCTCGAGTTCGATATCCGGCTGAGACAAATATCGATGTGATGAGCATTTGGTGTATGTATGTATATCCGTTGCCTTATGCCTAGTACCCATAACACAAGCTTCACCAGCTTAGCATAGGACTAGGTCAATTGGTGTGAATTGTCCAAAAAAATTGTGAATTGTAGAATTGTAAATTGGCCAATATTAAAATACCCAAAAGAACATAGAACAACTCAAGCAAATGTCATTAGTAACATAAAAATAAAAATATGATTGCCTCATTCGTTAGCCCATTGGATTACATGAAATACAAGATAAGATCATGAAATTGAAATGGCATTTGCTTACACAGACAGAATTTTTTTAAAGATTTTGATGGAGATTTACGGCCTTGTTTATCACAATAAGTTCAAATATTACTGAAATAAGTACTAGTATAAAAAGAACAATTACTACTACCACAACTGAGCGTTTTCTAAGGCAGTTTTTGCCGCGCACCACCACTATGTGGAACCAGCTGCCCACAGAAGTATTTCCGAACCAATTCGACTTAGGGTCCTTCAAGAAAAGTGCGTACCAATTCTTGAAAGGCCGGCAACGCACTTGCGAGCCTTCTGGTATTGCGAGTGTCCATGGGCGGCGATATCACTTAACATCAGGTGAGCTTCCTGCCCGTTTGCCTCCTATTACATAAAAAAAAAATTCTAAGCAATGGACTTAAGGTTAGATTCATGACTCAGCGACATTTTATGTCAATACCGTATTGATTCATGAAAAAATTGTTTATATACAATTTTTAAATATAAATAAAAAGTATAATTTACCTCATTATCCACATTTGTTAAATTTAAATCCTCTTTATCCAACATGTTTTCGAAATTTTGCAAAATTGTTACACTTCCATTGGAATTGTCGTCAATATTTAAAGATAAGGTATTTAAATTTATTTCTTCGTCGCTTATATTAAAATCATCTTCATCGACACTGATCGCTTGGGACTCACTTTCCCGTATATTATTTTTCAATTCCATTATGTAATCTTCAACACTTATATTATTTGGTTTACTTCGTAATACAGCCAATACGACTGCTAAACGGTATTTTTGCAACAAAAGCTCAACTGAAACCAATATTCTTTTTTATTTCACAGAAAAAATGCACACTACTATTTGTAAAAACATAATATGTACCGTAATTTTCTTCCATATTATTTAAAGTTATTTATTAACAATCCACATTGATTTCGATGTTAATATTATTCTTATGTATAACGTTTTATTAAAAATTAATTATGAAATAAACTGTCGGCAAGAGCAGTGGACCCAGAGTAAAAATCATATTTTCCCGCTATTTCCTTCAATAGAGTTTGTTCAGACTACACACAAAACACAGATTAACAAAAGTATATCTATCAGGTTTGTCTATGGATGTAGAACTTAGTTATCTATTATTTACCATAGATCGTAAATTATTGTTTATTTTGATTTGTCATTTTATTTATATTTGAACATTAACAAAAATATGTTTTTAATAAATTGTGGAATACATGGCATTATACACAATTTTATTCGGGATAAGTATTTTCATGATAGCTTTAGTCATAGCGATAATCAAGAGAATGTTTTTTCATTGGAAACAAGAGCATAAAATTGAGAGAATGACTACGTTCGCTGTTGAAAGACCAGGTATTTTCTGTTTTCTAATTTATAGCTAGTTTCCTTACTTTTGAAGATTGAAGTAATTATTCGTAAGAAGTTAGCAATGTGTGTATTGATAATAAATAGTAGCGAGCGACATCTAGTCGGACTACCTATAAAAATTTCAATTATCAACATAAGAATTAACTATTATATGATGAATACAATAGTTAATATTGTTATTATTTTATATATTTCTAATGAGATATTAAAACTGCTTAACAGATTTTAAACTTATATAATATCCTTTTTGAAAAACTTACCTTTCAACTACATAATGATTTTTTAGCTGTAGGTTTGATAATCTATGCAGAAAAATGCGTCATCGAACGACGGCAATATGCGGGCGATGTTATCACCTACGACGTTATAAGTAAGAGTGATATTAGTTTGACAAAACAGAATATTGAGGCGTAATTTTTAATAAATGTAAACGTTAATATTTGTTTAATTTTAGTGTTTTAGATATGGCAACCCCAAATTTTATTTTATTTAACTTTTTTATTTTAAGAAATGTAATTATTTTTATGACTTTGATATAATATTTGAGAAGGCACATTTATTATAATGAAAATTACAGATAATGCAAAATTGGCTATTCTTTATTTAAAAAAAATATTATCTTTAGGGGGTGAAATAAAGGCAAAAACACATTTATTACGCTTTTATCTTCATTCGTCGTTGGTTTACAAAACAGTCTATACCATAAACACTATTAATTTTTATTATATCGTATTTTGATAGTAGATGCTCGTGTTGGCCTAACGATTTCATTATGCTTCCGTCTGGATCCTGGAAAATTAAAAAAAAATACATTAATAATATTTATATTTTATCAAAACTATATATTTTCTATTAAAGATGGATTTAACTGAGATATAACAATTAATTAATTAGTTATCGACTGATTTGAGGGAGGTATTGTGCATTTTAGCTTTAGCGAGGGTTAAAACTAAACATCGGTTAACCTCACCGTCATTTTTTTATAATTAAGTATATATCTGTATATATATGTATATAAAATTATCTAGTAATAGTAGTAGTCTCTAGGCTAGTATTTTTCAAATCCCTAAGTGATAAACACGCTGAATCCACTATGCCAATGCTGTATTGAGTACCTACACGCCATTCTTACCTTATCTTTAAAAGTAGCGACAGAAGATATTCCTCTCTTGCCAAGCCTCCTCCAGAACTGCCAAGCTGGGTGTGTTGCACTTTCATAGTCGTATGGCAAAGGTAGCGTAGCGTCAGAACGGATCTTTTCAAAATGATGCAGTTTATCTGTAGAACATTATTTTTCTCTTTATTATTAATTTACTTGGTAATTAGGCAAGTAGTTGTTCAGCTTTCAAAGCTGTACACGTCGAAGGACTGAAAGTAGTCTAAAGCTTAGGTTTCCTAGAAAAGCGGTGCCGTTAACTAACGGCCGTCATTTTACGGTTGTTAATAACGGCCGTCTTTACTTTTTAACATAATGCAAAAGACATCATTTTCGCTCGTCCAAGTCACGTTACCACTCATTGTATTAATTAAATATGGACACCACTACACGCGAAAAACGTTGAACTAATGTTTATCACCGCTATGACGGCTGTCATGCAAATGCCATCACCGCAATTTGACGCTACAAAGACACTCAGCATTATCTAGGAAACCTAGTCCGATGTTATTTATAGACAACGTATGTGTGACGTCACCCAACGCTACATTACGGCCGTTAGATAACGGCACCGCTTTTCTAGGAAACCTAAGCTTAAGAGTAAAATGTCAAAATTTTGAGATACGGAAGTCATACACTAACTCGATCGATCCCTTAAACATTTATTTAATAATTAAAAAAAACAAAGTAAAACGTAGACTCATTAATCCTAGATCACTTGAGTCGGGAGTTCGGAGAACCATAAATTTACGACCAATATGTTCCCCCTTTGAAGCAGAAATTTTCTAAATATACTTTAGTCTATTAAGAAACAGTATCAGTAGTTTCCAATAACGATCCCGAAGTATGCATTTAGATGAAGTTCTTTCATTATTTGATGGACTGAAAGCAGCAGGAGCATAAGAAAGTAAGTTCCTACTTAACAAGGTTTAAGTTAAATTTAGTTTACATTTTCAATTTAATTTTTCTGTTATGCCGATATTCCTTGATTTTGTGTTTTTGAAGTTATACTTCTTTTGGCGCGTTAGGGAAAAATTATGAGAGTAAATTTTTTCGATGCGCGCACACCGTCACAAAAACCGACTAACTGAAGTTAGCTATAGTCAACGTTTTAGTTTTTTCTATTGTTAGTGTAGTTTTTTCTACAAACGTAGAATAACTTATTGAAAAGATTTTTATCTTGTTACGCCAAAGAAGTATAACATCTAATGCGTGTACAAGTACACACACGTTTTTTTTTATTTATATGTGTCTATATAATTGATATGTATTCGCTACTGGGGGGTTACAGCCCACAGTGCTTTTAGATAAAAAAAATTGTCTCTTACCTGCACGAATATGTCTGTTATGTACTCGTATATGTTCGTCTCTGTCGTGACGTGATATTTCGAAGTAGAATCCAAGCATGGCCATAACCATCATCGCGGCATATTGCCTGTGTTGCCCGCCCTCAAATAATTCTAGTGCGCCGAATACCTAGGGGATATAATTGTAATTAATGCAACCGTAACTTGCAAACCCTATATTTTAGAATGTATATGGACAATATTGGCCGTGGTGTTGCCATTCTAATAAAACAAATGACATCGTGTTCTTTTATTACATAATCTCTGACATATATATCAAAATTACCTCTACGAAATAGAAAAAATAATAAGGCCTTGGACAAAACGAACGAGTAGACGGGTCAATGAATAAAGTGCTAACTTTCGAACCTGGTAACCCGTAATGCTTGGGGGCTAGCGGTTGCAACAGGGCGGGGACAGCCTTTGAGCTTGTAACGACACCTATCTGCGCTTACAAATCACTACGATGACGTCACATCTTAAAATGCCCTAACGAAGTTATTCCTCTTAAGAATATATACAACTTCTCCATGTCCAGTCACTTGCCAGACTGGTCAAAGATTCCTTTAGGTTGGAGGAACAGTACACCTTCCTTCCATTTGATGTCGATTTATACTTTGTAATATAAAAAATCATTTATTCATAAAGGTATTTATCAGCGTGAGTAAAAAATGATTCTAAATTTACATTGCCAGTTCTCAAATCAAGGGCGTAGAACGAGTACTGGCAATAATCTCGCTATGAATCGCAAGTTTTTGACAAAATATTTATAGATACATCACATCTCAATTATAAGAATGTATAGAAACAAACATTTAGTTATCTTCTACATCAGCAAGAGGATCGTGAAATAGGTACACGGACTTACATTACTCAGAGATTAAAATACATTTTTAGGATTGGATGTATTTGTGTGTGGTAAATAAATTGACCTGTAACACACATCAATCGCACTAACACCTTTTCGGTCTGGGCTTCAGATTTCTGTATCTGTTTCTCTAATAGGCAAGTATCTTCCTTCACAATACAAACGAGTGTTAAATGCACACATAGAAAGTTCATTGGTGCACAGCAGGGGATCGAACCTTGACCTCAGGGAAGATTCCCACCTAATGTACGAAGTTTCCCCCTCCACAACATTAGGTGCCGAGGAGGAACTAATTGGAAATACACTTACTGGGGTATTTTGGAGATTAAAAATAAAACACTGAATTATTTCTTACTATATTTAAACTTAATATAATTACAAATTGAGGTAGGATTATGCAAAAGTACTAAAGTTATTTTCAAAGTTTTCTAGATGTCCCATGACCCGTATGGGAATATGGGGTGAATGTAGTCCTTGATTAAACCTGAAAATTATCGATATTGTTAAACATGCACTCTTTTTTTAGTCACAGTATAAGCAACCCAATTTGGCAGAAAGAGGCGAAAAAGTTTTTTTAGTTAGAGTGAGATTTTGTATCTATTCAAAATGAAAATGAAGATCTTACAGCAAAAATATACTATATAAAAACTTACCTTCTAGAAAACTGGATCTGAAATCCTAGAACTAATCTTAAATTTAAATTCTTATTACAATGCGCATTTTCCATCATAGTATTTTCCTGAAAATAAAAAGATAGACTTACAACTAAGTATTAAAAAATATATATTTATTTACATTAAATTAATTATTTATTACGTGTAACAGTTTTGACAGTTTAAAAGACCCGTCACATACGTTTGACATTAGTGCTTCTTTCATTTCTAGTTCTTCTCAATTTCTACTAACGCAAAATCCAAAATCTAGTTTTTTAAGTAATTGTTATATTTACAATACATAATCATTACGAATTTTATATACTAAATGTAAATACCTATAGAAAAAATCATACTATATCTCAAATGTCAGTTGTACTGACAATTGCGATTACAATAAGTTTCGGGTCCGGATACGGAAACAAAACTTGTTTTTACTCTCTTATAAAAAGCCCATCATAAATTATATAATATTCTACGTCATATTATTAATTAAATATAATGTATTATGCAATACAAGTTTTGTACAACTAAAGTACTAGCTTGACTTGTCAATAGCCCTAATCAATTTGTTTTTAACTCCGGAAAAAGATTGATTATAAATTTGAATGTGGTGCACGTTAGGCACCGTCTTACCTATAAAAATATATTATAACAAGGGCTTTTCATCAATAAAAACTACTATTTAATATTGAATGTTTGATGTTATCTTTTTTAATAATTCCATTGTAAAAAAAGTATCATGGATTGGTAATATTTTTTTTTTTAAACTCACCTAAACCTATTCAACCTCCGTAATTGTTGTTGAATCGTTCTTCATGTTCTCACTTCTCTGTCTTTTAGCACGATGCCTCCATCTCTGATTCAATTTACTTATGGTAGCAGACCAACGACGTAGCAATTCCGACATCTTCCTCTCATACTCCTCCCGAAAACAGTCCATGTTCTCTTCTACCCAGGCGATGGCGTCTTTGCATTCCCCAATTAAAGATGCACACTCGTTGCTACTCAGACTCTCCAAGCTGTCAACCACAGTCTGCTTTACCCCATAAATATAAGTCTCCAACTGATTTCTGACCTCCAATCTTATTCTATTCTCGATATCTTCTTCTCGAAACTTCTCAGCATCAGCGATCATTCTCCCTACGTCACTTTTACTTAAACGATGCGTATTTTCTATCGTGATAGTCTCACAATTGCCTGTGCTTTTATCACGTGCTGAAACTTTTAAAATGCCATTTGCATCTATGTCGAAAACTACATCGATTTTGGCAACTCCCCTCGGTGCTGGCGGAATGTTGTTCAGCTCAAATACACCTAATAAAAGATTGTCTTTTGTCAGTGTTCTTTCGCCCTCGAACACTTCTATTGTCATACAATTCTGGTAGTCTTCCAAAGTGGTGATTTCTTTGACTTTACGGCAAGGTATTGGCGTGTTACGTTCTATTACTTTGAACATCATGCCCCTAGATGTTTCAACACCTAAAGATAATGGCACAACATCGACCAGAAGCAAGTTATTTATTTTATGTCCAGACAGGATTGCTGCTTGAATGGCAGCACCACAGGCGATCGCCTCTTCGGGGTTGATAGAACTAGTTAGGTCTTTATTGAAAAACTCCTTCAAGAGATCTTTTATCTTTGGTATTCGAGTACTTCCTCCAACCAGTACAATGTCATGGATGTGGCTTTTTGACATGCGAGCATCTTTTAGGGCTTTATCTATTGGTTTGATTGTATCTTCAAAGAGATCAGAGCATAGGTCTTCAAATAACACTCTTGAAATGGGTTTATGGTAATCAATGCGGTCGTATAAAGATTCTATGTGCACTGTAGCCTCAGCAGCTGAAGACAAACTTAATTTGACTTTCTCAGCCGCAGATTTTAAACGTTTCAAGCACTTGCCGTATCTAAGCACCTCTTTGCCGTAGCGCTTTTTGAAGTCCTCGGCGAAATACGCTACCAATCTATTATCAAAGTCTTCTCCACCGAGCCGCGAATTTCCAGCTGTCGCCTTGACTTCATAAACAGAATCACTTATAGTTATAATAGAAACGTCAAGAGTGCCACCACCTAAATCGTAAATCAAAACATTTCGTTCACCGCTAAATTTCTTATCATAACCAAACGCGAGCGCGGCGGCGGTCGGTTCATTAATAATTCTAATAACTTCTAAGCCAGCAATACTCCCAGCCAATCTAGTCGCCTGCCGTTGAGCATCTGTAAAATAAGCTGGCACAGTTATCACGGCCTTATCGACATTCTTACCTAGATACGCCTCGGCAACCTCCTTCATCCTGAAAAGTATCATAGAACTAATTTCTTCAGGTGAAAACGACCGCATCTTGCCCCTATACTCGATTAGGATCTTTGGCTTACCATTTTCGTTGATCACTTTGAAGGGGTAGTGCCGTAAGTCCATTTGAAGACCCATATCATCGTATCTACGTCCGATGAGGCGTTTAGCGGCAAAAACAGTGTTTTTTGGATTGACAACGGCCTGGTTTTTCGCAGCTTGGCCGATTAGACGCTCGCGGTGTGTGAACGCAACGAATGAAGGTGTTGTTCGGTTGCCGTGTTCATTCACAATCACTTTCACATTGTTATTTTGCCACACTGCCACACACGAATACGTAGTTCCTAAGTCAATACCCACTGCCACCATTTTTCTACTATAAAGCACCGATTTGAAAATCGAACACTAAAGCTGATGTCAAGTTTAGCGCGCGCTTATATACTACGAATGAAATGCAGAGACTTCTAGAACCGTATCGACCAATCAGGAACCTGTATAAGCCGAATGTGCCAGAACTGGGTTGCTAGCTTAAGGAATTTAAATTACCTTGACATATGCAATATGGTTTGATATGTATATTATATGCTTCGAATATACTAATAGAAACAATTTTATTTGTTTTTTTCTTACTTTACATACGTGAATTGATAATATGGCAAATTTCTTAGTTTCTGTATATTTGTCTGTGACATATGTTTTACGATATTTTTATACCGTCTAAGTTTATCACAATCGTAGAAATGTTGGAAACGACAAAATAATTATAAGTAAACTTTTATACACTAATTATATTAATATTGAAAGTGTCACAAAAAACGGGGTAAATGTTCTATGCCTGGCAACCCTAAATCTGTAGCAGGTATAACAATATCTCACATAGCCAATAGACGGACGTAACTATTCTCTGTCTCTGTTTTACTAATAAATATTTATAATGTTGTCTCTGTTTACCGAGTTTAAAAGGCGCCAATTTGAATTGAATTACAATATTATTTATGAAATCAACCCGAATTACAGTTATTTATACATCTTAGAAATATATAATTGCACATATTTTTTTGGTTGGTGGACAATTTTATTTAATTGATTTTACTTTGCACTGATAATTTTCGAAACAAAACATACAGTAGAATTCATAAACAACGACTAAACCGGTTTTAACGACTATAATGTTTACTCAAGTTAGGTACTGAGAAAAAATAACCGTTTAGTGCGACTCCAGTTTAAGCGACCAACTGCTTACAGCGACCATTAATTATGATAATACGCCCGGCGCAGTGTTTTGTTTACACAACCGACGCACCAATACCACCAACTCTCTCTCTGAAGGCTGCCGAAACGCTCAATGTGTTTGTTCAGACTTACTTCGATGATGATCTTATGAAAACAATGTCACGAATTCACAATACTGTACGAAGTTCTTACTACCGAACAAGTTTGTCAAAAACAAACTCACTCACAGACTTTCTACTTTAGTTAGTTGCAGAGTTTTTCGTGTAGTGCGTGTGTATGTAATTTATCTCTTTGTATTACAGTACATTACATTATGTTCCGATGTTTCTAATTTGGAATGTGTAAGAACCATTAAAATAAAGTATATGTGATTATATATCCTATAAAATGATTTATTTACCTAAATAGGAAAATCAAATTTTCGCACTTATAATACATACATATTTATTCGTAAGTATCACTTATATAATAATAAAATAATATACATTGAAATAAATAACTAAACTTAACATAAACTAAAATATATCATTAAAAGGAGTCCCTTTAGGCAAAGTTCCGAAGATACTGGCAGCGTTCCCCCTTTGAATTGCTAGACTAATTCTTTGTCCGAGGTAGCTGCCAGATCTTTGGTCTCCTGTGATGTCGACTAACCTTTTTGAAATTTCTTTAAAAAGCCTTAAAGCGCTAGGACCCCACGGAACAAGGGTCTCGACACCTAATGGGACAAAATCATATTCTGAGCCTAGACCCCTGTACTGGCATGAAAAACTACTCTTGTACTTTATTAAATTAGTTATACCAATATGTCACCATGGACATGGATAATCGAAAAACCTTTTTTAATTATTGCATAATTAATTTATAACTGTATTTGCATGCTTTATTTTTTTCAGCCGCTTCACAAGCCGCATCAGCTCTGTAGTTGGTTCCATGTAGATGGGAAGGGGCCAGCGTGTCTGTACAGGTTGCATCCCATACCAGTACCCGGCCGAAGTAAGTAAAGTTAGTTAGTTGCAGAGTTTTTCGTGTAGTGCGTGTGTATGTATGTTTAAGTAAGTTATTCGTAAGTTAAGTAAAAATGTACTTAAGAAATAATCCTGCCGTTTTGTCCGTCATCTGGTTAGTGCGACAAGGTATCACCGGTCCCTTGAATCTCGTTATATCTGGATTCTTCGTAAAAAAATATTAGGCCCGTCCACACCGACCGATCCATCGCGATCGCGGGATCGCCGATCCATTTTGGATCGTTCGGTGTGGACGCGGCTATTATGCCTCGTTGACCAAAAACATTTTTGTAAAGACATTGTTATACATTTAAATATTTAAAACTACTACTACTGATTTAATTGGATTTTGTATAATTAAGTAATCTAAATATTAGGCTAGTACAAAAAATCGCATGATAATTAACAACAGTAAAATTGTATTTGAAAAGTTTTCAATCGAGTTGAAGAATTCAAAATCAGGGTCAGTGACCTCGTATAGGTCAGGATTTCAAAATGTCCGCTCTGTCGAGTAATTTCTATCTTATAGAGATATATTATTATGATATATCTCTACACATATCGATAGACTATGGACCTCCTTTGACGTGATTTTTTTTTTTAGTTTATTCTCAATTTCTTAATAGATGCTGAAGGCGAAATGCGGATTATGAAGGAGTTGAATGAATGGAGTGAATTAGTTAAAGGGAGAGAGCGATTGAGACCAATTGAGAGAGAGTGAGAAGGGTGAAATACCATAAAGAAATTCTATTTTTAAAATTAAAAATTCGTAAAGAGAATTTATGAAAAATAATTTATTGAAATTTCAAATGACGAATTGTAAATTAAAATGCCACGGGTTTTTATTATCGAAGAAATGAATTAAGTTCCTAACATACCTTCCTTTTCCCCTCCCTCTAAGTCTGGGAAATCTAAAGTTTTAGATTTGTATAATTATATGACAAGGGTTAGAAATTAGTTTGCCAAAGAAGTTGCACTGTCTGATATGTGTACTTTGTAGGCACGCACTTTTTTTTGTGCTGTATAGGTCTGGGCCTGATATTTATGTATCGGTTTCATGATCATTTCAAGTCAGTCAATGTTATAGGCAAGTAGGTGATTAACTTCCTGTGTTGCACTTGACGTCGAGTTTTTGGGTCTAAGGCAAGCCGGTTTCCTCACGATGCTTCACCGTTCGAGCGAACGTTAAAGCCGGGTCCACATTTGTAGCATGTTGACGTATCACGATCAGTCGTATCGTATCTAGTATTTGTATCATAAGTGTGGACGCTGATTTTGTCCATGTCGTATTATTAAGGCGTATCGTGTAAAAAACGCGTCCATACTTATGAAATGCTGTATCATGTCAGTGTATCGGCTTTAACTTTACAAATATAGACGCTTCACTTTTCTTCCGATGTATCCTGATGCGCGTATCTTTCAGTGCACCTTTCCCTTCTCGTACGGTTCAGTCATGTCTTCGTTCCCAAACGGTTTAGCCATGTCAGCAATTGCTCACAGTTTGGCGGTGACTAGCGCCTGTTATATTGTCATTAATAGTATTTCAAAAAAGTTAAATCCAGACGTAGACGGCGCTGGAAGTGTTTAGAAACCGAAACAAACATGGTGGAATACCATTGATGCGAGATTTAAAATTTCAGCATACCAGAGGAAAATACAAAAATTTCACTCGCATATCACCCATTGATGTTGTGTATTCCCTTTGATGATCGCGAAAAAACCGACACAGGATGGTTCGGGGTGTATCAAGTATCGTATCGCGATACAGTATCGTGATACAGTATCAAAAAACGTCCATACCACCGATCGTGATACGCGTATCGGATACGAGGTGTATCAAGATACGCGCTTAGTGCGGATCGGGCCGTATCCGATACGGCATGTATCATAAACGGGTATCATTTTGCGTCCAAACTAACGATCATGATACGCGCCGAAGCCACGCAACGGAGATACGATACACCGAAATGCTACAAATGTGGACCCGGCTTTAAATGCGCATATAGAAAGTCCATTAGTGCACAGCCGGGGATCGAACCTACGACCCCAGCCCTGCGATTCTGTAACTCACTTTTCGAACTCACACAGCGGTTTTCGCATCGGCGGTCGCTCTGAAATCAGTCGTGAAGCAGTCATTTTATGATTTGGCATTCTGAAAAGGTGGGAGCTTGTAGTTTATTGTTTATCAGAATGCCAAATCATAAAATGACTGCTTCACGACTGATTTCAGAGCGACCGCCGATGCGAAAACCGCTGTGTGAGTTCGAAAAGTGAGTTACAGAATCGCAGGGCAGGGATGAGAGTCGCACGCTGAAGCCACTCGTCTAACACCGCTCTTATATATGGCGTATTAATTGGAAATATTGAGTTCGATTCCCTGTTATTATTATAAAGACACAAAAGTGTGATCACGTTCGGGTCTATATAAAATAATTGATATCATAAAAGTTAAAGAATACGTTTGTATTTAATGCCCACACCTGCAACCCTATCGGGTGTGTTGCCGGCCCTTATATACGTTAATGTATGGTCGCTTGACTCTATTATTAAATCTGCAAATTACGACTCCACTTGCCCAAGAGATAGTAAACTCGACGCGAAGTTCTCAAATCAAATGATAATGCTTTAATTACCTGTCTCCCACCAACTCTGCCTGTGACGTAATCAGGACTTGTGTCCAGCACCAAGTAATCATGGAACTGATCCTCATCAGATATCTCCTCCAAGCGCACGCACGTCTTCTTCATCAATATTCTATTTACTTCTTCTAGACGAGACCTAACATCTTCTGTGTTATCTGGAAATAGATTTAATCTGGAGTTTGCGTCGGCAAGATTTTGTGTTTAGATGTGAAATATGAATTTAAACCATTTTTGACTTCAACTGTCAAAAGGATTGACCAATGTTTATGTTCAAGCATCTGTGACCGTTTATAAATTGAAGCCCATTTTATTCTCCTACTCTTCCCTTGTTAATAAACAACTTTAAACGTATAAGGAGAAATAAATTTATTAGAGTATACTCCTCCGTCATAGGCCGGCAACGCACCCACTAAAATGGGTGTCCATGGGCATAGTTTCCCCTTTATGGGTGTCTCGTAGGCTTGTTTGCCCCCCTATCATATAGAACATATATCTAATATATAAAATTCTCTTGTCACAATGTTCGTTCCCATACTCCGAAACGACTCGACCGATTCTTATGATTTTTTTAAATTTCAGTAAGACTGATAATCGGCTACTATCTATCTATCTTTCAAACCCCTAAATGTTAAGGGTCGTCCACCCCAAAATCTTAATTAAAATCTTGAGCTCTGAATTTTATATAGAGTAAAAATTCACAGAAAACCCTAAAAAGTTTTCATTCCAGAAAACCGAACAGTCTCCGGGGTAGCATAGCAAAATGTTCCATGTTTACATTAAGGAGATACGAAGTTCGCGGGGACAGCTAGTACATATACATATATATTTATGAAAAGTATTGATTGAAAGAAAACATACATTTTCCATTATCAGTTATGATATATCTCACGACATTTTCCTGCCATTTCCTCTCGTTATAGAACTCTTTGTTTTGCGCTGACAGCTTGACCCTTGGAATTTTCTTTCTCTTTTCTTTTCTAGGACTGGAATATCGGAACAATGTTACATAGGAAGAAAAAACTTTATATATTGGACATTTATGATGAGACAGGAATTCATTCGGTAAAACGGTGCAATTAAGACTCAATAATTAAGACACTTTACCTAATGGTTTCAGCGAGTGACTCTCACACCTGCCCTGCGATTCTGTAACTCACTTTTCGAACTCACATAGCGGTTTCTGAAAAGCTGGGAGCTTGTAGTTTATTGTTTATCACAATGCCAAATCATAAAATTACTGCTTCACGACTGATTTGAACACAGAAGGCTGATCACCTACTTGCTCATAACCAAAATAATATCGAGCGAGATACAGAAATCTGGTTCGTGATAAGATACAAAACTTAATTAATTCATAGCTGATTTAGCACTGTATTTAATAATCTATCATTACACGTACGTACAGTACGTATATTATATCTAATTACGTACTATACGTTCACATACGTTTATTTATTAATTTAATAATTTTGTACAATTCCTTTAATTTTTTAGTTACCCAAAGTGGGCGTATCGGTGGTAGTATCTCCCAGGAGAGACCTGGGGATCGATTTCACAGTTCGCTAGTGTTCAAAAGAAAATGTCTTCTGAAGCAGACCGTGGAGGTCTTCCAGACCTCAAGGTGATGCGGATCAAATTTGAGTTAATACTTGTACGGTGATGAATGAGGCAGGAGGGATCAACCCAAACAACTCTTCAGATTTGATATATTGACCACTCCCGTATGACAATAGAATAAATGCTATTAATTCTTATAATGCTGAAGAGTGCCCGCGTCTGGGGGCTCAATAGATATATACTCCCGGGGCCTAACTCCGACGATAAACGCCACGCTTATAAAACTAAGAAAGCCTGAGTGAGTCATGAACATGCCTTGGCTGGTACAAATTTAAAGGGTCTGACTTCTTTTTATGCTCAGGAGGTTCACCTGATGTTAAGTGATACCGCCAATGGACACACAGAAGGCTCGCGGGTGTGTTGCCAGCCTTTTAAAAATTGGTACGCTCTTTTCTTGAAGGACCCTAAGTCGAATTAGTTCAGAAATACTTCAGTGGGCAGCTGGTTCCACATAGTGGTGATGCGCGACAGAAATTGCCTTAAGAAACGCTCAGTTGTGGAACGACGGAGGTCGAGGTGATACGGATGGTATTTTGTATTCTAAACTAAAGCATTCATGAAGATTTACCGCCAATTTGTTTGGCTCATTTCTAGATTTTGTTTTTTGTTTTAGAAATATAACAAAAACGTACCTTTTTTGATCTGCATCAATATTCCTTTCTACAATCTCTATTTTCTCACTGTCTTCTTCAGTTCGGTGCGGTCTCTTTTTGTGACGTAACCTTCTAGTTCTCTTCTGTTGTGAATCGTCATCAGGTCTTGAAATATTCGTCTCCATCAGTATAAAACGAAATGTCACATTTTAACATAGACTTTACAAAAGCACTAGCTGATTCGACAATTTTATTGCTAGATTGGTGGTATATTGTATTATTAATGTCCAATGTCGAAAAAAGTAATTTTTGAGATGAGCGTATAATTTCACTCAATTAGGGTGGTACGGCCTATACTTAGACATATATTTTATAGTCAATTTAATAAAATCGGTCAAGCCGTTTCCGAGGATGGTACACGAGAATTTATTTATATTTAATTAGATGGGCTGGTCCGAAACTGGAGGCAAATCTACCACGATATATGGTTTACAAACGCAAGGTAAAAATTAACGTACGACTTAGAACAAATCAAAGATATTCTTGTACGAATTATATATTTACAAGTATAATAATAAGGGTTTCAAAGTTCATTCATATTTAAATAAATTTTTACTCGTTTCGACTTAATTCTACGTTAAATTTAAATTTTATTATACATTCAAAACCGTTTACGACGACATCGTTTAGAACATACCGGTTATATTGACCAAAATCAAATGTCCCGGCTGAATTTTATTGTATTAGGTACTTAATAACAACGTCATCGGCTGTTACGAGTATCGGTTTTTACGATGAAATATGAATAGTCCCTTCGATGACGTTATAACAGATTTTGACTGTATCTTTTGATTTATCATTCAATTATAGCTATACTATAAAACCTTATTTCCTCACATGTACTGTATTTAAGAAATAATACCAAAGTCTATGTTTTCTGTCATCCGTTTTTAGTTTTGTACATATAAGAGAAGCGTCAATTTTTTTAAAATAAATAACAAATATTATGTAAGTTTCGGTCGATGGTTTATATTTTTCTAAAACGGGAATTATGTTTGAGATAAATATAAAGACTGTTATCGTTAGATCATTTAATTTTAAAATGTCTTACCTATTCTTATACGATCTTCGCATTATTGGCGCGTAATTCTTTTTCTTTTGGGAATTAATCGTTGTTGCCATTCTTAACATTGATTTTGATGTTTCAATATTATCTGTCTTAGCGTCATTTGTTTTTTCTGTTACATGTGTAGTAGTTTTTACTTCATCTACAGCTTCTGTTATATCACTGGCAACACTTCGTTTTGTTCTTTCAATTGATTGATTATCTGTACTGTTTTCTGGTCCCGCTCTATAGCCCATATGCGCATAGTTATAGATAACAGCTCTGCCTTGATGCTTAGTAGATTGGAAATAAACTGGCCTATGTTGGGTAGAATACTTAACTGCGCCAAATTTGGTAGATTTAAAGTATTGTCTACACCTACCATTTTGCTTATCGTACCAGCTACATCTCGATCTGACATATTTGTCCATAGACTGTGATGTTTCACAGAACTCAGTCAAATTGGCTAGTGCATTATCAACTATGTTTTGTGTGTACTCCGTTATAACTTCAATGATGCCTAGTATATCTGTTTTAGGACTTTTATCTTCTCTTTTCGAGTCCGAGCGGAGAGGCTCTTTAGTATCATTGCAGTATTTGATTCTAGCATTTTTTAAAGCTAATGATGTTATTTTATAGACGTCTTCTATTATATTTTGAACTTCATTATGTATGCCAAGATCTTTGATACTTTTAGATACTTCTTCTGTCAGGTTTTCTGGTGGTGGAGTTATGTCGGGATTGACTCGAAGGCTTCTAGTATGATCCAGGTCGATGTTGCGTTTTTTACGAATAATTCCAGGGTAGTGTTGACATAAATCTATTTTGGCCTGACGGTCGCGCTTTTGGCACTCTGGGCCATAGACAATCTCAATCTTTCGAAGATCCGAAGTCGTTAGGCCGATTCTATTTTGTTTTGTGTTGCGATCCTAAAAAAAACAGATGTCTCGTGAATATTTAAAGTGTAAGAATTTATGTATTTGAGCGAAGGTTTAAATTTTTTTTAAATTAATAATTTCAGTAGTAAAATATAATTAGTATAACCATTATTACTTTAACTAAAAAAAATCGAAAACACCTGCTTTGCTACTACATTGAATACTTCTTAAACATGGCAAATGCATTCCATTTAAATTAACTAAATAAGCTGTAGTCCCTCAATTTACCTATTAAATATAATGTAATGTTTATATCGGATAAGCGTAAATTTAATAAACTTTTGTGCTACTATTCAAGTCCAAGTCAAACTCTAAATAACTTTATTCATATACGTAGCCAAGTACACTTATGAACGTCAACAGAAAAGATGTTAAATTGATTACAAATTAACATATACCACCAGTGGTGTAGCTAGGTGACCAAGGGCCCTGGGGCAAATTAAAAAATGGGGCCCCACTGCTATGTAAACTGATTAGGTTTTATCAAATTAAAATATGAAATATACAAATAATTTAAAAATGCTAAGCTACGTAAGCTCTTATTTGTGCAGGGCAGGTAATAAAAATATTAAATAGTAACAACATAAATTACAATTAATACTTGATGTAGGTTTGGCGAATAAAATGAAATACAGAAGATTCAAGGGTCTATTATATAAAGGTCGGGCCTACCAACTGACTAAATAACAATTAGATTTACAGTTTTTTCCTAGCTTTAGTTTTCGCAAAAGTATTCGACTTCGAGACTTCGTTTAAATCTTGCTATCTAATTCGCGTTATACTGGGTGGCGCATAAGTACTGGCACTAGAGAAAATTTGTTTATTTTTATTATATGACATTTCATTTCATTTTGTTGTTGAAAATTGTGTAGTGAACAAATGAAAAATAAAATACACTGAAAATAAACATGGACCGTTTTAATCCCCAAGAACGTGGAATAATCGTGTCAAAAGTGCCGAAATCTTTAGATTTGACACGATTTATTAACTTTACCGGACATCAATATGAGTGGTAAAATCAAATAAAATTGAATCACTATATTGACCAGTACAAAAAAGTTTATTGACTTTAGCTTACTTACTCCTGATACAGCATGAATTTTTTAACTGTTCTCAAAAAAAAATCTTAACTCGAACTCACAATAAAATGCACATCGATGAATAATAAAATGCACATAATATCACTATCCGTCAGATTGGCAACACTGCCAACCTACAGAAAGAATTTAGGGGAATTCCCTAGGCATAACTTTTGAATTTCTCTCAAATTAATGTCTTGATTAAAGTGGGGTTGCAACCTGTCATATTTATTTAGAAAATGGGAGAAATTTCCAAAAGTGCAGAACGATCGAGATTTCTGGTGAGGATTCGAGGGCCCCCTGAGCTTGAGGGCCCCGGGGCACTGCCCCGCCTAGCCCCTTGGTAGCTACGCCACTGTATACCACCAGTTCGCAAGTCAAGGGCGTAGAGCGGACAAGAAGAACTGGCAACTTTCCGCCACTCTTTATAATCGCTAAGTTTTGTTTCATAAAAATTGTTTGAACTGGAGCAAATCAATTTAAGTCAAGTGTACGCTAATTAACAATTTCCCTTTACCAAACTTACTTTAGCCTTAGGCAATCATAATTAACTGTTATATCAAATTACCTTAAATATAATGGTCCTATGTCCGTTCTTGCTAAATTCCCGATCACTAAAGTGCAGAACACTGTTCACATCGTACGACAAACTTCTTAATTCTGGGGGCAGCCTCAAATCCTTTGAGAATAGATCTATGTGACCTGAGAATATATTATATGAGTATGTTCAGTGTTTATTGAGCAATGTTGGCCTAGTGGCTTCGCGTGCGGATGTGCACCAATGGACATTCTTTCTATGTGCGCATTTAACATTCGCTCGAACGGTGAAGGAAACCGACATGTTTTAGACCCAAAAAGTCGACGACGTGTGTCAGGCACTGGAGGTTGATTACCTACTTGCCTTAGATTTAAAAATGATTATGAAACAGATTCAGAAATCTGAGGCCTAGACCTAAAGAGGTTTTAGAGCCACTGATGTTGTTGAGAGCTATACTCTGATTTTTAATTCCGTAGAATTCTGACAGCTATCATTTTTTGACATGTCAGAGATGGCAAACCTTTTTGGCCGGGCACATTTTTCAATTTCAATACGAGTCTGAACATCATTATACATTTTTTTGGTAGTTAATGTATCCATTTTATTAAGTGCGGTGCTCCACATTAAAAGTGGTTTTATTATTTTTAGTAGCAACACTTATGAAATGTCAGAATTCTACTGAATAAAAAAATCAGAGTATAGGCGATTCTCTGGAAACAAAGAAAGAGACAGAAAGAGAAGAAAAACTTTGAGATTTAGAGCTAAGGCTGTCAAATGTCAAAAATGCATTGGATTTTGACATAATGGAGTCATACTTCGCACTAAGGCTAGCTCAACCTCACCCTCAGAATATAATAAATGTGTCAGGCAAAGGTTGGTCACCTCTGCAAAGCAATTTATTGTTCACCACATCACATGCTATATCTACAGTATATGTTACAAGCAATTTTTTCTAAAATACATTTATAGTACAGATAAATGTTAAAAAAAAATTAAATCATACAAATATTCCACTTCCAATTTTTACTTATTATAGCAAAAAATTAGTAAAACAGCGGATTAGGTATCAGATAGGTCCTTAACAATGTATAGTGGTCGGAGACCAGCAAGTCAGCTTAGGTACCGCTGGATCGACAGAATACAGGAAAGCAGGTTTCTGCTGCAGCTGAAAGCCGGGATGCCGGGATGTTGCACAGGACAGCGAGCGCTGAAAGATTCTCATTTCGGATGCCAAGACACTTTTTGGGTCGCAGAGCGGAGGGAGTGTGTGTAATTGAGTAGAAATAAATGCATTTCATTTATGTGTGAATTCGTTTCTCGGTGCTAATAGGATATTATGGCTCGGTTTGAAATACCCGACGCAAACTTAAACGATATAGGTTCATTTTGTTTGTTATTTAGGCAAATAAAGATTATTTTTTTTATGTTTTAGAAGACCTCGAAATGTGGTTATGTTAATGCATTAATCCTACTAATAATATAATCGCGAACGTTTGTAAGTATGGATAAATGTTTACTCTTTCACGTAAAAACTACTGAATTGATTTTAAAGAAGCTTTACAATAATATAGATTATACATCAGAATAACACATAGGCTACAATTTATAAATATATTATGTGAATTTTCCAAAATATCAATTAAGTAGGATAAAATCTACCATCTGCGAGCTATTCTGGCGTGCGCTGCCAAAACCGCTAGAGTTACACATATGTAATGTATGATGGAAATGTTTATCCTTAATAGTCAATAGCTTTATATGTTTACGCTACGCTAATATAAGCTACTCGAAATACTAATCCTGCGCAGACAAGTCGCTGGCACCAGCTAGTTATATAATTATATATAATGAAAACATTCTATACACATAGCAATAAAACGATTAGTATGATAAGAACATTTTGTAATGTTGCTAAGCAAATGCAATGCAAATATAATCAAACTAACTGATAATTTTTATTTTGAAATACATGATATGAAGTGAAATTTATTCTGAATATAATTTGTAGTGTGTTTGATTGTCAAGGGTGAAGGGAGGCAGGGAAGCAACTAGAACTTGATTGTACAATAAATAAAACATAAATTAATTATGCAATAATTAAAAAAGGTTTTTCGATTATCCATGTCCATGGCGACATATTGGTATAACTAATTTAATAAAGTACAAGAGTAGTTTTTCATGCAAGTACAGGGGTCTAGGCTCAGAATATGATTTTGTCCCATTCGGTGTCGAGACCCTTGGTCCGTGGGGTCCTAGCGCTTTAAGGCTTTTTAAAGAAATTTCAAAAAGGTTAGTCGACATCACAGGAGACCGAAGATCTGGCAGCTATCTCAGACAAAGAATTAGTCTAGCAATTCAAAGGGGGAACAGTATCTTCGCAACCTTGCCTAAAGGGACTCCTTTTAATGATATATTTTAGTTTATGTTAAGTTTCGTTATTTATTTCAATGTATATTATTTTATTATTATATAAGTGATATTTTAAAGTTGCATTTGAACCTGTATCTAATATATTTAATAAAGTATATTATTAAAAAGTGTTTCTAATTATTTAGCTTGAAATTTTGACATTTAAACTCGTTTCAATCGCAATATACATATATTATTTTATAAAAACTTTTCTTTATATAAAAATAAAAACTAATATATAGATATTTGAATACTGTCTAAACTAATATTAGTACGAGTATCGGTGAGCAAGAGACCAAACTGTTTCAATTTGTTTATAATTATTATTGTGTAGGAATATTGTAAATATGTACTGTATAATATAATATGTATATGGGTTATGAAGAAATATAGTTTTGAATTATTTGTCTGAGTATCAGTCTGTATCGTACTTAACCATGAATAAACTCAAAATATCTTTATTCATATACGTAAAGAAGAATGTCAAAAAAGAAGTTTTAAAGAAATTAATTGTACATTTACTACCAGTTCGCAAGTGTACATATACGAATATTTTAAGGGAACATAATGAAACAGACAAATAATAGCTATTTAAGGTAATTAATACGTTATATATAATGAAAACATTTATTCCTTAATTTGAATTTTCTAATAGAAAAATCATGATTCAATAGAAATTTTCTTATTACGGTTATTTAAAAATACAATACTGTTTTATCCGATTAAATAAAAAAATGTTAACTAAAATATCAAATGTTTTATTCCCCATTTATAACATTCCGCTGGAAATCAAACCCAGGGCTTCGGATCTTGGACTCCTTAGACCACCTAGGAGGCGGTAATTGGATGTTATTAAGGTCAAGGAATCGCGTGTACATTGTGTACGTGATGATACATTTAACATCTTCAGTCACCCGTGACCATGCAATTGTGGCACGCAAAATCTTGATTTATTGGGTTATGATAAAACAGTATTATATCAAATTACATAGTCAAAACTTTATGGGCGTGGCACAGTGTTAGAATAGGTACAGCAGTTGGCTCCTCTGGGAAACAGCCTGCTCCACCAGCGATGTCCAAATGTGTGTATTTAATGTTATTCTCCTCGACACCACCCACTTTGATTAAGAAACCGGCAGCCAACTGATGGTTACGACATTTCGCATCAGTGTCGTACTGAACCAGGTCGTCTCCCTTACATTTACCATTATTGATAGCCAAGTCTTCAGCTCTTACGGTGGAAACTTCGATGCCTTCAGCCATCCTGGAACCACTGAACTGCAATTTGCCTGAGTGGTTTGTGGCTTTCGCACTGTGATTGTCCATCGCAGCTGTATAGTTTCCATAGCACGCCCTAGCATGGCCTGTCAACGTAGCTATGGTGTAGATATGTGGGTTAAGTTCCTTTAGTGCAATCTCTGAACATTTGAACACCGAATCCGCCATTGCCAGGCGCCCTTCGGCATCTGTGTTCGTCACTCGTACAGACTTACCACTCCTGGATATGAGCAACTCATCTGCTACATAGGAATCTTCACCAATTGAGTTCCTGCATAGACAGAGTACGCCAGTAACTTTAAGATGAGGTGGTTTTAAAATGGAGCAAGCTTTTAAAAAGCCCGCTACTGCTGCTGCTCCACTTTTGTCTCTTGACATGCCAGCCATTCTACCGGAGATCTTAACATCGGCTCCGCCTGTATCGTATGTCACTCCTTTACCAACCAACAATAGGGTTTCAATCACGCGGCTTGGAATAGAAGGATTGTAATTAATTTCTACAACTCTCGCTTTATGTCTTTCCACATTATTGGCAGCCCTAGATACAGCTGCTAACAGAGGATATTCCTTCGCAATTACCCCTTGATCCTCAATGACGTTGATGCTTATGTTGGTGTCACCAGCGAACGAGTGCTTCACATACTCAACGATTTTAGCAGGGGCCATTCTTTCCGGATCGCCTCCAGCGATGTCACGCGCAAAGATCCTCGATCTCTCCAACGCCAAAGCATTTCTCACAACCCTCTCGAATGCTTCAGTAATTTTTTCATCTGAATGGAATCCTATATGGATAAAATTCTTCGAGTCCTTAAACTCGCGAATCTGTAAAGGTACATACATGGCTTCCAGCGCACCAAGGATACCGACGAGCTGTCCATCTGGAAAATTGACGACATTTTCAATGACCAGCAGTGGTTTCTTCATTCCAGCGTCTAGCGCTCTAGCCATTCCCTTTTTGGCTGCATCTTTAATGACACTTACGTCATGGTATGGCGTTATTTTTCCCGTTGGAGAGAGTACGAGACGACCTCCAGACACATAGTCACAATTCCAGACTGTAGGAACTTTGTATATATGTTTGTCCAGCTTCGAAACGTTGTCAATAAAGCTGTTTATATGACGCGGAAGGCCGACATCCATCTCTTGAGGATATAGTATAAGAATAACTCCATCGTAGTTCGCCGCTTGTATGTTCGTTTCAATAAAAATATTCTCGTACAATTTAAATTCTTGAACCAACATGGCGCCGGCACTCACTGATACGAAGTGATCATAATTAATGTATGATAAATGTTATCTGGTGCTGTGCGGGCCGTGACTTTGCGTTCCAATAATTATTTTAATATATCTCTGTGAACACTATAAATCGCTTCTGTTTTGTTATAATAATAACAACACACAATCACGATATTTTATATTTTGTCCACTACCGGAATAATCCCACAACAGTTACGAAGCTATCAAATTTTTAAGCCTCCCGAAATCCATTTATGTCATCCTTTAAAAAGCAGTTATATTAAATACGGCAAATGTGACCCGCAAATTCCTACTACCCATGAAAAACTGTTCACTTAACATGAGCAACAGCCTACCAGGATCATGAATCGATCCTGACCTAAAGTAAACACTTACCAAACAAAATAAAGCCTTATTTTATTTTCATATCCTTAATTTCCTTTTTAATGTTGTATTTACTTATAGAGCAGTGTTGGCCTAGTGGCTTCAGCGTGCGATTCTCATACCTGAGGTCGTAGGTTCGATCCCCGGCTGTGCACCAATGGACTTTCTATGTGCGCATTTAACATATTGCTCGAACGGTGAAGGAAAACATCGTGAGGATTTTTTGTGTTTGTTTAAATGCTTGTCACATAAGATTTTGTATTTTCTTTTTCTTGTACCAATGTATCAAGCGTTGGCAAGCTTTTGTATATATAAACCGTATGATAAAATATACAAAACAAACAATCTGTTTTAACTTTTGTAAAGACATATATAAATCCTCTAATCCGATATTTCAACATACAAAAATAATCTTAGGAGTTGTTGCTAACATATATATCATGATTAGCATTCCATGCATTAAAAGTTAAGCGACTTATCTTTTTTTATCTGTAACAGTTCATGATTAATAATTAATATTGATAATTTCTAATAATCTCATCAAAACAATTACATTATTTTCATAGTGTATTTATTAAAGTACACCACATCATATAAATTTTCTACAGTATATGTTACGAGCTATCTCTTTGAAATACATGACAATTATGGTGCACATAAATTTTACAAAAATATTACACTTCCAATTTTAGGTTTTACTAGTAATTTTTGCTTAACAAAGCTACTTAGGTACCAGATAGACAATGCTTTTTTATCAGCCAACTACCAAATATATCAAGCTCTGGATAAGTAGTGTTTCTCTTATATTCGCGAAGAGTTCGAAAGAGAGGTGCCTGAACTCCTAGGTTGGCTTTTGCAGATGGAATTTGGAAAATTCTGCTGATTTTAAACCTTGGGAATGAATAAGGGACGACAATGTTAATGTTCTGTATTTGACCAACTGTATGTCCAATTTCGTGAAATTATATTTGTGCAATGTTGAAAAGTGAAAAATAAAATATGTTTATTATGGAATATAACATATAGGGTATATCATTCCACGTCATTAAATTGGTCTCGGTAGACATCCCTACGCATCGGCTAAGACAGAGGTAGGCCGCGAGAAAAAGCCGGCATAAAAAACTCTCGGTACTCTTTTAAACACTGTTTCTAGTAAAAACAAACGATTCGAGTGATTTACAGTAATGGCGATAACCGAAAGACTGTATTGTTTTCTGTAAATCTGGGCATTGGATAAATTTTTGAACGTAGACATTCCGTTTTTAGCAAGGTTATCCATTACGAGCAAGAGACCATTATAAAAAAAACAACACCAAGAGTGACAATTTACAATATTTTTAATCAAAACGGCATTTTAAAACATTTACAAACGTACAAACGAATTAATTATATATTTCTCGTATTTACAGAAACTTTGATAAGGAGACAATGCCACTGTAATTATGTGTTAAATATTTACAAATATGTCAACACAGGTTATAGATAAGCCCTCCTATACTAGTGCAGACATTTTTGTGTCTAACATGAATTAAATATTTTTTATTAGTATTATTGTTATTAATGTAAATGACCGCGCAAGGTGGCTATGGGGCAGTGGCGTAACAATAGGGTGGCAGGGCTGGCAAAATATCACCAACCCAAGAGGGCCCCTGCCCAAGAGATATTATGGTCTACGGATAAATATGAAGTCTCCAATAAGCATTGGAGACAGGAGGCCTATGGCTATAAGTGGGACATATGTAAGAACAATGTGTAATTGAAGTACGCTGATTATTTTTCCGACCCAAATATCGACCAATAGAATTGCACCATTCGACGTCACGTGGTACAACCTACATGGTATTATACTGATAATTTTTTGAAAATTTTCTCTGGTAGTTGCTTCAAGAAAAGTATTAAGTAGTTGTTTTATTCATTATGAAATTCTTATTTGTTAACTGTACATTTCGTCTCATGGTGCAATTCTATTGGCCGACATTTGGGTCGGAAAAATAACGTGACGATTTTGACTGATAGGGTCCCATCAAAAGAATTTGCCACGGGCCCTAGGTGGTATAGTTGCGCCACTGCTGTGGGGTCTAGGAAAACCGGTTATTGGCTTAATGCTTATCATTTGCCAAACACTGGCATCCTTTTGGACCCTAAAACACTTCGCATTTCCATCAGCCTCCGCTTAGCCCATATGTACTTCTCATAAGTGTCCCTGTAGCCTTGGACACCAAGGCTTAAATTTGCAAAACAGTGCCGGTCGTTTTTCTGGCCACGCCGCGCTAAACGGCAGTATACGACACTTTCTTGCCTCCATCAATGTTTCAGCCATTTTGGAGCCAACAGGCATCGCTAGAGACGAAGGCAAGCGGCCGGATGGGATGTCTTTGATCTCTTGGAGGATGGGACGGGCTTTGGTATGGGATGCTACTTGTGTGGACACGTGAGCCCAGTATAACCTACATCGAACAAGCACAAAAGCTGACGCGGCAGAGCAGGCGGAAAATAATAAACAGCTCAAATATAAGGAGTCTTTCCTCCAACTTCGATTTTATTCCGTTTGGAGTAGAGACCCTTGGGTCGTGGAGTGCACAGCTCTAATTAAAGATTTAAGTTGTCCTCGTCAATAGTACTGGTGACCCAGGAGCTGGTACTTTCCTCGCTCAACGCGTAAGTATCGATATATACGTACAGCGAGGAAAGCTCTGCCAGCGTTAAAGGTACACAGGGACCAAACTTTTTAAATTTTTTTTACTATTCTTTTTATTATTTTTTAATTATTTATATTATTACTACTAATAAGAATAATTAAAAATGATAATATAGAATTTCTAAATACTGTAATATTTGATTGTTATGTTTAGGTTATAATAAAGGCAATATCGCTAGCGAGCGCTTTCTAAAGCTGTCTACACACCGCAGCCGCCGGCCCGCCGGCACGAACCCGGCGGGTGAACCCGGCGGCTTTAGAAGTTGCGAGCCTGACAATTTTCCCGGCGGCACGACATACAGTCGCGGCATGCAGTGTTCACAATAAGTAAGGTAGATTGCCAAGTGCTTGCTAGTGACTTGTTAAATTTTTTATTTTTCTCTCCACTTCATTAACGGATTCCATAATGTTTAGTCGATAAAAACACTGACGCGTCAATATTTCTTAAAAGCCGGTGGGCAACCAGTGGTGAAGAGCGGAGAGCGGCGTGCCGCGGGGAAGATCGCGCGGGCGCAAGCCGCCGGCAACATCGTTAAAACTAAGACCGCCGGCCTTGCCCGCCGGGTTCGTGCCGGCGGGCCGGCGGCTGCGGTGTGTAGACAGCTTTAGGCTGCTAGCGGGGCGACGGCGGCGGCGGCGCGGGAGCGGCAGGATCTTATGCGTAAAATCAAATGGACCGGCCCTGCGATTCTGTAACTCACTTTTCGAACTCACACAGCGGTTTTCGCATCGGCGGTCGCTCTCAAATCAGTCGTGAAGCAGTCATTTTATGATTTGGCATTTTGAAAAGGTGGGAGCTTGTAGTTTATTGCTTATCAGACGAGATCTTCCCTCGTTGTGTGTAAACACGTAATTTAGTACAATCTTTAGGAGAGTGCACAAGTGCCGTGAAACGCGTGCGTGTTTTTTGATTTTTAAAGATGGCTAAATGGTCGGAAGATACAACTATTAAATTTGTGTCTGAATATATTGTTCACGAATGTTTGTGGAACGTTAAAAACAATTTATACAAAAACAAACAGGCTAGGCATTCGGCATACACTGCCTTAAAATAAGCTATTTAATTTATTATTCATATTTAGTTTATTTATTTCGAATAAAATCTCGTATTCCATTTGTTCCATAACTACAGTTAGTATTTTGCGTAGAATAGAGCGTATTTGCCGACGTCGTTGCGCGTTCATTGTGGCGCTGTAATGAATAATGATACTCTACTGGAAGAAATGTAAACGTTCACTCGCAACGCACTAAATCACTAAAGAACTTGCCTTTCAACTTGTACTAAAATACTCTCCTAAACACTAAGATAATGTAAATCGGCCCTTACAGACAACTCCAGGTTGAAAACAAAAGAAACACCAACTGAGGATAGAGTACAGGAAGCGCATAAATAAATATCTAATATTCGAATACATATACCATAGTCATCATCGTAAAAATACAGGTTGATCTCTAGGGGTCATGGTATATTAATAATTACAATTAAGAAGAATACAAGAATTTATAATAACCATAATAAAAAATTGGGAAAATGAGAATCGTTGTTGGCTTTTTGAGGGTCTCAACTGACACACTGACATTACTGCCATGCAGGTTTTAATGAACCATCAACATAACAATTAACAACAAGGGCCTCATAGCCTAGCGGTCTTATTAAGTGGCAGCTAGGTGAGGGGTACCGGGTTCGATTCCCGGTTCGAGGGCAAGTTTTAATTTAATTTAAATTTGTTCTCGGCCTTTGGGAGGGTTGTGCGGTACCGGGCGAGTGCTTAAACCGTCCATGGAGAACACGGTCGAATTTCTAAAGGCAAGCACGAATTATAAAAATCTTATACTTGACGCTGGCTAATGCACAAACCGTGCCAGAGCCATAAAAAAAAGAAAAACAATTAACAACAGATTCAGGCTAAAAATGTATTTCTTGCGACACCGCATATTTTTGTAAGGCGCAATATTTTATATACAATTGAAACTTTGTGTGTGTGTTCAAAACGCTTTTAAATCAATTGATTTACTTTTAACTTACCTGATTCAATATTCTCGAACTGCACATCAATGAACACATCGCGACTGGCCCGATTATGTTCGAAGGGAAAGCCTAGTGCCCTCATTATCATCATGTCTATGTCTGGTGACTTAAGACACTCGTAGCCAAGAGTCAGGCGCTGAAAAATTCGTTAACAATAATAATCCAATGTCAACTATGCACAAAGTATTACTTCAAAGTTGGTATTTAAACCGGGATTCGCACGTTTAAGCCAGCAAAAATATAAAAAAGTCATAGATATTATAAAGAATAGTCAACTTAAGTAAACTTCCTTCAGTGGTCAGAGACCAGTAGATCGGCCAAGGTACCGCTGTATCGACAAAATAATAGAAGAATAGAAGTACCTGCTGCAGCTAAAAGACAGCATTTGGCAGAAGGTGGCACAGGGAGTGCTGGAACTTGGAAGTCGTTCTCAGGTTGCAAAGCCAGCGCAGCGAGTGAGAGATTGTCTCCCTCACACACTTAAAGATATCTTGATGCTCCTAAAACTTTTCTTACAAACCAAACCAAATTACCCAGCTATAGATCCCACGAGATACTTACATGAGGTTCTTCAAAACTATGAGCTTCGTTGTTCACATCGCATTTTCGTCTTCCGTTGGGATTTTCAATTAAAAGGACATGATGATTGACAGGTTCAGCCATCACTGGCGCGAACTTGAGACACGTTTTGAACGCGAAGAGAGACAGGGAGGACAAAATTGATAGGGATTGTTCAGCATCTGTAAAATGAACACCGCTACTGGAGCCAGGGCTTCGCACGACTGGTCGTTTATTTTTTAATACAGTGGAATCTCTATAACTCGAATGTCAAGAAAATGCAGAAATTTTCGACTTAACAAGAACTTCGAGATACATATGATTTAACTGCTGAAAAATTGACTTACAGTGGCGCGATTTCTTAGTGTATTTTTGTCCCCGAATATTCATTTTGGTTTTTATTGCTATTATTTCGGGGAATTCCAAATAAGACGGCATTATATATTACTAAATACGACTTGCTTTTTGAAATTCGAGTTATAGAGTATAAGTATGTACGTATAAATAACATTTTGTTCGAGTTACAAAGTCTAAATAATTCGAGATACCGGTTCAGAGGAAGGGAATGGCAATTTTTTTCGACTTACTGAGGATTTCGACTTAACAAAGGTCGAGTAATCGAGATTCCATTGTATTTTAGGAAACAAATGTAAACTTTTCCACATGAATATGTTACATAGTCACGTACTTGCAAGATTTTGCTAGTTTTGCGTGAATTTCAAACCAATTGAACTCTGGAGTTTAATGATATATACATAATATATTCAGTAGCAATAAATTATAATGATTTCAATTGAACAATCTGTTTTAGTTAAGTTCCTAATGTTTATTTGTAAAATTAAAGCTTTGTTTATAGTTAACATGATATAGATCTTAGATTTTACTTATGAATATTTGTTTTTAGATCATCTTCAGACTAAAGGACATTAAAGGCGCTCATGTGCGTGCCTACATTATTTCGATTTGTCTGTGGCAATCCCAGAATCGAATCGTTCACATAACAAAATCTAAATGTGGGCAAAATTTTTGAAGTTATACTTCTTTAGGCGCGTTTTGAAAAATTGATGAGAGTGAAATTTTACGATGCGCGCGCACCGTGACACAAAATAATCAGAATGACCATAATGACCTTTGTAGTAACTTTTAAACAAATAAAGGAGTTTTAATTATTTTTTCAAAGAAATTTAGCAATGCTTTTTCACAAAGCACCCTAAGTAGTTACTTAGTTAAAAGGTTATGAAACATACCTAGTTATTAAATTGAATGAATAATATAATAAAATAATAAATAATTATTATTATTTATACTAACGTTAAATATTTATTATTAATTATTTAATATTAAAAAAAAAAGAAAGCCAAAGAAGTATAACTTCTTACGCGCGTACATAAGTACACGCACTCTTTTTTTAAGTAAGTTGCTCAAGCATCTAGGCAGTCTATCCTGAAGAGAACTGCAGACTGCCGAGTCTCAATTATTATATTGCTTTTAATAGAACAGGGGGCAAACGGACAGGAGGCTCACCCGATGTTAAAGGATATGGACACTGAATGACAGAGGGCTTGCGAGTGCATAGCCGGGCTTTTAAGAATTGGTACGCTATTTTCTTCTTCTCTTCTTGAAGGACTCTAAGTTGAATTGGTTGGGAAATACTCCAGTGGGCTGGTACCACGGTGATGGGGCTACTTTATCCAACATACGTTTTTGTCGTCAGTGTCATTCAATATTCAATTCAACCTAATGTTTAGATTTTTAGGTTTTTTAGATTTAGTTTTAATGCTGCGTTTGTTGCTGCCTATATTTATGTTCCTTGATTTTTGTTGTTTCCTGTTTCTACATCGAAATATTAAAATTACTTTTCTCGTATTTTTAAGTGTATCTCGTTTTAGGACTTATAAATTAAATGCTTATAATTTATGAAAGGCTTCAAAATGCGGTCTAACAACCAGATAATATCCGCTTATCAATTAATAATTTGAACGTCCACCACGACGGTAGGTAGGTCTTTTCATCCTCTTATTAAATACAGACTTACCAAAATGATCAGAATTTATATAAAACGGCACTGTTGCATTTGGCCAGTAGACGAAATTACGTTGCGGGAGAACTGCAATTATAATCAATTTTACAAGTATCTGTTACATTATTCGTTGCCCAACCCAAATGTAACCCCATGGCACAATAGTTTATAGATTTTTCACGATATCCACAAATCGTTTATTTCATAAGCAACCAGATGTGGGAGTTAGAACGAATTATTAACGGTCTTTTTAGTCCACATTTTGCACCATGACTAAAGATATCATTTATTCTTTGACTCAAAACGGGACATTGCTTTAATTTAGGTCAAATAATAAGAAGTCAATGAAAAAAAAACACTTCTTTAAAGGTTAGTTAGTTGGCTTAATCAAAATGTTTAGTTATATTTATCAGAACAAATTTGTTTTAATATTGGTGACGATTTAAAATAAGAATGAAACTCTGGCCACGTTTTTTTTATTTAAATTTAAAATTTGCGCGCGGTTTCTGAAAACGGGACCATTTTCCGTTTGAATAATTTGTTTTCGTAAAATTCAAATATTAAACTGTGGCAAGCAGTTTCTTCCTCGTTAATTCTCCGTAGCATGATGATAGATAGTTATCTATCTACGCTATAGGTATAGCATTATTCGACACACCTGAGATTAACCCGTTCGACAAAATAAACTAATTTCCTTATCATTTGAAATATACTTACGTTCGTCATCAAAACTTTCTATTTTACATTTAACTAATATAAAATTACTAAATAGAAAAATTAAATAAAATGTCGACATTATTGTGGCGAATTTCCTCTTTGAAATGCAGTTTCATTTGTTTTTATTACGGCTCGTAAAAGTTAGTAGAGCTTGTAAAACTGTGATTTGATTTTTTATTGTATACCTGCTCGCTCGCATGTACTTTTGCAAATTAAAAAACGATAGAACGCCAACGAATTGATGAACATAATGTACTTTTCGAAGTTATGACATTAATATAAAGTAACTAAGTCATCAGTATGCCAGAATAGTATCGAAAGGAGGGTTCTAGGTCTTAAATTGAAAGATAGAGTAAAACTAGAAGAAATAAAGGACATGACGAAGTTTAGAAATGCTTACTTCTAGTAAAAGATTGAAATGGAAATGGACGAGACACATTATGAAAGATAAGTGGACGAAGAAAGTGACGGAATGGCGTCCTCGCTATGACAAACGAAAACGAGGAAGACAAATAAAAAGATGGGAAGATGATGTTCGAAGAGTAGCTGGCCCTATGTGGCTACGTAAAGCTAGAATCAGAGAAGAGTGGAAGCCCCTAGAGGAGGCCTATGTCCAAGGACAAGCTGTAGAACAGAAACCAACCAACCGGCTTGCCGATTAATTATTAGTATTTATATTTTTATTTTTCGTGTAAATTTTTAGTATTTCACATTTGTATGTACTAATAGGCCTTTTATTATTATTATTATACCTAAGTCATCAGAGAGGTCCAATTTTTAAGTTTCTAGATTGGGTAACAAAAACCCTGAGATTTTTTAAATTATTAATAGTCATAATATATTTGTCTATATAGAACTGACGTGAAGGAGCATGATCGTTGCTTTATGATAGCACTTGACAAGACATTTGGAAATAGCAAATTATTATAAGGGGTATTTAATAAAAAACCATTTGAAATCTACACTTTTAATCCTATTATCTATTCTATAGCTTTCCTCTCTGGCAAACCTAATAACTTCCTTACAGCTGTATCGTAATTGTTTATTGTCTTCTCGCTTTCACCATCATTAAATAAACTAGACACTGCCAACTTATACTCTTCCCCATGATCTATTACAGATATATCAAAACTCTTGTATTCATCTTCACTCAGTGCTTTATCTTTATTACTACAGTGGTGGTACCAATTAACTAAATTCTTCTTAGACTGATTATTATTCCAGTCATAATACTCCATATCAGCTTCCATTTTTTCTTTCTCCCAATCTTCGACCGTCCATGCCTCATGATAAGTTGCCGTTAGCAAATAATTAACATAATCCAAATTCTGCCTGCGCATGGGACACCTATCAGCTGTTAAAGTTATTAAATCTGTTTTCTCATCGTAATGGTCTCCAACTAACCTCAAGAATTTATCTTTAGCATGTTTGTCTAGGTTCAAAGTAGATAACTTGACCCTTAATGTCACAACTCTGGCTAATGGGTTCCTAATAGTGGGGCTTGCGTGGCAGTAGTCTGATGTAATAACCTCCACTGGATAGTGTTTTTCAATTGCTTCATCAGAGTTAAGAAGTTTTGGCCATTCTGTGCAGAATTTTTTTATTGCTTCACACTGGGTTTTAACAACAGGTGGAGTTAAATGCAAAAAATTGGGTATTTTCATAAGTTCTGCATTTGCCTTTTTGCCAGGTGGTACTTGGCCTTTGGGAACATAACCTTGACGAATTGGTAAGGGAACAGTAGATGGGTGAAATGATCGTGGACCAGGCCAGACATTACCCCAATTCTGAAAAAGAAATTATATATAAAAATAAATGGTTTATTAAAAAATATTTTAATATTAATGTCCAATTTCTTTCTAGAATTTATTTCAGGATTGTATTATATGAGAATTAACTGAACACATTTCATCAGGTATTTTTTTTAATTTGATCTTGATATGTTTCTATAATTAAGTTATATCATAAATTCCATCTTTAAAATATTCAAAACATGCCAGCCATAACTATATTTATAATCTAAGAGTATAAAAAGTTTCAATCAATTCCTTTCATTTTCAAATCTTGAGGTTGAAATTAATCATTATTATTATTATACACTTCAGTAAAACCAGCCTGTTTGATTCAATTTAAATAGTTTTTACCTGATCTGTAGACATTTTCTCAGCTCTGTCAGCAGGGACATCTATCCTCCGAGCAACTCTCTTCTGCTGTTTATCTCTTTTTTTAAGTATATCGAGAACACGAAACTCCTCTTCGCTTTCGTGGTTTTCTGCCACACTTGAATTTAAACGCCATAGTATTTGCTTTTTGAATATTGATCCAGGCCTATAATGTTTAATGAATAGCGACATGTTAACTTTAATACTGATTTATGTAATTTTTATAAAAATCTCATTTTTATTTTGAAAATATTTAGAAATAGGTTAGATTTAGGAAGTTGGTAAGATCTTAAAAAAATTCAACATCAAACTCTAGGTAATTGCGTTTGGCAGTTGTCAAGTGTCAACCCTGACGAAGCAAATATGACTGCTGACTGATAACAATTGACAATTGACAATATATAGTGAAAAATGACCAAAAGTAAAAATCGTAAGGTACGTCTAAGGATTAGAGCCCTAAGATATAATAAAGTCGCTATTTACGTTAATCATCTTTTTTTAAACAAACAAACTATTTGAAGCATCATCCCAAAGTTATACACAAAACCATCCGTTTCAAAATTTTGCTTTCGGATGAACGGAAAGGAACACTGATTTAAAATGTAATTTCTGAACGCAGTCCTCGCAGTACCCACAGATCTGTCTAACCGACACGGGACATCGTTGACCGAGTGACGGTATACTATAAAATATAATCCTTCAAAATTGACATTGCATGCTATTGAATTAAGTGGTCGTTCAAAATTTTTTCTTTTTCTAACTGTTAAAAAACAAGAGAGACAAAAGACATGTCAGTTGTATATAAAAACGCATGCCGTACATTTTCAGTGAACCGGTTAAATTAAGAACTTTCATAGTTATAGGTATCTTTCATCATGTTTTATTTTGTCTTGTGACGATTTTCACTATGTGAATTGATTTGTGTATGTTTCCAAATGAAATAAAAAATGGATAATGATGGAAGAAAATGTAGGAAAACGAAACTTGTTCCACGCGAAATAAATGAATCGGACGAAGAAATTTTTGCATTGCAGGTAGTACCTCCATCTTGCTTAAAAAGTTATGTAGGTAATTCGAAAACGTAATCTATCCTTTTAGCAAATTTTTGATTATGATTATAATCTATAATTATAATTGTTTATTGATTTCTGTGTAAAGTTATTAAAACATTAATTGTGCACATTTGTAGGTACATGTTGGTTATTGATTTTTTATGCTTACCTACCTACCCTATTTTTCATTTACAGATGACGTAATACGCTTATATTAATTATTGGTTTTTGGCATTTTATAGTAAATATATTGTTTCTTAAACAGTAAATTTGTATGATGGTATGAAATGTATAAAGGTTGTTGCAATGCTGGAAATTTGAAGTAAAAAAATTGATATCTCATTTTTAAACAAAATAATTTACTATTGATTTAATTTTATTTATTATGCAATTTGTTAAAGTACCCTCTCCAATTAAACTTTTGATTAATATAGAAACTTACAGAAAATACTTAACTGGCTATACAAATGTTTAATGACACAATAATGTACCAATCTTTAGGTATATTAAGGAAGTATTAATAAATCATTAATTATTATTTTGGGTTGAATGTCTATACTTACCACTAAATTTGTTTGAACTTAACAAAGCCACAAGAGGCTTTAATATGCATATTCAAGTTTTTAGATTCTCTATATAATATGTACTATATACACTGGCTTAATAATGGTAGTATGTACCTGCAACATCTTAGTTATTAAAGTTTTGACTTACTAACTTAATTTATATAATAAAACTGTATTATACCTAATTTAAAATTATGAAGTGGTCTGGGTAAATAGTAATAAGTCACTAGCTGTATTTATGTGTCTTGACCTTGGATTTCTGGTTTTGAAATCATCTTAAAACATTTTTATTCACCATATTTTATAAATTCACTATTTTTATTTTGTTAATTTAATTTATAAATTATTTGTACTGGCTATTTTCATTTTAAATGTGTGTTTTAATTTTTCAGAGTGTCGTGGAGAGTACATTAGCAAGAATTAAAAGACCATGTAAAAAAAAGCACTTCCTGCAGTAGCTATTGCTACTCAATCTAGTCAAACAAACACAAATTCCATTCGGGAAAATCCAGGCCGAAGTAATATTATGCCTATGAATTTTGACATTAAGATAGAAGTAGAGAATGTTGACGAGAATGCAATAGAAAAACAGCATGAAATAATAAGTTGGAGAGAAATAGTGAAAAAATCTACTGAAATTTATATTCAATCCAATAATATTTGTGATAAAATACTACATGGACAGGTAAGCTTTAAATAAATCAAATATTTAGTTATGAGTTCTTAATCAAACACATATGATAGCTATTTGATAGTCTCCACAGGTGGCACATGTAACCTGGAATTGCCGTATGTCCTGAATATGTTTCATACATATTTCTTATCTGTATTTTTCATTTCTTTAGGTAGTGAAAGATGCCTGTGAGAAAAATTCACTGTAATGATAAAATCAATTCTCAATTAATTTATTTCTTTTTTTGTTTGATTGAGTTTCTTTAAGCCGTGTTTTAACTGTCATTTACATAGCTAACATTGAGTTTAAAAACAAATCCAAATTATTGTGAATAACTCTTTATGCCATTAGTTTGGTGTATGGTTTCTTTGAGCATTAAAACTTGTTATATTTCTGTATCTATCCAACATTGTATATTGAAATAAGGCTGTTTTAATTTCAAAATATTCCAGGCAAACCGACAGATAAGACAGCGATAGCCTACATATTATAACAAGATATGTCTCTGTTAAATTTCATCCACTTCCGTCACTTGCGATTGCAAAGTCAATCAAAATTTCGTAATACGCAATTCCAAGTTTACGACAAACGTTGAACTTTTGAAATTATAGGGTACCAATGCTAGAAGTATGAGATCTTTTAAATAGTTACTTAATTGTGTGGTAAGCCTACCTAACCTATAGGAGATTTATGTCAGGATTATGTCAACAAAATAAATAATAATAAATTTATTACTGTATAAAAAATATTTTACATCAAGTTTTAATATAATTTCAATCTAATCTAGTATTATGAAGCTTGATATACTTATAAATAGCACTAATGAATAGCGTACATTATTCTGCGGTTTTTATGTTATTTTAAGAAGAGTATTTCTCCAGGTCCAAGGCAACAGTCATATAGCGTAATCAATAATCATACAAAGAAATTACGAATTTAAGGCTAGCATTCTACAACGTCACTCAAACTTAAATTTGGTTTTAAGAGCTGTCAAAGCACAATCTCATCTTGAGTATTGTTGTTATTACAAAATATTAATATAATTTAGCCGCAATAAAGAGGCTTCCCATTTTTTTTTACAATGTAAGCTTTCATTCAGATATTTTTTAGTCTTAAAATTCTGAAACTTTTTGGGTTCGAGGGAGTCAAAGCGCTAAATCTTATCCTTACACACATTATTTTTCTAATTTAAATGAAGCTGTTCTCTATATATTGACAGTACAAGCAAGAATCCTCAATTAAAATACATTTCTTGCCACTAACATATCTGTTTCTATCTTTTCTTTGATAACTTGTCAGGTCCTCAACACCTGCAAACCGGACGTAAAAGTATTCGTAAAAACGCCCCACGAGAAACTATTGGACCGAGTATTCACTAGATGGTGCGATTGGGCCTCCCTCACTGAGGAGCCCAAAGATCCGCCGTTATTCTACAAATGTTACATCTGCGATATGGCGTGGTGGCACTTGGCCCACTTCCGCGACCACATACGAACCCACGAGCCATCGAGCCTCCGCGTCGTTCTAGAAATGAATGACTACGTCGAGTGCAATATTGTCGCTTACTACAGCAAATCGGCGAACAAGTACATCGCGAACATAGAAGGGAAATGTTGGAAATGCGGCGAAAATGCGTTCGAACATACGAAATTGAAGAACTGTGTCGGATGTAAGAAACGGTTCTACACGTGCAGCAAGCTCCGCCAACACCAGTGGTACTGTGAGGGGTTCAAAAAGATGCACCTAGACCTTTTCGCCTCAGCTGAGAAGATATTTAAATGTCACCTGTGCCGGTTTTACTTTTTCAAAAAGGAAGACAGTATAGAACACATGATACTGCGGCATTCTGTGCGGTCAGATGTGCCCATACCGGGCTGTGCTGTTTGTGAGAAATGCAAGGACCTTATTTCCTATGAAGATGATCATGTTTGTGAATCTAAAGAGTATGTTAAGACGTGTGGTGCGTGCAAGAAAAGGGTCACCGAAAGCAGTGCTGCATTCCATCAGATTGAAGGGAACGTCACCTGCTCTGTGTAAGTTCTTTTGTTATTGCTTTATTTAACAGTAAGGCGTTTAACCTTGGTGCCTGAAGGGCTACATCTCGATTTTTGGAAATCAAATCCAAATATTTATATATAAATTTTGTAGGGGTTTATGACATAAATTATGTTTATTACATAAATGATAAACCCCTACAAAATTTCCCTCTAGAAAAAAAAGTCTCTATTACAGTTACCGCCAGTTCCTAAATCAGAACTAAAACGACGAGAACTGGTAATAAACTGCCCGCCATAGTAATTATAATCTTATTTTTTTTTCAGATGCAAAGTGAAAATAGTAAATAGTTGTTCAACACATCTCCACGCACTTCGTCATACGATGAACTATGGATTGGCGTACAAGTGCCTCACCTGTAATTTTTTTATAATCTTTGACTTGGAACAGATTCAAAAACACAAAATGTTTTATCATTCCAATCGTGACTTTGATTATGATCTTGTAAGTATTCATTTTGTCATTATTTTAATACAGTAGAACAGTGTTGGCCTAGTAGCTTTTGGTAATCGTGAGAAAGCTGCCATGCCCTTAGACCCAAATCAACGGCGTGTGACAGCTACAGAAGGATCCCCTACTTGCCTATTAGAAATGATTGATTAACAGACACAGAAATGTGAAGCCAGATCTAAATATTGAAGCGTCACTGTATTTTTATCATACGGTATTTTTTTTAATGCAAAAGAACTTAATTAAGACAGATTATGACAATATAATAAAATATTTTACGTGGTTTTGGGTTCAATTTCCAGTAAAATAATTGTTTCTTTTGTCCATTGGTTAGCAGGAATAGTAAGCTGATCAAAAATTACCTGTAAAATATACGATTCTCATCCACTATTGGAGGATTTTGGTATTCCCATCCTCTATTAATACTGCCTTCAGCTCAATTCAGATTCATTTTAATTTGGTCATAATATATTAATGTGGTGTCCTTACCAATTAAAATGTTTTTGATTTTAGATTTCCGTCCCAAAAACCATTGTAGATAGATTAAAATCTACGCCAGCCAAACATGACTGTGAGTATTCTTGTAAAACATACATTTTACCGTATAATAAATCATATTATATCCTTTCTGTTTCTATCCATTATTCAAAATTTAAATTTTACAGCGACGGTTGATAGTCCAATAAATACTTTACTAGTGCCTCATGATACTCAAGATATGGTGAATGATATAGATGACGATGATGATGTCATCATCATTGATGATGTGCCAGAAGTTATTGTTATACCATCTGATGACACACCTAACGATGATCTTCCTTGTGTCATTGCTAATATTAAATCCGAACCACTTGAAATTGAATTACAAACATCTAAAACAAAACATACTGTTACACCACAAAATGATTTCGAATGTAAAACGATGGTAATCCAAATACCAAAAGACACAAAAGACATATTTGAATGCCATTCGGATGGAAACAGAATTAAAGATGATGAAGTAATATGTATTGATGAAATTAAAAGGGAACCTAATAGTGAAGTGGCCGTTGAATCTACACATAAAAATTTAAATAAAATTACCACACATAGACGCACGCAGTATGTACATGGTAAAGAATCATCAAACACGCAAACTGTAAAAGCTACTCCGGAAGATATCACAAAGTCATTGACTAATATAAAAAAATCAATGGATATTACATATAAAGAAATGGAATTCATGAAAAAATATATAAATCATTCCAGCACAAATCCAGAAGTCGATATAGAAAGAATGCTACCTTTAGCGTTTGTGAAAACGAAATGTTCGGAAAGCCCTGAAGTGATACAGAAGATACAAAAACCGAATAAAATTAAAAAGTTGAGACAATACAGACCTAAGATTAAACAGACTCTGCTAACAGACGTTTCACGAAATTCAGAATCGGATGTTAAAATCGAAGTTATAAAAAGTGTAGACGTGGTGGAGAAAGAGAAACTTATAACAGTCGACCTAAGTGATACACAATCGAATGAACAGAAACGAGAAAAAGGTAGACCGGCGGATATGTCTAATAATTTAGATCAAATTACTCCAGAAGTATCAGAACCGCTAAAGGTAGAAAAATTAGTAGACACGGTTGTCGAAATCGATATCCCATGGGACGCTGTTCCAATAAAGGAAGAAGCTGATCCGGAAATGGATTTAAAATTATCGGATATCAGAAGGATATATCATATCGATGTTAATGTCGGTGAAAACGAAATTGATATTAAGCGAGAAATTAATGAATTCGATCTAACCGGACAAAGTGAGAATTGGCACCAAGACAACTCTCCTTATAATGTAAGTAATAATAACTAAACACCAAAAATAACAGAATACTTTAGCAAAACTTTAGCTATAACACGATCATAGACATATTTTCTTCAAATGTCAAAACTTTTATTAAATACTTGGTTCCAACACACTACATAGTAATAATAATAATTCAAAGTTGATAAATAGAAATAAAAATCAAATTTAAAAAGTTTGGCATTTCCTCGCTGTATTGTGATACTTATTCGTTGATCGAGGAAAGTACCAGCTCTCGGGTCACCGGTGCAACCAGGCGCAAACTCTTTAATAAGCGCCTGTGTACTTGAACCCCACGGCCCAAGAGTCTACTCCAAAGGGAACAAATCGTAGTTGGAGGAAAGACTCTTATTTTTGAGCTGTTTATTATTTTCCGCCTGCTCTGCGGCCGCGCCAGCTTTTGTGCTTGCCCGAAGGCAGTAGCATCCCATACCAAAGCCCGTCCAATCCTCCAAGAGATCAAAGACATCCCATCCGGCCGCTTGCCTTCGTCTCGAGCTATGTCTGTTGACCCCAAAATGGCTGAAATATTGCAAACCTATAATTAAACCTTTTATTTTTCAGTCGCAACATTCGGCTGATGATGAGTTTGAGAATGATTTGATCACCATCTCACCAAATGCAACTTTAAATACTGATGAGGATAGTGATCATGAAAGGACCCGAACACGCAGGAAGAAGGGAAAGTGAGTTCTTTATTATATTGTTTATAACTAATTATAAATAAAATAATCTAAAACAAGTTTAAATGTTCATAATTGTTTAGTTAAAATCTAATGTCCAGTTTTAGTTACGATTTTTATACGTAACCGGCGATATTCTGACTCCCGAAAGTCCAAAATGTATTGGATTTTGATATATAGAGTTCGAGCAGAAGTCCTTTTCTCTCTACTCTAAAATCTAATAAAAAAACCAGTGGCCCTACCTTTTTAGTTCTAGGCCTTAGGTTTCTCTATCTGTTTCATAATCATTTGTCAATCTACTAGGCAAGTAGGTGATCAGCCTCCTGTGTCTGACACACGCCGTCGACTTTTTGGGTCAAAGGCAGGCCTTTTTCTTTCAGCGTTTGAACGAATGTTATATGCGCATATAGACAGGAAGTCCATTGGTGAACGAACCTACGACCTCACGATGAAAGTCGCACGCTAAAGGCCAAATTCCCAAAATGCTTTTAACAAATCTTAAATGTTCTACTGGTATGTAAACATCAAGGGGCGGAACAAACGACGATATACCGTCGAAAGATTTAGAATCCCACCCATAGACTGTTAAATTTTTTGTTACAGACTATACAGCTGCATTCGCTGCAACTTCAAAGGCGTGCACAGACTATATAAACAACACAAACGATACGAATGTCAAAAAACAATTCACCTTTATAATTATCATTGTTCGTTATGTAAAAAAAGTTTTGATTCGATGCCGAAATATCTGTTGCACTTTGAAACGCACGGCGTTCCGGAGTTGATCTGTCCACAGTGCGGTCACGGGGGCATATCCTTGAAGTCTTTGAGCTTACACGTGAAGATGCATATCAAGAGTCTCTTCGTTTCGTATAGATCTTTGTACTCCGAGGACACGATAACGGCGCCAGTTTTAAAGTAAGTCCCTATAATAAGCTTCAAATTAGGAGGATTTATATGTATTCTTATTTAGCAGTTGACAGTTGACAGATGACAATTAACACGAATAGCATAAAAAACAAAAGAAAAACATAGATGTGCACAGGTCCAGCTCTTATGCTACTGAGAACGGCACTCATCTGTCCATACAACGCCAACTTTAAAAATCTTATATCTCTTGTGTGTATGTGTGTAAACTAAACATATGGACCGATTTTGATGAAATTTGTCTATTCAAGTGGATTCGAGAATGCTTTAGTTTTACAATTAAATTTTTTTTTATTTTAGACGTGTATATTTTATATATCTACTAGCAGACCGGCCAAGAGTTGCTGTGGCTAAGGGTTTGTTATATTACATAGTAGTAAACTATACAAGGGAAATGGTAGGAGAACACCAGTCATGGGGACCACCAAGCTTTTTTGGTGGTAATGCCATTAAATTGTAGCTTATGTGAAACGTTGGTACTTTCAACACAGCGCCATCTGTTAGAATTGTGACTGTCAAATAATAAACAAATATTTTGCAATAAAATAATATTGCAGGTATAAATTGAGATGTAAGCTATCCTATCTTTAAAGTTGGATCAAACTACACACGGTGTGCAAATTTGATTGATATCGGTTCGGTAGTTTAGGGAGTCCATAGCGGACAAACAACGTGACACGTAATTTATATATATTAAGATTGGATCCGCTAGTTGTTCGGTTATTATATATAAATATTCGCTCAAACGTTGAAAAGTGTGAATAAATAAATAATAAATATTAGTTCGTATAACTGCGCACTGGTACACTTTTCCCACAGACTACAGACCCTCCATGAACCAAATCAATTGACTTTTCAGATGCAAAGTGTGTGATGCTCACGTCACGCGGCCCGATTTCATAAAGCACTGGGACACGCATCTGGACCTAAATAATTCAAAAAGACGCCTCAAATCACCAGAGGTGTTATTACCGCAACTGCCCCACGGGTTTCAGACATTGGACCACGATGACACTCCAGGCATTAAGAAAGCTTTAAGTAAGATAAACAATATTAAAAAATTGCTTTCTTTCAAATTCATTTACGCCCGCCATTTGAGATTTTTTTAAATTTAGGTTGACATTTATAAGTATTTTTGTTCTACCGTTGTGTGATTCATTTAATTAATAATCTACATACGTATAATTTGTATTTACAATGTTCTTAACCTACAAAGTAATAACAAAAAATTTAAGAAAATTAAAACAAATTTAAAAAGTTTTTAGAACTTATTCGTTGAGCCACGAAAGTTTTTTTTTTTCGTTTTTTGATTAATAATTAAAATTATTCACTTGTCAGAAGTGAAACTTCTTTGGCAAACAAATTTTTGTCTTGTTCATATTTATACATTTTCGAGACTTAGAGGAGGAAGGAAGATGTTAGGAATTTAATGAATTTAATTGTCATTAAAATATTTAAAGTGTCGAAGTAATATAAATTATATATTTTTTTAAATTTATTTCTTCGATAGTAAAAACACGTGGCATTTTAATTTACAATTCGTCATTTGAGAGTTCAATAAATTATTTTGCATAAAATATTAAATACTAATATAAATTCTCTTTACGAAATTTTTAAAATAAAATTTCTATAAGGTAATTCACCCTTCTCACCCTCTCTCATTCGGTCTCAATCGCTCTCTTCCTTTTCTTCGACAAAAACGCTGCACATCTTAGTGACGTTTCCGTAAAAATTTACCCTCATGCGCCTAAAGAAGTTTCACTTAAAAATAAATTGTGCGTGTACTAGGTGTACACACGTAAGAAGTGAAACTTCTTTATGATCTTATTTTTCGAAAAATGATCTACTATATGCAACTTTACAGAAATTCGTTAAATTAGATAAAGTTTAACAAAAGGCTTTTATTATCATAGACATGAATACAAATATTTCATTTTACCTTATTACTACGAAGATTATTATAGAATTTCATTAATTGTAATAGAATTATTACTATCATTGAAAAACGTGACGATTTGCTACCAAATTTCTCCCAGACGTCGATAAAGAAGCTTCATTCCAACGCCGATAAAGAAGTTTGACTTCAAAAAGCAACATGGCGCGTAACCGAAAAATGTGACGCGTACCGAAAAAATGTTACACTAAATTTTTTTCCAACCTCGATAAAGAAGTTTCACTTCAAAAATTAAAATTATTTAAGCCTCTAAACCATTTCTTTTTAGATTTATTCATGAACCCAGAAAAATTGATGGATATTGAGAGAAAGAATTTCCGTGTATGTATTTTATGTGAGCGCCAGTTTAACAGACGAAATGACTGCAAGCGACATTTAATTGAGCACTTTCTTAAAAATGCTTACTCCAACAAGACCCGGTGCAACGGTTTGAAATGTCAAATTTGTGGGGACGTGTTCGAGAAAATTGACATGTAAGTATATTTTTGTGCGAGACTGTACGTTTGAAGATTATTGATTTTGAGAAAATAAAGCCATAAATAAAACAAAAAATAAAATATGTTTATTATGCAATATAAGATACAGGTATCACTTATTCCACGTCATTAAATTATTAATCCCTTCTCATCGTCAAAGAAGACAGAGGCCGAGAGAAAAAGCCGGCGTAAAAAACTCTCGGTACAATTAAAATAGCAAATCATAAAACAACACTTATTTTAAAACAAATATCGCAAATTAATTAGAAGTCAAAGCCTGTTTAGCACTAGGCACTAATCACATACACATCCTGTTAATAATAATAAGTCAATAATCAACACTTGTAAGATTTTGCAATTAAATCATGGTTACATCATCTTTCCTTGTTCATCTTCTTTTCTCTCTTCGTTGAAGAAAGTTGCAGTGATCTGGTAGCATTGTGCCTTCTTGTTGTCATGTTATTTTAATTGTTATGTTTGTGAGCAAAAATAAAATAAATTGCTTAAAAGCTCGAAATGTTATAAAAATAATATAGAATTACCAGCTGACCGGGCAAACGTTGTTTTGCCATGTATATCATTTATAATAAAAAATAGGGGTTGATCGTAGAGGGGTGAAAATTAGGGGTTGTATGTATTTTTTAATGCTGTATCTTAAAAAAGTAAAAACAAAAAAAATTTCCAAAAATTAAAACAAAATAATTTAGGCGTGGACTACCCTTAACATGTAGGGGGATGAAAAAGTTGTCCGATTCTCAGACATACCCAATATGCACACAAAATTTCATGAGAATCGGTCTAGCGGTTTCGGAGGAGTTTAACTACAAACACCGCGACACGAGAATTTTATATATTAGATAATCAGACGAAATTTTCCAGGTTCAGGGGCCACATGCGGTTGCATGCATGTCTTCCAGTATACAAATGCGAAATATGCGATAGAACATTTAGTGATTCCAGTAACTTTTCAAAACATAAGAAAGTGCACAATTTCCAAATATTGATCTGCGATATTTGCAAGAAGAAGTTCACTAATAAAGCCTACCTCGCCAAACATATAAAGGTATGTGATAAGACAATTGAAATCTACTTTTAATTTGGATAACATATATTTATGAAGGTCAATAGAAAAATATTATTTTATCATCACTATAATGCGTACGTGCACGTACTTCAACGTACACACTGCTGGTAGAGACTAAACTTAAGCTTTTTTTATTATGAATTTGTGGAAGGAAGATGCTCTTCTTCCGATTAGAGGATCCTCCACTAGTCCCACCCACTGGCTCGAACGTCCAGAAGTTGTATATATCCTTCGGAATAAATTCATTAGCGCGTTTCAGGGTACGACGTCTTCGCAGTGATTCGTACGTATTGAAGGTGTCGCTACGATTTATTTCATGTTATCTTGACTAAACTTGACTTAATGTCCTATAACCCCTAGATGGGGCAGAGGGCGTCCACAGTGAGTCTCCATCGCGTTCGGTCTTGAGCCTCGTATTTCACCTCGCTCCAAGTCTTTCCGGCTCTCTTTGCCTCGCCTGCGACTGTACGGCGCCAGGTTTGCTTGGGACGGCCACGCTTCATTTCCTTGCGGGTTCCAATCAAGCACCTGCTTGGGAATATGACTGAGATCCCTTCGGAGTGTATGGCTATCCAATTCCATTTGCGTCCCTTGATCTGCTCCCTGATTGGGGTTTCTCGGCAGCGCTCACAAAGTTCCTCGTTAGAGATCTTTTCAGGATAGTAGATGCCCGGAATACGACGAAGACTCGCTTCCAACCTTTGCGTTAAGGTCCCCCATGACGTGTGTGATATGTGGCATTTAGAGCGTTGTAAAAGTCGGTTGGTGGGAGCGTTACACTACACAATGGAGATCTTCCGGGCTCTTGAGTTAAAACGGGCCCTAATGATTCGGTCTGAGATCGGTTTCCAGTCCAAAAGACTTCTCTTTGTGGAGTTAGAGAGGAGAAAAGCGACGCCATATTAATGGTCGTCATCCTCATTTTCCCTCCCCGGAGTATAGAAGATTTAGGCCTTTGGACGTTCTCAGTTTACCAAAATTTCTACGCACTTCGCTTAGAATCAGATTGTATCTAATCATTTCTGCTTCTGCTTGTGCTAGTCGAGTGTCGTTGCTAAGCGTTTCGTTTTTACATTCCAAAAAGCAATTCGTGTTCGTGATTCAATGCCAAAGGTCGTCGATAAAAGATCTGTGCGGTTTCTTGATTCATTGTTGGATTCAGGCAAGCAGAAGATTAGCCCACTGTGCCCTAGTTTGATAGTGGGGCTGCCACTTTAGAGCTTCCAGACAAGCTCGGTTTTATGCAGGTTACCTACCTAGTGAGTGGATTCTGTTTTAAGGCGCAGAATATTCGCCTTTTGCCCTGCATCCTCAGCTCAACTGCAGCTCTAATTAGTGGGCACGCGAAAGCGTAGCTTCAGCAGGTCCCAGGGTGGACGACTAGGACGTGGATGACTCGGACTGGCTAGGGTTCTGCTTACACAAGTGTTCCAGTAAAAAACACAGCAGATGTTTTTTTTGGCTTTTTCGACGCAATACTGACCTCACTCCTAGCTCCTCCATTAGCGATTCCCACCAACACCATTCCCAAACTCATGTTATCTAGAACTATCTATCTTCTAAAACAAAAAAACTTGCCATGTCCTTCTATGGCCAGTAACGCGACCAATAAAATGAGTGTATACGTGCCGCGTTGACTGTTGGCTTTTTGGGCATGACGCCCAAACGTTGACGAGACGTTGTCTCGATTATGCTATAAAAAAGTGAAGGAATTTACTCCCGATCTTCATTTTAGAATAAATGTAATTCACAATACATTTTCAGGACCACGAAAGAACCCCGATAATAAAATGTGACAAGTGTAAAAAAAACATTCGTGTGCAACTCAGCATACAAGAAACACTACAGGACAAACCATTCAAGGTGCTTGAGGTTTAGATGTCATGAGTGCAATCAACTTTTTTCCACGACCAGGGACAAATGGGACCATATGTGGAATGTAAGCATAAGAACTATTTTTGAAGTTATACTTTTTTAGGCGCGTTATGAAAAATTTCACGCGCATCGTAAGATCGTGCCATAAAAGTTAAAAAAATATTTATACTTTGTTTATAGCAATTTTTTTACTTTACTCTTTCAGAATTGAGTTTTGAGAATTTGAGTTTGAGTTTAAAATCCCTTTTTTTTTCATCTTTAATTGTTTATAACTTTTGCAATTTCTTATGTGCTAATACACGCTTTTGGCACATTTTTCTAGACGTCATTCCGGATCCAATGAGCTATCGCACATAATTTTAAGAGCAGTATCTCTATTTTGTACCATTTTCAACTTGTCGACTAGACTATTAAACAAATAAAGGAGTTTTAATTATTTTTTTCAAAGAAATTTAGCAATGCTTTTTCACAAAGACCTATTGTTACTTAATTAAAAGGTTTTGAAACATAGGTATGTTATTAAATTGAATAACATACCTATTTATTTTATTTATTTAATAATAATATTATTAAATTATTAACGTTAAATATTTATTATTAATTATTTAATATTTAAAAAAAATAAAGAAAGTCAAAGAAGTATAACTTCTTACGCGCGTACATTAGTACACGCACCATTTTTTTCAACAGCAGAAGTTTCTTCTGGTGTCAAGCGATTCCGCCTTTCATGGACACTCTCAATGCCTGAGGGCTCGCGAGGGCTTTAGAAGAACCCTTAGTCGAATTTGTTCGGATATACTTCAGTGGAAAGTGTTAGTTGTTACTAAACTAAAAATTTGTAAACATTCTGCAGTTTTAACAGCCTTCAAATTAACTATCTTCAAATCAATCATACTATACCGGAAACACTAGGAATAGGAGTTTTTTTTTAATGGCTCTGGCACGATTTGTGCATTAGCCAGCGTTTTAAGTATAGGATTTATTTTATAATTCGTGCTTGTCTAGAAATTCGTCCGTGTCCTTCATGTACGGTTTAAGCACTCGCCCGGTACCGCACAACCCTCCCAAAGGCCGAGAACAAATTTAAATTAAATTAAAACTTGCCCTCGAACCGGGAATCGAACCCGGTACCCCTCACCTAACTGCCACTTAATAAGACCTAGGCTATGAGGCCCCCCAGGAATAGGAGTTTTAAGTATTTGTTTATAAACACAATTTCCAGGTACACAGAGAAAGAGAGGTTGAGGCAGACTGCAATTTATGCGATGCAAAATTTCGGAAAAAGTCAGATTTGAAACGACATTTTGCGTCTATGCATAAAAAGAAGGCGCCAGATATCACAAATGACGAAAGTGAAGATGTCAATGTCGAGTCTGAAACAGAGTAGTTTTTTTAAATATAGAGTAATTTTTCGTTAGCTTAATAATCTGTGGATAAATTTGACAGTTCACTCTATGGTTGGTCCAAGAATAATTATTACTATAGGTACATTTTTGTATTGCTCTACATCTGAAGGGTCGTACTGCGTTTTAGGTTTTTACAAAGCGGTTAACTTACTAATGTAGGAAGTTTGTATAGATTTTTATCAGTGATAGTTATATTTTTGTCATTCCATATAACATTTTATATATAGGACATACAATTAATTATAAAATGAATTATTTCTACGGAACAGACAAGTTTTCGACGTGTTATTTGTTTTAATTAGCACTTAGCAGAGAGTAGACTAATTCACACAGCACTTTGAGCACTGAAAATTGTTAATATTTTATTTAAATTTAGGCCGAAGTATTATTAAATTTGAAATACTTCCTTGACAGTTGTAAGACTAGTATTTTGTCACTGTCACGCGTTAGACAGCTGGAGACATCTCGTTCTATTCTCTGTGAACCTTAAAATCATATTATATTAAACATTATTCGAATATTTATTGTGAAAAATTCTGTTTATTGAAATAATATTTTTGTAATTTCGCTGCATGTTATTTTGTCCAATAAATTTTTTATTTAATAATAGCATTTTTATTCAACAATTTGACTGTGTAACTCTCAAGTCTAAGGGCCAGTTTTTTGATCCGTAGTAAAAAATGGTTTTACCATTTGTTACATTAACTATAGTTAAATGAATAACCTTTGGTAAAATCGTAAATGCGTTTTTCAATGCCTTTTTTAACTATAGTTAAACTTAACAATTTGTCAATTTGTTGCCAGTGCAATGATCAATGACATCCCAAAAAATGTGGTTCTTTTTTGTGGGGAACATTTATTTTGTATGACAACACTAGACATATTGAGTGAATGAAATCCATTTTTGCCATCTTCATTCGTTATTTGCGCTTTGAAGAGTTTGAAGTGTCAAATTAATCTAAATAACACGATATAAATAAAGTTGTTTTTCTGTGATTTAATACGGTTTACACTTTTTACGATACTTTGGAAACAAGGAATTATGGTCAACGGATTATGATCCACACGGATAAAAAAAATTGAGTTTTTGAAACAAAGACAAATAAGAGAGGATGATTTGTTCAATTATGCTAAGGAAGAGCATCAAAAACATTTGCTGCACCAATGAGAGGCCCACCAAAAATTCATACTGCATAAAGAGGAGGTGCACCAAAAAGTGATGCAGCAGATGGAAGAAAGGCACAATAAATATATGTAGCAGCAAAAAAGAGTTGCATCAAATTGAGGTGAAATGCAAGAAGAAACAATTAGAAAATATTTAATTGCTACTTTAGGGTTTCATCTAAATTTTGTAATGTTTTTTTAATAAAAATGGTTTGTATTTAAGTTATAATTAAACAGTTTATTAATCAAGTCAAATGTTTTATTTATAAATTCTTGTAATAAAGTAGGTAGGGTAGATGCTAACTCACAAATGTAATAAAAGCCCTAAAGAATATCATAGGTCCCTAACTAATGTGTAGCTGTAGTTTTTAGTATAAGTACATACTTGTATGTACTTATAATAATTATAAGTTAATATTATTAGTAATATATAAATAATATTAACTCTAATTCATTATGTATTCTATTGCCTATAATATTAACTTATAATAATTATAAGTTAATATTATAGGCAATAAAACACATAATGAATTAGTAATATACTTAATTATATACTGCTGCGGTTCTGTAGTTAGTAATGAAGCAAAATAGGTTGGTATGAGCTGCTGTCTATATATACTCTTGTTCATTGGCAGTTTAAGATCATTCCCAATTTCAGTAACAATCCAGAGCACTGTTCCCTTCGATAGGGGGTAACAGTGACAAAAATCTACATCATCCCAGGTTTCTAATGGCGGATGACATTGCCTAAATATTTTTGGTCACTCATTAACACATTCTCATATAATATTATCGTCTTCTTCATCGTCTCATTAATTAAAGTATCTCAATATGTTTAAATTCATCATTAGATAGTAATAAACGTATTTATCATAGTTTGATTTCTGTGACAAACAGCTGTTACTATATAAATTACCAGCGGCCATCTTTTTAACCCTCCGATACTGAGTAGTTAACTTTTTTGACTAATGGTTAGATATTTTACCATTGGATGCTCTTACCACGGATTTTGCTGATATTTAACTAATAGTAACGATTTTTTACCAATAGTTGAGTTAACTACGGATCAAAAAACCGGCCCTAAGAGTGTGAATTTGAATCTCAGCTGTGCACCAAGTAAATTAAATTAGAGTTATTGTATAATTAGTTAAACAGCCTTCTGTGCCTACCAAGCTTTAGCCATTATTTTGTTGCCGGGATCGGGACTCGTACTGCTACTGTGTAAATCCTAATAATTGCCAGAATCGTTTAACAATAATAAGAGTTCTTTATTTGTCTCCTTTGCTAATGCGATATATATATGGCGCAATTTATTTATTGTATAAACTAATTAACTGTTGGCTTAGTGGCTTTTTCATACGACTCTTAACCCTGACTTCTTGCGATTGATTTGCGGTGCAACAATGGACCTTCATAGTATGTGCTTCTTGCTCACTGAGAAGTAAGAACACTGGCATGTCTTAGGCAAAATCGACTTGTGTCAGAAACAGAAGGCTGATTTACTTGTCTTTAAAAAAAAATCAAAGAAATGGATGCAATCTGATGCCAAGACCCACTAAAGGTTTTTAATTTATGACAATATTGTGATCAGCCAATGAGAAAAATAATGTGTTAATGGGATCGAAGTGGCTTTTTCGACATTTTCACAAAAACAACAAATTTCAAGAAGATAATCACAAAATCTCAGCAGCGGTTGACAGACGGATTTTGCATTAATAATCGACAAAGAAATAAAATATTGTGAAATGGTTCGAAATTTATTAAGAAACAAAACAAATTATTAAATATTCCGATATTAAGCTATTGCATAGATTTTATCGCGGGCTTTGACCGCGGCGACCGAATCAAGAAATTTCGTAACGAAATAAACCTAACACACGAAGACGGAATATAGGTGCGGCCAATACGCGTTAGAGCGGAACAGAACGCATACTGCGTCTCACATCGGATAGGCGTGTTAGTCTGAATCTGGTAGAGTGGTAGATTGAATTAATATGAAAGAAAAACTTGAATTAATATCAAAAAACAAAGAAAAAAAAATTATATTGCATAAGTTTACAAAAATTGCTATGCAATAGCTTTACCGCGGCAGTCCCCGAGTGCCACACGTATTTTTTTATCAACTGACTGAATATCTATTTCTTTGTTGAGAGAGAAAGACCGAGCGAGCCTTCGAAGAACGAACGAAGGGAACGATCGGGGTGCAATGAATGAATACGGGTTCAAAATTTTAATAAACCTTTGTGGATGCGTTCATAGACGACATACTTTGTTTCGTCAGTTGCATTGGGGAGGCCGTGAGTTAACATCGATGTTCGATTCTGTTAACATCGATGTTACGATATTTTACGTATAGCAACATCGATGTTTTTGCTTTCAACATCCATGATCTGTGATCATCGAACTTCGATGAACATCGGGCATCCCTACTAT